GAGAAGAGGAGGACGAGACGCGTGGGAACGAAGCAACATAGGGTGAGAGCGCGAGACAGGGGAGACAGGTCGAGCACGGAAGGGACGGCGAGACCAGGCATGAGATGGAGGAGTCGTGTCAGGGGACGAAGGAGGGGACACAAGAGGGGAACGAGGGGGGAAACGGGCCGGACACGAGTCCGGAGGAGGGAACACATGGCCGTAGACAGGAGGAGGAGGAGGCACAGGCACGGGATCAGGGGACGGAAGGCCGAGCAGGCGAAGAGCGGACACCTGTGGGGACTGCTGCGACGGCGGTGTGACACCGATACCCGGGCCGCAAGCTGCCTGGCGGCTACCTCCAGAACTCTCCACGCCAGCACCCCCAGAAGGAACACCCCCAGAGCTCAGAACCCCTCGAGCACCGGTACCACCCCCAGGCCCGCCGAGACAAGCCACAACAGGAGCTCTAGGACTAGTACCCACCCCAACTCCAGCACTTCCAGAGGCAACGAACTGCTTCGGCGACGGCTGCGGCGGCGGCGGCTGCAACGACGGCGGCGGCGGCGGCGGCGGCGGCTGCGGCGGTGATGACGGCTGCGACAGCGGTAGCGACGGCGGCTGCGGAGGCGGCGGAGGAGGAGACACCTGAGAAGGGGAAGGCGGCAAGGACTGCGCCGCAGGACCACCTGAGTCAGCAGACTCCTCAACCGGGACACACCAGAGGGGGCAGGACGGGGAGGGGGAGGAGGAGGGGCGGCGTGGACCGGGGAAGGGGTGACCAGGAACAAGGGGGGGGTAACCGGGGGACCTCAGTGGGGGAAGCGGCGGAAGAAGGAGACGGACTCGTCAAATGTGATGTCACCGGAGTGAAAGAACCGGTGAGACGGCGGGTAGTAGAAGTGCCAGTCAGACGGGGAAGCCGAGGAAGACACATGGAAGGGTGCGGGCAGTGAGCTTGTCCGTGCCAGAGGCACGAACGTGCGCAAGGCAGCCCCAGACGTGGAACGCAGATGCGTCATCACGTGACCCAGACTAGAGGAGGTTCGGTGAAACCTGAGGCTGCTGGGAGTGCGGCCACAGGTTAAGCTGGTGAGCGGCGTAGCGAACGGCGAACGGCCACAGAAAATGGGGTGCCCCGGCATGGATCATGGAGGTGCGAGCCACCTCCATGACCAAACCAATGCGTCGCTCAGCGACCCCATTCTTCTGCGGGGAGTCCGGCAAGGTGAACGTCTGGGTGATGCCCTCCGCACGACAGAAACGACCAAGGACACCAGAGGCAAACTCGCCACCACGGTCGGAGTGGAGACGCAAGACAGGGAGACCGCGGTGGACACGCGAAGAGACTAGCCACGGGATAAGAACGGCAGGCACGTCGGCCTTCCGCTCCAGGGGGAACACAGTGGTGTAGCGCGTGTAGTCATCGACAAGCACTAGGAAGTAGCGCTCTCGACGCGGCCCATGGACAGGGGCGGGGCCCCAGACTTCCATGTGCAGAGTCTGTAGCGCTGCTGCAATAGGGGGAAACGAGGAGGAGTGAGGGGCACGGCGGAGCTGGCCTTCGACACAGGGCGTGCAAGGTGGGGCTGGGGAGGAGGGAAACTCGGGGAACGACCTGGGGAGGCCTAGGACGAGACCGTGCTGTGACATGTGACGCAGACGCGGGAGCGCAGGGTGACCTAGGCGGTGGTGCCAAAGAAGAGTCGGGTGAGTGAGAGACCGACAGGAGCAGGCAGCAGCAAACGGGGGAGACGCAGTCACCTGAGGGGGGGTCCCATCCGGGAGGGTCACCGTGTCTTGTGTGAAAAGACCGGACACCAGGTCCCGTGGGAACGTGAACAGGAGGGCACCAGTGGCGGCCTCGGTACAGACAGCGTACCGCTCGTGTCCAGGGAACGTAGTGGTGACGCCAAGGTCCTGAAGGCAGCCGACACCAACTAGGTTCCTGGAGAACGAGGGGATGTGCAGTCATGTGAGCGAGCCCGAAGAAACTACCGGGCAGGGGAGGGTGGTGGAACTGCGGGCGACTACTGGGCCGGAGGAGGGGTCAGCAAGAGAGACTGCGGGACGGACAGAAAGCGGTGTCAACGTGGTGGAGTCGCGGAAGAAGCACCGGGAAGCGCCATTGTCGAGGGTGAAGGAGCGCGCGGCAGTGGCGGCCGGAGGCGAAGCAGCGACGGAAGCACCAAGGCTAAACAAAGCAGGGGATCCTACGCCTGACGCAGCAGGGGAGTCTAAGCAAGGCACACCTACACTAGGCAACAAGGGGTAATAAGACGGAAGCACACTAGAGCCATCAGCATACATTACATGTAGAGTAGTAACAATCTCATCTATATCCAGATAAAAAACCTGAACCCTAGGACGAAACAAGCTGTGCCAGTCTGGGAGCTCGGGCGACGGGCCGAAACGCTGATGAAACAGGTCGTCCAGGCGACGGAAACAGCGGACGGAGGTGTGACCGATCTTACCGCAAACGAAGCCACGGCGAGGACCGGTCTGGAGCAGGTACTGACAGCACGCGTCACCCGAACCACCACCCGGCAGCCCACCACACGCACCACCACCACGTCCAGCGCTACCACCAGCGCCAGGCCACCCGGGCGAGAGACCACTCGCCCGTCTCTGCTGCGGCTGCGACTGCTGCGGCTGACGCGAGTCCGTCTGCAACGCTGGCGGCTGCTCAGACGGCTGCTCGGCTGCACCTGGCAGGCTCCCCTCGTCCGCACCACCCCCAGGAGACCCAGCTCCAGCACCACCTACACCTTCACCCCCACCCCCGCCACCACGCCCAACCTTGGGGCGGTGACCCTTCTCCGGACGGACCTGTGCTGCAGCGGCAGTCTCAGCCACAGCAACAGAACCGTCAGAGAAGGTGCACTGAGTGGGGGCGCAACCCTGAAAGATAGGGACCGGCACAGTACCGCTGGTCTGGGCGATAGAGCGGTAGCGGGCCTCTATAGCGGACAGGGTGTCAACAAAGTCTGTGAGGGTGAGGTCTGCGGGGTGGACGCTAAGGAAGTGGTCACGGGCAGTGGCAAGACGGTCAGGGAGGCGGGTGGCTAGCGGGTAGAGAGCAGAGGTGAGGGGCGGCTGGTGGGCTAGAAGCTGTGTGGGAGTGCAGGCAGCACGCCAGGTCTCGTCTATATTGCGCAGGTGAGCGGCCAGGTCGGTGACAGTGGGGAACGACGCAAGGTCAGGGAAGAGCATGGAGAGGATCAGACGACCGACCGAGGCAGCAGGCGGGGTGGAATAGCGCTGGACAACAGCATCTAGGAAAGCCTGGGCAGTGGTGATAGACCTGAAGCGAGGTCGCTCGGACAGGGGGAGGGCATTGCTAATGGCAAGCTGTGCGACAGCGTCACGGGACAGCCAGACAGACCGAGCAAGGGCAGCGGCCGCAGCGGACTCACGCTCAGCGGACGAGGGATCAGTAGACAGTGCTGCGGGGAGGTCAGGGCAGGGGAGAGTACCGTCAAGATGGACAGACAAAGAGTGGCCATCCTGCCGCTGACCAGTGAGGTGGCGACGGAGGTCAGCAAGCCACGCATCAAACTCAATCGGCTGGCCCTCAGTGTCAAAGCGAAGCACCTCAGCCATCAGTGACAATAGAGGGCAGTGGAGAGCAGTACAGTGCGGTGCAGTACGGTGTAGTGCGGTACAGTGCGATGCAGGGCGGTGCGGTACGATGCAGCGCGGTGCAGTGCGGTACAGTGCGGTGCAAGGCGGTCTAGTACAGTACCGAGGGGGTTCGCAGGGTAGTGCTGATCGGGAGGAACGGGTCGAACCCGAGGCGGCGGCGGGCTGGCGACGGCGCAAATGCAGGAGCCGGCTGGCGGGCGGAAGACGCGAGGGGCCAGCAAACGGCGGCAACGGGGGCCGGCGAGGAGCTGGCGCGACGGCAAGTAGGGCCAGCCACAACGGCGAGGAGACACGGCCGCGACGGCGGCCAGGGACAGCCGCGACGGCGGCTAGGGGCGGCCGCGACGGCGAGGGGGCGGCCGTGAGACGGCTAGGGGCGTCCGTGGGACGGCAGGAAACGGGCGCGACAGCCACGGGGGGGGGGGGGGGGGGCTAGGGACGAGCACGACGGCCAGGGGGCCGGCTAGGGACGGGCGCGACGGCCAGGGGGGCGGTTAGGGGCGGACGCAACGGCCAGGGGGCCGGCTAGGGACGGGCGCGACGGCCAGGGGGCCGGCTAGGGGTGGACGCGACGGCCAGGGGGCCGGCTAGGGGCGGAGGCGACGGCCAGGGGGCCGGCTAGGGACGAGCGCGACGGCCAGGGGGCCGGATAGGGACGAGCGCGACGGCCAGGGGGCCGGCTAGGGACGGGCACGACGGCCAGGGGGCCGGCTAGTAACGGGCGCGACGGCCAGGGGGCCGGCTACGGACGGGCGCGACGGCCAGGGGGCCGGCTAGGGGCGGACGCGACGGCCAGGGGGTCGGCTAGGGGCGGACGCGACGGCCAGGGGGCCGGCTAGGGACGGGCGCGACGGCCAGGGGGCCGGCTAGGGGCGGACGCGACGGCCAGGGGGCCGGCTAGGGACGGGGGCGACGGCCAAGGGGCTGGCTAGGTGCGGACGTGATGGACAGGGGGGCGGCTAGGGACGGGCGCAACGGCCTGGGGGGCGGCTAGGGGCGATCGCGACGGCCAGGGGGCCGGCTAGGGGCGGACGCGACGGCCAGGGGGCCGGCTAGGGACGGACGCGAAGGCCAGGGTGCCGGCTAGGGGTGGACGCGACGGCCAGGGGGCCGGCTAGGGACGAGTGCGACGGCCAGGAGGGCCGGCTAGTAGCGGGGCACGACGGTGGCTAGGGCCTAGGGGGCGGAAGTGTGGGCGGGCTAGGGGGGAACCTAACCTACTATGATACTATATCAGAAATAATAATTGAACTAGAATGTGCGAGTACAAGGGTATATAGACTAGGGTGTTGTACCCTCTAAGGCACAATCCAGTATAGTCTACAGTAATGTGTCAGAAACCCAGTCACTAACCACTGGGTTAAAAGGGCTTGTTGAATAGCGGGTAAGTGCGCCCATAGCCCCCCAGGCTCTGCACCTGCGGCCCTTCCCCGAGGATCTCAAGGGCAACCCCAGCGGGTCACTCAACACCCCCCCCCCCCGCTGGGATAGGTGGAAGACACGAGCGCCTCTGCAGCGCTGGCACCGGGAGTTGAACCCAAGACCTTTGGCTCTGATGTACCATGTCAGAAACTCAGTCACTAACCACTGGGTTAAAAGGGCTTGTTGAATAGCGGGTAAGTGCGCCCATAGCCCCCCAGGCTCTGCACCTGTGGCCCTTCCCCGAGGATCTCAAGGGCAACCCCAGCGGGTCACTCAACATAATGACCTAAGTTACATTTGACACCATCCACTTCATTCCAACCACACCCTTTCCCTGCAGGCAATGTCTTGGCGTAATCAAGGGTCAGGTAGGCCTGGTTTCTGGACTTGGCAGACTGAGAACAGCCCTCAGTTGATACAGCTTATGGTACCGGTAGCACCACTTTGTGGTGGTCTCAGAATAAACTTAACACAACACACACACCACCAGAGGTTACTTGGAAACGGAAACTCAAAAAGCATCTACAGTTGGCGTACAGAAACCGAAGACATAGTGGCCCAAAACCGATGACTATGGGAGGTCAACAAACTAAGTTGTTCCTCTGGCTGACAGTTCCCCTCCCCTACCCACCACGCTGGTATGGTATGTTTTTGCCGTGGACCTTCCCCCATGGTTGCACCTATCACTTAGCTAAAACAGGGCCGATACAGTTATAACACCATCCTGAAACGGTGTATGTTGACTTCACCGCGGCGACACCCATTGAATCAGGGAACTGAGGGACTTCGCTATTGCAGCTCCCGTTGCAGCACCAGTCACCGCAGCAGCGACATCTGCTGCACTCGAGTCGTCTAAACTAGCCCCCTCACAGTACCGCTTCACCGCTTCGTTAAAGCCCGCTTCGTTAGAGCCCGCTTCGTTAATGCCCGCCTCGTTAAGAGACGAGTTACTAGGCTGCGATTCCCTTCTGTGCTCTTCTGTTTGGAGCAACAGGTAAGTAATACCCGACATCGTCTTGCTCCTACCGCCACGTTTCGACGTCCTCGTTAGTCGCTCATTCGCTACCGACATTTCCGAAGAGCGTAACGGCCGTTCGGCGAGCATCGGCGGCGATCCGCGGGGTATCGAACTCGGAAGGGGAGGCCTACTTGTCCCCGTTAAAGGCGTCTTCGCTCTAGGCGTGGGTGTCATGGGAACCAGCGAGGAGTTAACCGGGTCGAGCGTAAGTGGGGGAATCTTTGGTCTCGCTCCGACGGATTTCGGCCCGAAAGCGCCGCCGCTTCCGGTGGAAGACAGCGGGGGGCGCGTCGCGTGACGCGCAGTCGCCGGTTTCGCCGACAATGGCGGCGACGAGTCGGCATCGTCGGACGAAGGCGCATCGGGAATCTGAACCGTCAGGCCGCGAGAAAACGACGCGCCACGTTCCGAGTCCGAGGCAACAGCAGGGTAGCTGACCGTCGGCTTGAAATTTTCTTGCATTCTCGCGTCGGAAGGCTCATCTGAGGCAAGCGAGGAGCTGTTCTGGCGACGCAGGTGAGTCCAATAATCCGATCGCTTCGGAACGATTCGGTCATCTCGCGACCGGCGGGGAGCGTCTTCGTCGTCTGCCAATCTCCTCCCGCCCCGAGTTGCCGGTTTCCGTTGCGATTCCGTCACGTCACCGTCTGTCCGCCGTTCTGGTGGATTCGCTACCGTGGCGTCCGCAGCCTCTGTCGCGTCGATTTCTCGCCAGCGGCCCGCAACAGCATACATATTGCGAGGCTGAGCGTATCTTCCAGATAATAATTTTCCAGACGAAGCTTCAGATACTCGAGATGAATCCCCAACGGGCCGATCGTAGTAGTAGCTTCGGTAATAGGGCGTCAATGCCCCGCTTTCTTCTGAGCTGGTGACGCTGGACGAATCGCCGCCGTCGAAATCGGATTTGCGTGAATCTGCGCCGTCGGAGAATGTCGAGTAGCCCCAGCCGCCACAGGACACGGGGAGAGGGCAGTCGTCGCAGTCGTCACAGTCGTCGTCGGCGACGTCACAGGAGGTGCAGCTGCGGCTGTCGTCGCTCGCGTCGCTTGAAACAATCAGCGGAGGGATCCTCACTGGAAATGTGCAGCTTTTCCTTGACTCTGAAGACGAATCGGCTTCGGAAGCTAGTTCCGCGGCGCACGCAGAACGTAGCGTTTGCTCTGGTTCCGATGAAGCATTAGGTTGAGCTGACGATCTTGGGCTGTCTGGAAAAAGACGGCGAGCGGCTGGTTGTAGAGGAAGTGAAACAGAGGGCACTGGTGGAGAAAGCATTGTGGGCATTGTGCAAACTGGAAGAAAGATGGCTTATCATTGGCGAGAGATTTGCGTCACTCGTAAAATATAGCTGATTCACTCAACTGGAGGTGAACAAAAAGGGGGGGGAAAGGAGGGGGGGAACTTAGGGGGGGTGAGGAGGAGAAGGGGGGGAAAGGAAAGAGGGGGAAGAAGGGGGGAATGGGGGAAGGCCACACGGTGGGAAAGAGGAAACGCGGAGTCGCGCCAGTTTGAGGAACACGAGGCGAGCGGCGTGATGTAAACGTGTTCCGCCCGTCCGTCGATTTTGGGTTTCTCAGGTGGGATACGCGGAGCATGGGTGAGGGACTGGGAATCGCAGAGTCAACCACAGCGGGCTTTTGTTTGGTTCCAGAAACTTTGTTTTTGGAAAATGATATTCAGGCACACCACACCCCTGAATTTCAGTACGAAGATGCACGCTTCACCGCTTCACCGCTTTTTTTGGATGTACGCTGTGTTTATAAACCACGAAGATTAAACTCAGGAAAACAAAATCCTTAGACAATTACTCAGGGCGTATTTCGCAGCGAGTGCTAGACCCGATCGTTTAGCAGGAAGATCCGAGGCTGGAAAAAATTGCCTCGGGTCTTGCGAAAAACTGACGGCTCCAGCCAGTCAGCTGTCAAACCATACAACTAACAAAGTCGCGCAAATTAACTTCCACCAATCATAGCTTCGCAAATTTCTGTTGAACTCGAAAAGTTCGGTCAGTATTTTCGCAACCCTCCCCTTGCGACAGTTCGCAACTATGCAGCTGCTGCACCGTCAAGAATATTAAACCCCCAGCTAGGTTGTGACAACCCGCGGCCCCTTCGGCCGCGGGTCGACCTTGGGTCTGACACTCGCTGCGGAATCACCCTAAGAACACCCTAATACATTGACTCACGATCGACGGGCAAGGGTGAGAGTGCTTGGATGTGGTGGAGGCGAATAGGATGAGCTCCCCATGCTGCGTAGGCGCGGAAATCCTTGTTTGGCGCAGGAAGGCGGAACCGAATGGAAGACAAAACGGAACCCGTCAAATGAAAACGACGATGAGCATTGGGCTCGGAGCGTCGTTGTCACTCCGTCGCCCTGCAGCCAGAAGTTCCAGAACCCACCACTGCCGAAGCTCCAGTTCAGCGGCTGGCTGGTGGCGTGTGAGGGGTCACAGGTGCTCTCACCTCAAGTCAATTCCCTTGACAAGACGGATTGGCGTCACTTGACTCGACACGCAACACGACACGACGCATTTCAGACAAACCCATGGTCGAGCTGTCACGAAAATTTGGCAGCTTGAACTGTACAATTCGCGGGATTTTCACAACGGGGTTCTTTGTGGCTGTGGTACAGTCCAGTACAGTGTAGTCTAGCCAACGAAGCAAAAGTCCCGTCTTGCTGTTGCAGTTGTTCTGTAGTTGTCGCTTTTAGTTCGGATCTGAACAGAACGATGTGCTTTAAATGGGGGACTGACAGTCCAGTACACGACAACACGACATGATAGATAGGTCCTTAGTTAGCCCTCTTGTACCCCGGAACAGCCTGCATGCTTTACAAACCCCTTCGTTAGTACCTCTAAACCTACACGTAGGAATACGAAGCTCTATGCCCATCACAAACTATGTTCTGAACATAACACTCATGAGAGTGCATTATGTGGAGCATTTTGATCAGGAACTAATCGTCATCAAGAGCTGAGCGACGCCTTTGTATCTGCAGATAAAAGGGTGATATTAGAAAGCAAAGGATGAATGAAGGAAACTGGTAGGGATAAAGTGTTTGTTTGATTCCCCAACACTAGCTAGGCCAACTTCTAAAGAACAAGCAAAAAAACATTGGAAGTTAAAAGAAACAACAACTTCTAAACACTGAACAAATTCACAAATCCCCCGTACCATTCAAGAATAGAAACGGGCCTCGTTGCCATGGTTGTAATACATCCTTGCTAAATATTCTCATTGCTACAAAACATCACTCGGACCCAGGTGCTATGAGTTGTCCTTACTGCAAAATCTCCAAGCTGTGATCTCACGTTGGTAGAGTTCCCTTCTCCTCTATAATGACCAATAAGATATTGGGTTAGTTGGTTGACCTCAAGAGAGGAACTACTTACTGTGACTTTAGTTCGTTGCTGTGTTTGCTCATTGATCTGCTCCAAGAGAGTGATGAGGCGGGACTCCGACACCTGATAGGATATGAATGCATATGGTATGATATGATGGGATACGATTGGATATGATGGGATGTGATGGGCTTCGGGCCCAGACAGGTATCTGGTGGCAGCATTGCAAGCAAAAGGCTTGAAAGCAAGCGAGGAAAATGGGCAATTCAAGGGAAAGAGAAGGGCCTTGGGGGACAAAGGATAGGAAGAGAAAGGGATGGGACACGATGTGCCTAGGCTGCATGTCAACACGTAACCGGAAGGTAGCTGCCAAAAGCAACAAACCCTGCCAGCCACTCGCCATTCATTACAATTGCACTCACCCTCTTGGCCTGGTGCCCTGTCTGCGCCCTCCTAATGATCAAATCCTCCGCTGCCCGTGCCTTCACATCGCACACCTAAAACTCCCTAATTACAATTATACAGACCCTCTCTGCCAGTTGCCCTGTCTGCGCCCCTCTGATGATCAAATGCTCTACTGCCCCTGCCTTCTCATCACACACCTACAATAACCCTCACTACAACCACTCTCACTACCTCACCACAATCACCCTTATTACAATCGCACTCACCCTCTCTGCCAGTTGCCCTGTCTGCGCCCCTCTGATGATCAAATCCTCCACTGCCCGCGCCTTCTCGGGCTTCACCAGCGCAATGCGCGCCACTGCTCATGGGAGGAAAGGGTGGGCGGAGATGGGGGGACAGCTCATGTCACATTCTCTTCGGCCACATTCGCATCTGTCACCTTCTCATCTGTCACATGCCCATCTGTCACATTCTCCTTGGTCATTCACTTTTGTCACACTCTAGTCACTCAACTCAAGTCGTTCCGCTGCACTTGATCTCATCTGTCATACTCGAGTGTGGCACTCAGTCTGCTCTTTTGCACTTGAGACCATCAGCTGAGCCAGCATCATCTGTCACGCAGTCTCATGTGGTGCATTCTTGTCCGTCATATGCTCTGTCTGTCACATCCTAATGTGCCACATCTCCTCCGTCACACTCTAGTCCGCCACACTCACATCGTTCCCTCGCACTCGAATCCATCAGCTGAGCCAGCATCATCTGTCGCCGTTCCTCTGCTTCCCTGCAACCACAAGTCCAAAAAGCACCCAAATTCCCAGGGTCTAGTCAGCCTGCCCGTCACAACTCTCTCATTCCCAACTCTGTCTTGTGTGCCACAAAAAAAGGAGGGTCTCTTCTTACTCAGCTCCTTTCCGCGAATCAGACAGTAAGGGTGAGGAGTCATTGATGGTACTGACCTTTTCTGTGACTCGTCTTGCTGACCCGAGGCAGGCGACGGCACGCCTCCAGCTCCCCTCCCTGCCTGAAAGTGTCAAGTACCACACGGATTCAACATATAGACAGCAAACTCCAGAGACGCTGAAATTGCTGAAGGGAACCAAAATGCGGGAACCGAAGCAACCAGCAACGTGTCGACGCGTTTCCTCCATAGCAGTGGAGAGTGCAAATCCTAAATCCAACTATACTTCCAGGTTACTACCTGAAGATTCAGAATGTTCACTTTTTAAATGTAGGCGCATAGGTGTATGTTGTACGATACATACGTGAAATCGATTGTGCTTATGGGCAAAGTTAGCAATCTCGCACCTGTGCGCCGCCCTGGGCCGCCATAATTTCCCTCATGCGCCTTTGGCGAATGGCCTCGAGCTCTGGATCCTGAAATGCACCATTTCGATCAAGAAGGAAGAACGAGCAAGGGGATTGTTGAAACCATATATTGACTCCTTCAGGAGAAACGTAAGATTTAAAACCGCCGTGCCAAGAGTTTCATCGGTAGGAAAGTTGGTATAGGGTGTCCATGCCGGTAGGAGCTAGAGATGGGGTTGGTCAGATGCCAAATTCAACTACATTATAGCAATCCGAAGCGTCGCATAGTGACACTTTACAGAAGCTAACACTGAAAGTAGTTACGAGATTGAGGACCAGCGACGAATAAACGGGAAAACGGATTTGTCGGCAACAAGCCAGGGAGAAATTGAACGAATCTTACATCCATGGCTTCAAGAAAGTACGATGCAGTAATGTATGGAGAATACGGTCGGTATTACGTCTTGACAACGCTGGTGGTATGTGACACTGCTATGTACTAGAAAGAATCAAGAACCACGCTCGTAGGATCAAGAAACAATCCCAAGAAAGAAATGGCTGCTGATGAGAGGAAGCAAAGCAGCAGATTCTTGTTCTGTTGTGGACCTGAACTTCAGGATGGCGGGCTGAGCGGACGCTGGTGAACGAGTTGGGGAACGGCTTGGGGGAAAGGGGGGGAGGGAAAGGTGTGCGCGCGAAGAGGTTTTCCGGAGCTGCGTTTGCGCGCCAGTCGGGTGGGCGGGGGAGCGGACTGAACCAGCCTTGCGCTCGGCTCCCTCAGCCAGGTCATCAGCAAATGGAGGAACGTCTTGGCGGGAAAACACGTCAGTGCTGTCAGACAGGCTGCAAGCGGTTTCGGCATTTCCAGTTACCCGCAATCGCCACACGAAGTGTTACTGCGAGAACTCCCCGATCGCGAAACTCTCGTCATCGTGTTTGGTTGTTGACCGCCCAATCTTGGGGTGTCGTGGCTGTCGCCAACCCATTCCGCGACACCTATGTGTCGCCGAGTGTCGTCCACGCTTTTCCTCAACCAATCGTGATGCAGGACGCGTCCCCCATGTTTTCTCGGGTCGAACCGAAACTGTTTGTCCAGCCCGAAAATGCTCGTACACGTTTCGGGCTGTTTGTACCGCACTGCGTTGAGCAGGTGCAACACGTTTTTTTCGAGTTGGGCAGTCACCACAGCCTGCAAAGCTTCCCCCAAAACGTGGACAGCTAGGAGCCAACCACGGTCTCACAGCTGACGGGACTGGGGAACTCATCGGGCTGAGAGATTTGCCAATTTACCAGCTTGATGGCTCACGCAAACTCATTAGCCTCTTGGGAACTCCTTATCAGTATCTGTGTAACTTGTCAGGGACGGTTCAAAGCTAAGAAACCGCCTGCTACGTAACCATAAACTTTGCGGTAAATAGCTTTGAGGCGTAGTCGGCGAACGACTCGTAGGCTTTGCAGGGTAATTATCAGCTGCTGCTTCCCGTCGGCGACGTCTGCTCGCGATCACTTCTTCCGACGCGTTACTCTCCTCAGTAGTACCTTCACTTGATCACCGACCGTCTCGTTTCTCCCTTTCGCTGAAAGTCTCAGTTGGTTTTTTTTTTTCATGGCTCCGTCCGTCCCTGAACTCGCGGACAGCACGCAACAGCCGCCGAACATCCAGGTCACGAAGCTTCAGTTCACGTATCCCGGAATCGACGGCCAGCCGCCTCCCGGCGCCAAGCCGCTGATCGACGGCTTCTCCCTCACCCTGCATCCCGGCGATCGGTGCCTTCTGGTCGGCGCGAACGGAGCAGGTACGCGTGACTCACTGTGCGATGCGTCTTCAGTTTCGCTCCCTGTCGCTAAGGCTCGTTATTGCGGTAATCCTTCCCCTCGCTGCATCCCGGCGATCGGTGCCTCCTAGTCGGCGCGAATGGCGCATGTATGCGGTCTTTACTTGTTCTTCAGGAATCTTAGATTTAAAATTTGATAAGCCGTCGCTGCGTCGTGTCAAGCCGCTTATCGACGGCTTCTCCCTGACGCTGCATCCCGGCAGTCGATCTATCCGTGCTTCGGGTGGTCGGTGATCTCTCCCATCTCTCCCTTACTCACACCCCTGGCTTTTTTCCAGGCAAAACAACGATCCTCAAGATTCTGGGCGGCAAGCATATGGTCGATCCGTCCATGGTCCGAGTGCTTGGTCGGTCAGCCTTCCATGATACCGGTCTAGAGGCGTCTGGCGCTCTCACCTACCTTGGAGGCGAGGTCAGTACTCCTCCCTATCCCCACCCTTTCGTCCTGAACTTGCACTCACATACCATGCTGCACATGGTCGATCGTCCGAGTGCTTGGCCGGTCAGCGTCCCATGATGCCGGACTTGAGGCGCCTGGCGCCCTCACACACCTTGGAGGCGAGGTCAGTACCCCTGCCTTCCCTCCTGTGACTACCTTTCAACTCTCGGCTGCTCTGGTTTAGAGGCATCTGGCGCTCTCACCTACCCGGGTGGCATGGTCAGTACCCTGCCCTAACAGCATGTGATTGGGGGGAGGCTTTTGAGTCTGCTCAAAAGTAATTCTATCTTACGGCATGTGATTGAGTGGAATTCCGGTGGGGATTTTTACCTGTCGTACCATGCAGCTATTGCCACTTGGTCACCACTGTCCTCACCACTTCGTCTTTCCATACGTTTGACCCTCTTTGCAGTGGCGGCATGACGTGGCGCTTGCATGCAGTCACGTGCCCCTTCAGATAAACGTACATATCGGCAAGGAGGATAACCTTCTGTGCTGCCACCGCTGATAATTCACCTACGACCTTCCCCCTCCCCCCCTCCCCGCCACTTGTCTTACTGCAGTGGCGGCGGGAGGTGGCGTTTGCAGGCTTTGACGTGCCTCTGCAGATAGACCTGTCGGCAAGAAGATGATCTTCGGTGCTGCCACTGCTAATGGTTCTCCTCTCTTCGTCTCACCCCCCCTGCTTCTAACCGCAGTGGCGCAGGGATGTAGCGTTTGCCGGGTTCGACGTGCCGCTACAGATGGACGTATCGGCAAGGAAGATGATCTTCGGTGCTGCCACAGATGCTGAGCGGAGGGACAGGCTGATCAAAGTGTTGGATATCGACCTGGACTGGCGCATGCATAAGGTGTCAGATGGGCAAAGGAGACGCGTACAGATCGCCATGGGATTGTTGAAGCCGTTCAAGGTACGTGACAATATTTGGGGTAGCAGGCTGGTCAAAGTGTTGGGAATTGTCCTGGACTGGCGCATGCATGAAGTGTCGGATGGACAGAGGAGTGGAGAATTCACTCTCCCCCATGCAGGTTGTCCTGTTGGACGAAATCACTGTCGACCAGGACGTGCAGGGGCGGACTGATTCGCTCTCATTTTTCCACTTGCCCTGGCCCCTCCCACCCTCCACCCCTCCGTGGTTCTCCTGTTGGACGAATCACTGTCGATCTGGACGTGCTTGGGCGATCTGACACAACAATCTGCTCCCCCCTCCCCCCGCTTCTCCCCTTCCGCCTCTTCCCTGTTCCCCCTTCCCCCTCGTCTCCGCCTCCCCTCCAGGTCCCGCTGTTGGACGAAATCACCGCGCTGGGTTGAGCTGGCACATTCAACTGCTCCCAAGGTTTCTCCTCCGTCTCTCCCATGCAGGTCTTGCTGTTGGACGAAATCACTGTGGATCTGGACGTGTTGGGTCGGGCTGATCTTATGGCGTTTCTGAGGGACGAGTGCGAGCAGAGGGGGGCGACCATTGTCTATGCCACGCATATATTCGACGGGCTACAGTCGTGGCCTACTCACATCGTACGTGCTCAGTATACGCTGCTGTAAACACTTACTGTTTTTAAGGAGGGGCATTGTACGTACCGACAGTAAGCGCTGGTGTATTGGTGCAGATTAGTGTTTTCCTCTCGTTATTCTCACATTCCTTGGTAAAGCCTGCACGTATGGTACGTTGCAGGGCACTGACAGTGAGGGTAACCATCTCCCTGTATGGTCCACTTCACCCATCAGTACCCCTCTGCAGCCCTGTCTGCCCCTCCCTCTCCCCCAGGCATACGAAGCAAGGGGCAGGCTGCAATTCACCAAGCTTCCATATTGAGCTGTACCTCTCTGCATCTCTCTGCACCCCTCTCTGCCCCCTCCCTCTCCCTCAGGCATACGTGGCAAAGGGCAGGCTGCAATTTACCAAGTCCCTGACAGAGTTTCCAGAGCTGGCATCAACCACACTTATGGTGAGAACTGCTGAGAGCTGCTGCGAGTATTTAGGGTTCGTTTGTGGGGTAGCCCCCTTAGCAGTCACAGTCACGTGTCTGCTCACTCTCCCGTGTAACTTCGGATTCATCTCTCCCCTTGTGATGTCCGCTTCCTCCCCCCCCACCTCCTCCCCCGAACTCATAATTTACAAAAATCTGCCCTACACTTCCTCCCTCTCACTTCACCTCCCCCCTCATTTCGGCTGAGAATGGTTGAGGCATGGCTGCCCACGGAGCAGCAGGAGGAGAGGAGGAAAGCCAGAGAAGCCCTGTGGTTACTGTAGAGGGAGGAGGGAGGCGGGGAGGGTGCAAGGAACACCCACCTTGCCCACATTTGGCGACTCATAACTAATAGTTTCCCCCTACACTTCTCCCCTCACTCTCTTCCTCCCCCCTTATTTTGACAGAGAATGATTGAAGCATGGCTGCGGAAGGAGCAGCAGGAGGAGAGGGAGAGGAGGAGAGCCAGAAAAGCCTTGGGATTACCTGAGAGGGAGGAGGGAGGCAGGGAGGGGACACGAGTGGTGGGGGACCCTGCAAAGGCGGGGGCTAGGCTGATGAACAACGGGTGGGGAGGAGGCAGGCTGACCCCTACGGTGAAGCTTTCAGATGAGGATGCTGCCAGGCTGATGTTTGACCTGACCTCCAATAGGGTGCTAAGGATGTGATCGCCCTGTAACATTTGCATCATTTTACTACCCTGTCTTCCTCATGACGTGTGGCTCTTGTGTTATCAAAAGAAACTAACGGTAGAATAAGGCTGGTGAACGGAGGTTGCAGTAAGCCAGGTTGGTTCCCACTGAGCATTTTTATGACAAAGGCTACAGGCTGAAGTTTCACCTGACCTCCAAACGCGTGTTGAAGATGCGATAATTCAGTAACATGAGAAACATTCAAGAGCTTGCACAGTTCTCATATGGTTTCTGCAGTAGGCAGATGAACAATTGGTGGGACGGGGAGGGAAGGGTGGGGAGAAGCTGGTCCTTACACTGTTGGACTTGACTGACCCCCGATAGGGTTTTTTTGCGTGCGCAGTGAGTGCACTAATGCTGCACTGCCCTGGGTATTATCAGAGCAAAAAACCACTACAATCTATATCGTCTAGTGGCAGCATTTGCAGCTGATGTAGCTCTGGCAGAGTGCTGGAGTGTACCCTGTATGTGCAAGACAAACACTATCATCTATCTACCGTATATCATCTACTGGCAGCATTTGCAGCCGGTGTGGCTCCAGTGGCAGTAGTAGGAGGCTTCTTGGGAGCAGTATGGGACACATATGGCTTCAGCTGTTGGGCGGGAGAGGTTAAGGGGGGGAAGAAAGATGGAAGGGAAAGAGGACAAGGGAAGGAAGAGGGAGGGGAGGTTGATGCAGGAGGCAAGGACAAACCACAGGCAGGGGAGCAAAAATCACAAGAAGAAGCTAATGGAAGGAAGGGAGGCATGCATGCATGTGAGAGTTTGCTTGCAAGTGGGAGGCGATTTTTGAGTCCTAAAGTTCCAACTAATTGAAGGAAATTGTAAATTGTTGGTAGTCAACTCAATAATAGTTTGTGGCGAGAGTACCTGGCAGTTTGTGAGGTCAGGCACGAGGTAGGTTGGTTATCCCCCCCCATGCATCCCCCCCTTGCATCCCCCCTATGCATCCCCCCTATGCATCCCCCCCTTGCATCCCCCCCTATGCATCTCCCCCTATGCATCCCCCCCTATGCATCCCCCCTATGCATCCCCCCCATGTGCATCCCCCCTATGCATCCCCCCAATGCTCCCCCCCTTATGCACCCCCCCATTGCATCCCCCCTAAGCATCCCCGTTATGCATCCCCCCCTATGCATCCCCCCCTATGCATCCCCCTGTATGCATACCCCCCATGCACCCCCCCCCCCATGCATCCCCCTATGCATCCCCCCGCATGCATCACCCCCCATGCTTCTCCCCCCATGCACCCCCGCCATGCACCCCTACCCATGCATTCTCCACCCATGCATCCCCCCCCATGCATCACCCTCCTTGCATCCCCTCCATTGCATCCCCCCTATGCATCCCCCCCTATGCATCCCCCCCATGCATCCCCCCCTATGCATCTCCCCCTATGCATCCCCCCCTATGCATTCAACCCCCTTATCATCCCCCCCTATGCATCCCCCCCATGCATCCCCCCCATGCATTCCCCCCCATGCATCCCCCCCATGGACCCCCCCCATGCATCCCCCCCATGCGTCCCCCCCTATGCATCCCCCCCTCAGCATCCCCCCCTCAGCATCCCCCCCATGCATCCCCCCCATGCATCCCCCCCCCATGCATCCCCCCCCCATGCATCCCCCCCATGCACCCCCCCCCCATGCATCCCCACCCATGCCTCCCCCCCCATGCATCCCCCCCATGCATCCTCCCCATGCCTCCCCCCCATGCCTTCCCCCCCATGCATCCCCCCCATGCATCTCCCCCCATGCATCCCCCCCCATGCATCCCCCACATTGCATCCCCCCCTATGCATCCCCCCCTAAGCATCCCCCCCATGCATCCCCCCCCCATGCATCCCCCCCATGCACCCCCCCCCATGCATCCCCACCCATGCCTCCCCCCCATGCATCCCCCCCATGCATCCCCCCATGCCTCCCCCCCATGCCTCCCCCCCCATGCCTTCCCCCCCATGCATCCCCCCCATGCATCTCCCCCCATGCATCCCCCCCCATGCTTCCCCCCCCCGATGCATGGAGGCATGGATGCATGGAGGCATGGAGGTGAGTGGGGGGGCCCAGTGAGTTTCTTACCTGGCAGTTTGTGAGGTCAGGCACGAGGTAGGTTGGCATTTTCTCCTCCATCAATATGTAACCGCCTGCAGGGGGGACCGACGGTTGTAGGTCGGAATGTAAGAAGAGATAGGGTGCAATTTGGGTTGATAAGTTGAATGGAGGTGGCACGGGGTAGGTTGGCATATTCTCCTCCATTAAGATGTAATGTAAGCACCTGCAGGGGGTGACGACGGTCGTTTGTAGGCAACAGGTTAGAAGAGACACGGTGAAAGAAACTTGGGCTGAGTTGGGCTGATAAGTGTGTTGTGACCTCCTGTTTTCGTTAACAGGTATAACAAGTGACTTTCTGCGTTTTTTGCGCTTATTTCCTATCATAACAAACACCTCTCACCTTATCTCACCCCGTACACTGACCCGTTCTTAGTGCGTCGACCCATGGTGAACCCTGCTCTCCCGTTTAGTAGCATAGTGACCCATTGTGCGACAAAACGGTCTTTCTGCACTCTCCCCTTCCCTTATTCCCCTCATAGCCACAACCCCCCCATCCCCCCCTCTCCCCCCCCCCCTTCCCCTCCCTCCCTCCCCTCTCTCCCCTTACTTATCTTCCCCAGTGCACTCACCTTTCTAAGTGTGTTGCCCCATATTGCGGCTACCCATCCCTTTGTAGCAGTTCTTCGGGCCAAAAGTGAAACCCTATGTATCCTCCTTCCTTCCTCCTCCGATTTCCCTTCCCTAACGCACCTTTCGAAGTGTGCTGCCCACTAATGTGACTCCCCATCCCTTCCCTAATTCCTTCCCCCTTCTTCTCTTCTCCTCCCTCCCCCCTACTCCCCCCCCCCCCCCTCCCCCCTTCACCCCCCTTTCCCTCTTCTAGCGCACCTTTCTTAGTGTGTCGTCCCATGGTGCGGCTCCCCGTGCCCTTGTAGTAGTTCTTCGGGCCGCGCTTCGCCGTCAGGTACTTAAAGCCCTTGGCCGGCACCGCGCGCCCTCGCAGCAGCCCCGTCAGCACGCCCAACATCGCGTCTCGACACGTGTACTATCGGGTTGAAACGGATTGACACGTGTAGCCGTTCACGACCAGATGGTCACGGATTCCTGCCTCCTTTTCGATACAGCGATGCAGTACGCGATATAGTCACGCCGCCGTCACCCAGGCGATATGCGGCTGACAGCTCGGCAATCGGATCTGGAGAAGGGTCACCGAAAATCCAACAGTTGTTACAACGGTTTAACGAGCAGGTGGTGGTAACAAGCAGGCGGTTGTAACAAGCAGGTGGACCTTGAGCCAAGCAGACCACTATGCGCAACTGGAACGGCGGAAGGGACGGGGGAAGGTTGGGGGGGGCGGTCGCGGGGAAGGTCGCGGCGAAGGTCGCGGGGAAGGTCGCGCCGAAGAGAAGCGGCGGATACGGCGGCCTTGGCGGAAATCGGAGGCGCACGGACAGCTCCAGAAGAGGCCTCCGTCGAACCAAGGCTGACCTGGAATATCAGCTGCCTCCAGCGCGTGTTCGATGCTGCCCGTGAGTTCAGTTTGCCCTTCAGGTCTCAGACCAAGTGTCGTACCGCCGCCGTTCCAACCATAGGAGAGAATATACTCTGGGATCTCATAGTTTTCGTCAATGCAGATTGCGATCGCAGGCGAATCACTTTCGGCATAAAATGCACTTCAACGAAAGTAACTTGAAGACATGTAATGTCGAGCCTCTCCTCATTCTCGCAGAAGTGAACCGACGGCTCAACTTCAGAGAGCTTCAGGCTGAAACTTGCTCCTTCGGGGGTCTCCAGTGACACCGTAACTGAAATCAGGGAAATTTGAGAAAGCGTAACTGAAGTCGGCAGCCAACTGATCGCCGAACTGCAGTTCGTTTCGTGCAGACTTTCGCTTCAGTCTTCGCCGATTTCGAGGTTACTTGCGGTTTCCTGATACTTCGGGACTCTTCCACGTGCCACTTCCAGAACCACTCGTTTCAGAGGGCAGTGAGCCTAGCAGGGGGTCACGTCCTTGGAGGGAAATCCTCCCTAGGTGCTAACCTAGGCCGCATTGTTCTTCAGTCTAGAATTCCCATGCTGTGAAAGACGTCTGATGTAGCTAATATCATCGCTGCTTGGTGAGCTTCAGTTGTGATTGAGAATACGTAACAGCAGAATACTTCACGGTCGGTCGCTCTTTCTGTCAATCAACTGCGAGAATCCCTTCAAATTGGCGAGAAGGACAAAATCGCCTCGACAGCACGCGTCGTTTCAGGCGAAATCGTTGGAACTGCACGCTCCACGCCTTTGGAACTGCAGAAAAGATTGCGAGGAGCGCCTTTGGGTTGAATCAATCGAATACGTGGGAGGAGCAAGGGTTCAAGTAGGGAGGAGCAAGGGCCGGCCGGAGAAGGCGGACCAGCCCGCGAGCAATCACCATGTTGCCAGGCGGACCAGGGTGGGTTTCAGCGCCCAGGAGTTCATCCTCGTTTCACGCCTCCCCGTTTCGCGGATACTCGCCGTCATCAGGGTTGGCATCGCAATCCATGAGGGTAGTCAACTGCTATGGCCCGCTTCCCACGGTCCTGTTACTGCAGCACCGCGCGCTGGTCAATCAGCGAGCAGCGTCCCAGCGAAGCACAGTTCGTGTCCACAGGAGGGCGAATGGAAAGTCGAGAATCTCTGTTGAATGTCAGGGAGGAGAAGTGGAGGGGGGCTCTGGCTTTGGAGGAGAAATCATGGAAGGTTGCGGGAGTAACGGCAGCAGCAGCAGCAGCAGCACGAAACCTGGTGCTACCGATCCTGTCAACAGAGGTACCACAAGCGGTTGTGGTTCCAGCAGCTCACAATCGGCTGTTCTCCCTTCAGCCGGTTCCTCTCCCTCCTCCCCTCACCCGCTATCACAATCACTATCCGCCTCTCTCACTCTTCTCCTTCGCTCAATTCCCTTCGCCCTCCCTCACATCCTATCCACAACCCTGCCTGGCCTACAATCCTCTCTCCACTTACTACCTCCCTTCCCACCGTCCTCACCTCACAACTCTAAATCCCCTTTTACCACCAACGCTTTCCGTGGGGGATCCTACGGCGGTGGTAACAGCAGCTCCCCAAGTAACCTTTTCGGTCCCCCTTCCAGTGGGCCCATCTGGCCTTGGTCTCCTGGTGGTTCTCGGGCGCATCGCAAGCTGACTGATTTTCTCCTAGCCCTCAACGCTGCCGCTTTTCTCCTCCAAGTCCTCTCCAGCAATCGCCTTCTTTTGCTTGGGGCTAAAGTCAACTCTTATGTTCGCCAGGGCCAGTATTACCGACTTTTGTCATCTGCGTTTCTCCATGCTGATCTTCAGCATCTCATAGTGAACTCACTTTCGCTAAATACCATCGGCCCTGATGCTGAGTCGCTGCTCGGAGACCGGCGTATGGCTGGCATTTATGTGGCATCAGCACTGGCCAGCTCAGCTCTCAGCCTTGTTCTCAACCCTTCGCCATCTGTAGGTGCATCTGGAGCAATTTTTGGGCTGGTGGGGGCGTTGGGGGTGTTCTTTTTAAGGCACAAGAAGCAGCTGAGCTTGAGGGGGTCGGCGTATTTGCGTGGCTTAGGCAGTACAGTCATGTTCAACCTGGTTCTGGGAGCTTTGTGGAGGAACATTGATAACTCGGGACACCTTGGAGGCCTGCTCGGGGGTGCAGCAGTGGCTTGGTTGGTTGGGCCAAGGCTCATTTCAGCTGGGTTCCCTCCCAAGTTGTATGATTACCCTCCAATTGCAGAGGTGCTGCAACTCCCCGCCAGGCCCGTAGGATGATTTTGACAGGGTGTCGCCCAAGCCTGAAATCGGAATGATGAAGAAGTGAAAATTGAAGTACTGTTTGTCACATTCATCTAAGCGTTTGTATCCTAGTTTCTGGACGGAAGCCCAGCCTCAGCTGCATAAAGCAATATCAGTACTCATCCATGCCATTATGTCCGACCATATTTACAATCTGTTGACACAAAATTGATTGCACGAACCACAACCTCATAATAGGCGAGTTGGATGCAGCGGGAATAGCACCGCGGTTCTAATACTCGACTTGTTGCGTCTTGAATCTTGATAGACACCGTTATATGATTGCATAGCCGATTGCAAGGAAAATGGCGACAGCCCATGACGCCAGCATGAATAACCGGAAGCGTCTACGTATAGAAATCTGCAAGAACGGTCGTTAGCCCGAGTAGACGTCTGATAAAGAAACGCTTAGAGAAGAACATTGTTCTAGTACTTACTAGGCCCATTGACTGCCGCCCGTTCGCTTCTCCACCAGATGAGGAATGCTCCAACCCATCCACTGCACAAGAACACCATTAACATCTAGGTGATGGGATGCACTAAGTTGCTGAAGCCTGTCTCTTACTTCTTCTCTTCAGATCTTGAAGCTTCATCATCATCCTCATGACACGAATGCGCTTCTCGGCATCTACTGCGCTGCTTGGATTGCCCATTTCTTGCAAGCAGCCAAATAAGAGAACTTTCTTTAAGAACGGAATCGCTAAATTCAGGCCTCGTGTGGTCACTAGACTTGAACCAGGATACTTAGCTAGCCAGGACGATGGATAAACGTGTCAGAACCAGAAATTGGTTTGAGATTCTGGACTGGTAGAGGGGGAAACAGAGCCAGCATTTGAAATCCATCTTGGGTGAAAAACATTCAGAGCCTTGCCATGTGGTAGTTGCCATGCCAACTGTCTGATTCAAGCAGGAATCCCTGAGACCACCTCAGTGATTCCTTTCGTCAGATGTCCTTGAAGGTGACGAGGAGGCCCTGCTCCCTGGGTTGCACATGAATGATGTCCCTTTGCGTGACTCAAACTGAAATGTGCTCGCGGTGTCACATGAAGCTGTCAGGCGCCTCGTATCGGATCCGCAATGTGCTCTCAATTTTAAAGCCCAGGTCCCAAGTTACAAACCGCGAAACCCTCAGTTCGAGAGCGCGGCTTGGGGTGGGGCGATTGGGGCGAGATTGGTTGCGGTGTTACAGGAAGCTGTCACACGTCTCGTATCGTATCTGCAATGTGCCCTCAAATGCAGTGAAACGGCACGCGTTCCCGAGTACATTTTGCATCATGCAAGCAAGTCAGGAATCTCGTTTCCTAAACGCCGGAAAATGCACTGGCTTTTGCAAACATGACACCAAGTCAGGAGTGAACTTCTTTGTTCTGCTCAAAGTCTTGGAATGTTCAACAAATCCAAGGGTATATAGCACAACGCCAAAACGACACTTGGCAGAGGTGGCATCACATTTCAGCTAAGCGCGACTGACATTACCCAAGGATATGACAATTTCCCTGGTCTAGCACCCGAAGTACCGTCACCCTCTGAACCTCTAGATCGATCAATCACCCCAAACAAGACAGGTGCCGTGCACTGTCCACACAAGATTACTTCCAGGAGTCCTCCGCCTGCAACCATGGCGCTAAAACCTCGTTGTGCCTGTCAATTTATAGCAGCTCTGCTTGCTCTAGCGTCTGCAAGACTATTGCAAAATTCCGAAGCCGCCGCTGACGGTAAGACAGCACGAACTCGTTTTTTTCTTGCATACATGCAAGATCATGCCTCGCGTAAAATCACTCGACGGAGTATAGAGGCAATGGTCGTCATTTACTGGGTCTTTTCTTTTCTTTTCTGCATCGTTCGACTGGTTTGCATTGCTGCGCTTAATCCTGTCTTCCCGCCTCGGCAGGCGCACGAAATGGCATTGGCATGTACGGGAAGGTCCTGGAACCCACCCTTGACACGGTTCACATGGAAGGTGTGTAAATACTCCCTTGAAAGATGGGAAGTGGGACTGGACTTTTCGTACGACAGTGAAGCTTATCCCTGACATAGTCAACCGGGAAGGTGCATGTATGCACTTTGCACGGTGCATGTATGTAACAGGGTTCTCACGGTGTATGGTTTCACTCAAGGATCGTCATTCAGACTTATTTGCCTGTTTGCTAGGGTTGAAGATTGATAATAGAGGGTATCAGCCGTTTCCTCCTTATCGTTCATCGCCCTGTAACCTCCAGTTCCATTTTTTTTTCTCCGTGCATCGATCCCCTTCCTCCTTTTTCCTTGCATATTTTGCATCCTTCCTTGATTTCAGACCTGCCCGGATTCACTCGCAGCGTAGTCGCTAGGGACCATGCTCTGATAACACCGGAAAGCCGAGTTTTCAGCCCGCTGCCTGGATGGTGGGTGGGTGGGAATGTCTATGGGAGTGATTGAAGTTGTTTCTTGTGGGATGTCGTGTTTGTGAGAAGCAAACGGCGTTTGAGTTGACCCATTAGACTCCAACCTGGTCAATCTGTCAGACTTTGGGAGTGGCCTGCAAATGCAGCAGAATGCCCGGAGTCTCTCTGTGCATGCAAAAGCTCTTGCAGAAATCTTTAAGCGTCCACTCGATAATGTTTTTGGTGCAACTCGTGCGCTGCCTGTAATTTTTATTGCAGGAAGAACACTCTCTCTGCGCATCTGGTTACCCCTGCCATCGGCGCACACTTCGCCATGTCCCTGCTCCAGCTCTCAGGTACCCGCTTCCGCTCGCGTCAAGGACCACCCTCTCTCCACATCTGGTTACCACATCTGCAACCCCATGTCTTCGCTCCCCTCTACCCTATCTAAGCATCATTTAGGTTCTTTCTCCCCTCTCGTTTCTCTCCGTCTCACGTATGACTCTAACGTACGTTACTGTGTGCGACTCAACGTTCTCTCGCCGCTACACTGTCAATTGACGGAGTTTCCATCCCTTTTTTTTCTCGCCCGTTACTTGTATCAGGCAATGCCTCCTCCGCCCCTCCGGTTGCTGGAGTGGAGAGGTGAGAAGCATGCAGGGAGGCCAGGAACTTGTATTGCGTGTGACTGACGATTTTTGAGTCAACTCAAAAATCACCTTTTGAGTCGACTCGAAAATGCCTCCTCCGCCCCTCCGGTTGCTGGAGTGGAGAGGTGAGAAGCATGCAGAGAGGCCAGGAACTTGTATTCCGTGTGACTGAGACGAGAGCTACGCGACACATAGTGCTTTGTGATAGAAGAACTTGAAATTCTTGAAGTAAACGTGACCTTACACACCCATGCACCCATGCATCCTTTCATCCGTGACCTGTGTGCCTGCATTGCTGTGCGCGTAATGTGGGGGTGCATTGCCGCAGGTTTGTGTTTGTGGTGTCGGGACAGGTCACCTTCACGCAGCTGGAGACTCAAGAAGAGGCGCCCAATGAGTGCGCGACAGCTGTCAATGCTGGGAGCACCTGCACAGGCACCATTGTTCAGCAGGAAGACCTTACGGTAAAGGTTTGGGTGTGTGTGTTTGATCAAAATTTTGTATCCATCAAACTCTTCTTGCATGCACGCAGGCAGTATATGGGCTGCTGTATTCTGCATAACGCCCCTCCTTCCACATGCCCTCGTGCCCTTGTCACACAACGTGCACATCTCCCATCCCACCTCTCGACCCGCCTAACTATACCAACTTTCCCTGCAGGCAGGACATGATAATTTGCACTCCACATGTCGTCGTCTTACCCTTGTCAACGTGCACGTCTCCTATCCCACCCCTCAACCCCCCTATTTGTACCAATTCACCGTACACCACCTGGACTTTGCTTTTGAGTCGACTCAAAAGCGACCCCTCAACCCCCCCATTCCTACCACCTCACCATGTAATCCTTGTTTTAGGACAACACGTATGCACATTTTGAGACCTTTAATGTCCGCCTTTCTAACACCAAATCATCCCCATGCGTACCTCCTTGTTTCAGGATGACTCGTATGTGTATCTGCCACCAAGTACGCCTCACTTCTTGGCCTCTGCATCTGGAGCTACGCTTGTGCTGATTGAGCGAAGGTACGTGAAACTCTAAACTTGCCCGTAACTTGATTCGAAGGGGAGGTCACCAGACACGCACACTTGGCTTTTGCATCTGGAGCTACGCTCGTGCTCATTGAGCGACGGTACTCTAAACCCTGAACTTTGAACCCAAACCCGAGCTACAATTGAAGGAGAGGCCACCTGACACACCCCACTCCTTTGCCTCTGCAGAGCTACCCTCCCTCGTGCTAGGTGGATAACCAGGCCACATTTTTAGAATTCTAAAAAATGACTACACCCCAATCCATTGCCTTTGCAGAGATACCCTCGTGCAAGGTGGATAACCAGGCCACATCTGGATTATCTATTCCCATGCTTCTCTTCCCGCCTGTCCAACATCTGACCTCTGCCCCCCCACCCCCCACACCACCCCCCTGTCTATCAGGTACTGCCCTATCACAGGCTTTGGTGTAGCTTCAGAGGTGGCGAGCGGTGCAGAGGGGCCAGCGGTGGTGGTGGGGCAGACGCACAGGCAACCCGTCCTGCTTGTCCCTGGAGAGGTGGGCTGTTCTGTTGTCACTAGGCATGGTGATTTTTCTAGGCGCCTCAGAACTACGCGCTTTAAATCAAACGCACAGGCAGGCAACCCGTCCTGCATGTTCCTGGAGAAAGGTGCGCTGCTCGGTTGTTGTCGCTAGGCATGGTGAACTCGCTGAGGCACCTAAAAAAAGTAGATGCACAGGCAGGCAGCCCTTTCTGCCAGTTCCTGGGGAGGTCCGCTGTTTTGTTGTCACCAGTCGCGGTGATTTTTCTAGACGCCTCAAAATTAGGCGCTGGCAGTGTCTCATGCCACAAGTAGGCATGGTGAAGTCTCGTTTTGTGTGCTGTTATGCCCCTCCATTGTGTCACATGAGAATAGTGAAGTCTCCTGAGCTCCTGAGCCCCGTATCACCTCCTGAGCGAGGATTCTCCCCATCTTACCCCCTCTGCACGCTCTTACAAAACCTGCTAAGTCCGTTCTTCCTGGGTCTGAGTCTCCGTGGTTAATAAGTTTAGTTTTCAGATGTCTCAAAACGAAACTACTTAACATGCTAAGTCTGTTCTTACTGAGCTTCCAACATCACCTGCTCAGGTGACTTTTGTGTGAACGAAAAGTCACCTCTCATTTGTGACTGACCGACTGACTGACTCTGCAATGCCTTCGGCCTGTTCCAACTGCTTGTTTCTGTCTGTTCGCCAGGTGTTTGTGCTTCGTGAACTGAGACTATTTTTGAGGCGCCTAAAAAACGATGCCTTGTGTCTGTTCCAACTGCTTGGTTCTGTCTGTTCGCCAGGTGTTTGTGCTTCGTGAGCTGAGACTATTTTTGAGGCGCCTAAAAAACAATGCCTTGTGTCTGTTCCAACTGCTTGGTTCTGTCTGTTCGCCAGGTGTTTGTGCTTCGTGAACTGAGACTATTTTTGAGGCGCCTAAGAAACGATGCCTTGTGTCTGTTCCAACTGCTTGGTTCTGTCTGTTCGCCAGGTGTTTGTGCTTCGTGAGCTGAGACTATTTTTGAGGCGCCTAAAAAACAATGCCTTGTGTCTGTTCCAACTGCTTGGTTCTGTCTGTTCGCCAGGTGTTTGTGCTTCGTGAACTGAGACTATTTTTGAGGCGCCTAAAAAACAATGCCTTGTGTCTGTTCCAACTGCTTGGTTCTGTCTGTTCGCCAGGTGTTTGTGCTTCGTGAACTGAGACTATTTTTGAGGCGCCTAAGAAACGATGCCTTGTGTCTGTTCCAACTGCTTGGTTCTGTCTGTTCGCCAGGCGTTCGTGCTTCGTGAACTGAGACTATTTTTGAGGCGCCTAAAAAACAATGCCTTGTGTCTGTTCCAACTGCTTGTTTCTGTCTGTTTGCCAGGTGTTTTCGCTGCGCAAGCTGCTTCCCACCACCACTGCAGAAGTCTATGTTTGAGGCGCCTCAACAAGAGACTCTACACTTGTGTCTTTTCCAAATGCGTTGCTCTCCTTGCAAATGTTCGTCAGGTGTTTGTGCTTCGCAAGCTGCTTCCCACCACCACTGCATATGACTTCAACATTCATGTAATGGTTACTTCCTCTCGTTCATATGGTTACTTTCATATACTGCTTCTTTTGCATTTATGCAATGCTGCTACAATACTCTGTTCTTTCGTTCCTTGCTTTGCCATGCTCGTCGAATAAACGTACCTTTTTCATCGATTTCTTTTTTCACAGTTCCTTCTGGTACCCTTGGCAGATAATGGACTTTGAGCCGGGGGAGTTTCTGACTGTGAAGGTGAGTTGAGTGTGCTTATTTCAGGTTAAGACCGATCCAGCTCTGTTGCAATAGTTTCGACACCCCATCTCGTCATCTTGAAGGAGACGCAGTGGCTTCCCCTCAATCAGCATGGCCTGCTGCTGGTGGAGGGTTGGGAAAGGTCTTTGAGTCGATGCAAAAGCCACCCCCCCACCCCTACCTCCCCGTTCCCCCCCCTTCCCGCCCTGTCCTCCCCCCCCCTCCCCCCCTCTCTCTATTCCTCTTCATCGCCGTATGCAGGAGGTGCACTACAACCAGCATGGCCTGCTGCTGTTGGAGGGTCGGGGAATTTACCGTCTGGCTGATAGCTGGTGAGACGAGATGTGGTGCATGTGTCGGTGTCCTGCGGCAAGGTATGGCAATAGGTGGTGTGGCAAAAGGTGGTGTGGCAATAGGTGGTGTGGCAATAGGCGGTGTGGCAATAGCTGGTGAGGCAAGGTGTGGCGCATGTATCAGTGTCTCGAGTCAAGATATGGCAATAGGTGTTTTGGGATGCAGTAGGGCGTAGCAACTAGGGATTGCAGCCACGAGGTGCACTACAACCAGCATGACCTGCTGCTGTTGGAGGGTCGGGGAATTTACCGTCTGGCTGATAGCTGGTGAGGCAAGATGTGGTGCATGCATCAGTGTCTTGTGGCAAGATGTGGCATGGCAGTAAGGCGTAGAAACTAGGGTTCACAAGCAGGAGGTGCATTACAACCAGCATGGCCTGCTGGTGAGTCGGGGAATGTACCGTCTGGCTGATAGCTGGTGACTCAATATGTGGCGCAAGTGAGGCGATAGGTGGTGTGGCAATCGGGTGTGTAGGTGAACCAGGGATTAATGGGTGAATCCAGGTAATGTGTCGTTTGGCTTTTCGGTGGCAAGGTGCGAACTTATGCGTGCGTACTTCCATGCAATGGTTGAGTTTTCTATCATTTTGTCTGTTAACATGGTTGAATTTCTGAGTTCCAAGGTTTTGCCTATTCACAACACTTATAAGGAGAATGGTACACCAAGCGTCAGCATGCTGAGCCTTTGTACTGGAGGTTTTTTACTCGGCATGCTCATCACACACATTACATCACACACAATCCATCACACACAACACATCGCACACATTACACACACGTTATGTAACAGTTAACTCGGAGTGTCACGTTTCTTTCATCGGCAGGTATCCTGTGCAAGCAGGCGATGCCATCTGGATGGCTCCTTTTGTTCCGCAATGGTGAGCTCATGTGATTTCCTTGTGCATAAGGGTAATTCTGAGTGCAGTTGTGGAAGCAGCAATTATTTTTTTATAACGTGCAACCTAACTTCTGTTTGTAACCTCTTGATGAACCTTCTTTTTTCTCTTTGCTCCTTTTGTGCCCATCAGGTATGCTGCACTTGGAAAGACCCGGTCAAGATATATCCTTTACAAGGATGTCAACCGTAACCCGCTGCTCCATCCATCGTGTTGATATGCCATCAAATGAACTTTATGAGATGATATGTGAGTCAAATCGAAAGGTTTCTTGCCCATGCCGAAATGGTGTTTGCGCCCTTCCCCTATCCTAGGTGGGATAATGGGTGTCATTTGAGAGAAATAAATAATGGGGGTGAAAACCGTACGGGCCTCGTTTTGCAGCAGAAATATTGACCAAATTGCAACTCGTGTTGAAATCCACAAATTAGATATTTTAGGGAAATGAGCAAATCCGTGATGTTCATAGCATTGTGAAGAAACCCTGACACCTGAATCCGTACGCTTGATGACTTGTTTGAAGGTGAAACACCAACGTGTCCTTAGCGTTAATGTTTGCTCCAAACCCAACTCAACCGCTTAATATTTTATATCCAACGTTCAGAAACATAAAGCACCTCAATTAACCGCAAAAATAAATGAACGCTTATGATCCGCCCAAAAACGGGATGCGCTCTACAGTAATATCTTCGAACAAACCAAACTCGTTCACACAAGCTCTCACGCACGTCAGCAAACTCCTGCCCTTCGTCCGCCTAACTGACGTGGTTCGCTACAGTTTTGTCACCTATCAGAACGTTTCGCCAGATTCAGCAGCGGCTCGCCTGAACATCTCACGTTTTTTCACGTGACACTGCAGCCGGGCTCTTGCGATGGCATGATGTGCAATTTCGTGATTTTCATTGCGAACCACGGAAACGCTTCGCACCCAATCAAACTCAATCTGACAGGTGGCATCAACGGTAAAGTCTCCCCCCTCTTGTCGCCCGTCTGTCACCCAGAGGCAGCAGCTTTCTCCCACTCTCAACTGTTTCTTCCCAATACCGTAATCAGCCGTTCCATGTATTTTGTCCACCACTCTAAAACACGAAGCACCCAGACTAAACCGCAATCTTCGGACTCCTGAGACCATCTACCCCACCACAACAACCCTCACAGGTTCAGCCTGTCTCATTGTCAACAACACAGTTCAGGTTTTACTCCGGTTCAATCTGTTCCGTTTCTTCATGGCTCCACCACACGTAGTCATGCAGCAGCACAACTGCCTTCTCTTGGTTTCTATCCCATGACTTGTTGTGCCTCACACCAATCGTGACTCGTGAGAGTCCCTAGCAGCAGCACCTTTTCCACTTGCGCTCCGGAACAATCCCACAACTGTACATCTGAAAATCCGGCTTGTTTTTTTTTTCCAACCCCTTGGACCCTCCGTTTGTCTGCTCCAGTAGTAACGCCTGCCATTCCTCCAAGTGGGTGGTCTTTCGTAAGGCCGCGGTACACGACCCTGTTCTCCAGGGTCAACGATAGCGAACCGCCGTGTTACCTTACCGAAAACCTCATCAGCCTACGAAAATCTCTTTGAAAACCCTGTAATCCCCGACCTCGAGGGTCCGCAATCCTGGAAAACAGGGTCGTGTACCGCGGCCTAAGCTTTACTCGACGTACAGTCTACTCTAACGGCCTGGTTTAGGTCTGAGAGACGTAACTTGCCATCGCTTGACTTAGTAGGAATTACTGTACACTGAACTGTCTAGTGCTGGCTGGCACGCTGGCAGCACAGCAGCAGTGACTCAGATTCATCTTCGGCAACCCCCCCTTCCATACCCGATCAGACCCCACGCGACCCTGAGACGACCCGAGTCGAGTCCGAGCACAGAATGCTGACGCCAGCTCCAAACCGGCGCGACCAATGGGAGACTCGAACGGAGGGGCTGACGCGGCGAGAGCCGTCTCACCTGGAAGCATTCGACGGGTCGGACCCAGGGATTGGATAGCAGCCCGATTTCACAACCTCGAGATTAACGAACTGCTGGCCGTCCGATATGGCCCAGTGCATGGAGCTGTAAGCGGATGGGCCGATCTGAGCCGTCACCACGATGTACACCGTATTGTATCGTGCGTCGCATGGTAGGCGGCGGCTGCGCGAATGTACGAGTGTAGCGGGGCTTCACCGCTTCAGCCTTCACAAAACCAGAAATGCTTCATGAGCCCTCCTGGCTCCAACACCCCGGGAAAATCATGCTCGGCCCAGACCAGCCAGACGAGAAGTCTCAGGCTTGAGTCTCGGCGGAGGAGGTGTGCGAAGGAAAGCCGACTAAACCTCCGAGTCGGAAGGCGACTCATCGTTTCTGAGCCCCATCACGAGGAGAGCGAGAGAGAGCAGACGATGGGAGCACCCCTCTGGAAGTACCATGTGGTACTGTACTCACCGTTTCTAGCCCCCCCGAAGGCAGTCCAAGATTTTCTGTGGAGTTCACGACGCATTCCTCAGAGGAAAAGATTCAGCGAAGCCAGATTCCTCCATCGGCTTCAGACTCTTTGCGTACAGAGCATTCCTCGAGATTTAACAGATTCCTCGAGATTTAGTAACAGTGTGTTACCCGCCCCCTAACCAGAACTGACCAAAATCTAGGCACTGAAGCTCTCTCAGGCCCTCGCAGCGCATTAGTCGCCTCTATCTTCTAAGTAGTCATCGAATGGCTTCGCCTGGAAGATTTTCAGGGTCGAAGCTTAATGGCGGAAGCTTCGGCTTACATCGATCGAGTCGGAGTCCACTTGGTTTTCTAGTCGCCTTTACCCTCTTTAATCAAGCCTACGCTCTGCCGTCCGATTTGGTCACACGGGATAGCAGCACACTTCCTACAGTCACACTCCGCAATGACATTCTCCGAGAGGACCTCGCCAGCGCCTTCCTTTACTATCACAGGGACACTTGGCCGGATGAAATCAAGGTGCAATGCCAAGGCGCAATCTGCCCGGATTTGGGATCCTGCGGACCGAATTTCCCCAACCTTCGGGCGTGTCACCAGCCAGAAATCGCTGACCGGGAAACAGTTTTCCCCGGGCAGCCCGAGAACTGTCCAGGAAAAACGAAACTGACACCTGAAGAAGCCGCTGACGTAGCAGCTGCTGCTGCTATCGCCCCTGATACTGTAACAGGAAGAGCCGGAGCAGCAGGGTTACCATGCGCGCATGGGCACAGGCAGGACTACTTCTCTCACGAGCGTTACGTTGCGCAGTACTTTGAGATGAAGGACGTGCTTATGTCGGCATCGGGGCTGGTCTTTAACGAGTCCATGCACTTCAGCCGACAGGGATGCCATGCGGATGGGCAGGTGAGAAGGGCCTGGGCTGGGATGCTTGAACACGTTTGGGCTCAGGGGTGGCGAGATTCAAGAAATGCCACGTCATGTTCTGAACACGTTGTCTCGCGAAAAGTTTTCAGATCATATTCTGACTCCCATTGCTCGCTTTCTGCTTCTGTATGTGCAGTTTCACTACAAGGCAAAAGACTCCAAGGTGATTGAATTGGACCAGCTGGTTTCATTTGTGTACCACCAAGGAGGCAACTACTACCACTCACTAGTCGACCTCCTCCCTCAATTCTACATCATGAGAGACTTCCTTAAAGCCCATCCCAACATCCCCATCGCGTTCAAAAAGACGCAGCTGGCCTTCTATCGCCGGGTTCTCAAGCATGTCATTGGCGTCATGCCTTACGAGTTTAACCTTCTCACCACTCAAGACCAGGATACCACCACTCTCTACCGAACCTCCAGGCTCTACCAACCCGTGTTTCAAACCTGCGGGAACCCGAGCCCGAGCCTCTGGCGCACCCTCCGCTCCCGCTTCCTCCTCCCGCCCAATGGCCTTCCCATGTTCTCTGAAGCATGGGAAATCCGCAATCCCATCCAAGAGCTAGCTGGTGCTGCTGGTGCTAAGGGGAAGATCAAGTTGGGGTCCTGGAATAAGGAGCAGATGAGCAAACTGCCTCGTCATTGGGTGGTGGTGTTGGGGCAACGGCCGGGAAGTGACCGAAGGCGATTGGTCGGGTTTGACGCCCTTCTCTCTGCAATGGAACAGCTGTTCACACCAGAGAGAGTGGTGGTCTATGATGGGTCTTTACCTATCTTGCAGGCCAAGGCACTGTTCAACCGGGCAGCTGCTTACGTGGCGCCACATGGAGCAGGGCTGGCTAATATGATCTTCATGCCATCTGGGTCGTCAGTTCTAGAGATTCGGCCAGACAGGCTTCCGAATGCGTGCTACCACCACCTAGCGAGTGCTTGTGATTTGCACTATTCCCTTGTCATGGGAAATGGGACGGTAAGCTCACCACTTAGTTTTGATATGAGAGAGGTGAGAGTTGCTTTGGATGGTGTAGCAAGGCACACATTTGCTAGAGATGCTGAGCTTCAAAATTGGTAGAGGTGTCTACCACGTGTATATATGCTCCTCTATCTCTCTTTCTCCATACACGCCCAGCCACAAGAAGTTTGTAACAATTTCACAATTAACTCAAAGCCTTATTCTAGAAGAAATGAGGTTCATTTGTGAGATCGTTGTTCTGAAGGGTGTACAAGCTTACTATTTCGTACACATACTTCCCTCATTATTCGGGTTCCAACATCTTGGCGAATCCTCGTTTCCCGCCCTCTGACAGCATTGTGCCTCCCCCACTGCCATCCATGCTCTCACACCTCCACCATTCTCGCCATTGTTCCACCGCCGATTCACTAGCGGAGGTCTTATGCGAATCACGCCGCTACGAGAAGTCTGGCGCTATGGCTAGGGGAACCTGACACTTTAGAGTTGTAGCGAGGAGACGGAAGTAGCAAGGAGGCGGCTGTCACGAAGAGACGCTAGTCAGTCACGGAGAGTGTCAACATAAGAACTGGCTCACTGCAGGTGAAACCGATTGCTATTCGGTAGTGCGAGTAGACTCGTAGCGTTGAAGTAGCGACAGGTCGTGAGGAATTCGAAGTGGCTCGACAGGATTTTTTTAATGTTTCAGCCTTAACTCAGCACGAATCAATGCTGCTTTTTCTTAACGGCCATCTCGTTACAATAACGTAGCAACTAAGGCTCCAGTCGAAAGCGGCTCTAAGTCTCGGCACCACCATTCCGGCAGCATCGCCGTCAGCATCACCGTCAGCTCCTCGTACTTGCCATCTGCTTTCTCCACCACACTGCACCGTTTCCCACTACCTTGTACTATTCCCGCTTTTCCCGTTCTGCGCCGTTTTTTCCCATTTTCACCATTTTCCCGCTTCTCGTCACCAAACTATTCTCACTGCTTCACACCGGCGCAGCATCATTCCCACTCCTCTGCTTCACACCAACGACGTGCATGGGTCTCTGCTCCTCGTCTCTGGACGACGATGCGCCAGCGCAGCACCATTACCCCCACTACCACTCCCAACCGACCTCAACCGCATCAACCTTCCCTCCCACCTCCTCGTACCACTTCTCTTACCCCTCCTTCCCCCCCTCCTCCTCCTCCTCCTCCGCTCTCCGACCGCCGCCTCCCCATCTCCCCCCAGAGTGCATCGCTCTGATTCTCTCACACCTCCCTCCCGCCACCATCTGCCGCCTGGCGTCAGTCTCCAAGGCCTGGGCTGAAGCTGCTGACTCAGACACCTGCTGGACCCGCCTCCTGCCCCGCGCCTTCGCCCCTAAGCTCTTTCCCGACTGCTCTTCCAAGGTTTCCCTCAACCCCAAGGTTGTTCTGACTCCCTTATCTGCTGATTCCTCTCCTGAGCTAATTCTCAGCTCTCCCGCATCGTCTGCGTCCTCTCCTCTCCCCGGTGTTGGTAACGTCACCTCGCGCGGGCTTGTTGCGGGATCTTATCCGCTCGCCTCGCATCTGCTGAAGTATGACCCTCTGCGTCCAGGTTCAACGAATCCGGGTCAGCTGCTTCCAGGCCCATCGAATCCTGCTTCCCTGGCGTCTGACCCTCTGAAGCGGCCCTCCAGCAAGGTGCTTTTCCAGGCGTTATGCCAGGGCGTTCTGCTAGAAGGAGGGAGGCTCCAGGTGAAGATAGACCCAGGCACAGGCCTTGTCAGGGCAGCCCTTAGCGCCACTGAAGCCATGGGGATTGCATGGGGGAGCAATGCTAGCTACTGGCAGCAAGTGGAGCTCAAAGGCTCGGTATTCCCTAGGGTTGCCCATCTAGCTGCTGTCAGCACTTTCGATTTGATTGGGCGATTTACCCTACCGCTTCCGGTGCGGTCGTGTAGATATGAGCTGTGGTGGAGGGTAGCAAGGGATCCTACCCTAGGGGAAACCTGGATGCCTCGAGACGTTGTGTTTGAGTGGCCGACTGCACTGGTTACCAGCAATGTGAAGGTTACGGGTCCGGGATTATCGGAATCGGTAGAGATTCAGCGGCGGGTGGTGTTTAATGATGCGACGTTGCCGGGTGCTGGGTGGACCGAGGTTGGGGTGGGGGTGGTGGTGCTTTGGCCGGGGAAGAAAGGGGGAGAGTTGGTGGAGACAGAGTGGGAGGTGAGGTTGCATGAGGTGGAGTCAGGGATGTGGAAAAGTGGCTTGTATGTAGATTGCTTCCTGTTGAGGGAAGCTCCCATGTGATATGGGTGGGAGTGTCATTTGGTGGCAGTACCCATCCCATTGGGGTCTGTCTTGGACCATACCGTATCATCACCCAATGGGTGCATCTGCTTTGGTGTAAATAATTGCAGCGGTCGAGAGTAGAAGCACCTCGTAACCCGGTTGTCATCACCTTAGTATTTGTTGCAATGTATGGTCATCATCATGCAAATGTGCAACCTTCGTCTAGTGGTGTTCCATAAACGTGTTTGTCTTTTGTCTGGTAAGGAAGCCTTTACGTTATAAAGCGGATATCCGCGGCTACCTGTTGCAAATTCCCGCCAAGCTTGTTGAATTGTCGGCTCGGCAGCAGGCAGCCCCACCTCGGCTGGTTGCGGATTCCAGATTCTAGAATCACGAACCGTGAAAAAATCAGGGCCAAGTTCAGGTAGACGGGTTTCAAAGCCTTGCATGATCATTTTCTTCAGCCGTTTCCCCTAGCTAGCTCTAGGTTATGATCGCCACCCTGCCTGCACTCCTCAGCATCCCGCCGGCTTACGGAAGTGTTCACGGTGACGAATACGGCGAGTTTTAATAATCACCCAGTCCATGATCATTCGCTGCATTCGTTTTCCCAACATCCTCTTCAAGCATAGCTCTAAGGTCGTCTTTGCTCTGCTCTCGCGATCTGCACGACACACATCCCCGTTATTAGCTTCTCCGTGCTTTTGTTCCGTCGATTCACTATTTCCTTTCCAAACTGTAGCGTTCGCGGGCAGTGTGCGACCTATATCGCGTAAGAACGTTCCCTCGACTGGAGCTAGGGAAATCGTCCACGACGCTGAATCCCCCGCATTCGTCCCAAGAGCTGAGAAGCCTAGCGGATTTCGAGAATCTAGGGCATTCAGGGAATCTAGGGAATCTAGGGAGTCGAAGGAATCTAGGGAGTCGAAGGAATCTAGGGAGTCGAAGGAATCTAGGGAGTCGAAGGAATCTAGGGAGTCGAAGGAATCTAGGGAGTCGAAGGAATCTAGGGAGTCGAAGGAATCTAGGGGATACGGGGAATCTCTGCACGGTGCTGAAACATCGGCGCGCGCCATGATGAGGCGAGGCAGGGGGCCCAACCGCCAGAGACGGGGCGGCCGCGGAAGCGGAAGAGGTGGCGGAAGCGGTGGAGGGGAAGGCGGAAGGGGCGGAGAAGAGGGCGGAAGGGGCGGCGGAGGAGGCGGAAGGGGCGGAGGAGGAAGAAGCGGAAGGGGCGGCGGAGGAGGGGGCGGGGAGCAGCGATGGTGGGATCCGGCGTGGCGCGCGCAGCGACTAGCGGCGATGGGGAAGGAGGTGAGGGCGAGGGTAGTAAGTGAGGAACGGGATGAGGGGGGAAGAGGGATGAATGAAGAATGATTGGCGGATCCTTGGACATTTTCCTACTTGCTAACCTGTCTCCTGACGCCGCGCTCACTGGAAGATGTCCAAGGGGGGGAAGAGGGATGAATGAAGAAAGATTGGCGGCGACGGGGAAGGAGGTGCGGGCGAGGATGGAAGCTCGGTGGAAGAGGGGCGGAAGGCATGACGGCAGAAGGGTGGAAGACGGGTGAATGAGGACTGATTAGCGGCGACGGGGAGGGACGTGAGGGCGAGCGAGGGATGGACGAGGGACGGACGAGGGAAGGAGGCGAGGACGAGGGACGGAAGAGGGATCCGCACGTTTCCCCCTGTTCCATAGCCAAGAGAGCCCCTATCGACAGTGAGCATAGCAGGACGCGGAGGCGATAACCTGCTTTCTCATGCTTTTGCTATCCTCGTCCCCACCCCCACCCCCATCCCCATCCCCATCCCCATCCCCATCCCCATCCCCATCCCCATCCCCATCCCCATCCCCATCCCCATCCCCATCCCCATGGGGATCCCCATCCCCCTCCCCCCATTCTATTCTCAGAGAGGTCCAGCAAAGCAAGTGGACGGCGCAGCATGGGCGGCACGGTTCCGGAAGCTAGCAGCAGGGGGTGGCGCAGTGGGGAGCGGAGCAGCAGGGGGTGGCGCAGGGGGGAGTGGCGCATCAGGGAATGGGGCAGTCGAGAGCGGATCAATGGGGAGCGGAGCAGCAGGCGCGCAGCAAGTGGGGAGTCTTCCAGAGGAGATAGTGATTCGCGAGAACTACGGGAGGGAGGGGACGGAGCAATTGCAAGTCTTGGCAGAGCAGGCAGGGCTGTACTTGTGAGTGCTGTGGTGATCGGTGCTTACGGTGTGACTTGTACATTCCTGCTTGAACGAGTGTGGCAAGCGGGGAGCTTCCCAGAGGAGATAGTGATTCGCGAGAACTATGGCAGGGAGGGGACGGAGCAGCTGCAAGACTTGGCAGAGCAGGCAGGGCTGTACTTGTGAGTGCATGAGTGAGGAGGTGTAGGTTCGTTCTCGAACAGGTGCAGCTTCTGGCATAGGAAGCAGGGCTGTACTTGTGCGTGCAGGGCGAGCCTGAACCTTAAACCTCAAACCCCAAACCCAGAGCAGGCAGGGCTGTACGTCCGACTTACATGAGGTGATCGTGTGGGGATATTTGGGTGTGGGTGTAGAGGGATGCTCGTGGGTGCAGATGAATTTGTGATTTGCTATAACTGGGAGGGAGGAAACAGAAGAACCGAGATATCTGGCTGTCTGGCATAGCAGGCAGGAGTCCGGACTGTGCGTGTAAGACCAGAGCTGTTGCTGAATTTGAAAATCTGCAACAGCCATATTTCTAGGAGCTTCGCAGAGCAGGCAGGCTGTTCTTGTGAGCTGAATGGGGTGTTCGTGTGAACAAAAATAATGCTTAAACCCTCAGAATTCTCATCTTTCTTCTCCTTTCCATTCCCTCCCTGGCAGCCAGACATACGTTCTTGTGATCTGAATGGGGTGCTTGTATGAGCAAAAAAATGCTTAAACCCAAACCTCGAACCCCCCAAAAGCCTCAGCTGATTTTCTCATTATTCTCCTTCCTTGCAGCCAGACGCATGGTAGGGGAACCGGAACAGTCGTGGTGGCCAACAGAGTGCCGCTGCCAGGCTACCCTCTGAGGTATAGCTTTGCGCAAGAGTCTCTTCTGCTCCTTCTTTTCCTCCCCTTGCAGCCAGACGTACGGCAAGGGAACCGGGACAGTTGCAGTGGCCAGCAGAGTCCCGCTGCCGAGCTACCGGGCGGACTTGGATGACAGACACGGGCGGTCCGAGCGACAGGTGAGCGAATTCTCCATAGGTGTCACGGTCAGAGCGACAGGCTCCCTCCCCCTCCTACCTGTTCTTCTCCCCTACTTGTTCTTAAAGCCATGCGGCCCTCGTTTGCCATCCCCCATTCCCATCCACCCCCTCCCCCCTCCCCCAAAGTTCACATGGTCCCTTCTGACCCCCACCAACACGGCTCAAGCCTCCTCGCCTTTTTATAAGGCGCCTAAGAAAACACACCTGTTGCAGCGCCTACATATCCACACGTGTTTTACCATCTCCCCCATCCCCCCCTCCCTTGGTACCTTCCCACACAGATCACAGTCTCATCCGACCTTCATCAACACGTCTCAAACCTCCTCGCCCCCTCCTCCTCCTTTGCCCCTGGGGCACCCACACCAGCACCACCAGCAGCATCAGCAGCAGCAGGAGCAGCACCAGGAGCACAGAGAGGGGCCTCGGTTGCTGCAACGCCGTCACAGTTCGCTGCTTCAGCAGCGGCTAATGCGCTCAGAATACAGAGCGAGGCGTTGAGAGCCGAGCAGAACAGGCGAAAGGTAACCTTTTCAAGCTTACTCTGGCAGCAGCACGTGCCCGTAGGGTTAGCTCTACTTTAGCCTCAAGGTTAGCTCTACTTAGCGTAGAGAGCCGAGCAGAACAGGCGAAAGGTAGCATCCTCTGCTGGCTCCGGCAGCAGCACATGCTTCCCTACACACCCACCCTAGCCCACACACAACACCACCATCACATCCCCATCCCCATCCCTTAACACCGTTCCCTGGCCCCCTCCCTTCCTCCACCAACAGTCCCCCCCTGCATTGCAGACCATGAGGGCTCAGAGGCAACGACTCCTATTGGACTGCTGCTCCCATGTCGGCCGTCATGCAGTGGGAGCAGCTGCTGCTGCAGTGATTAGTCTCTCACTCACACCACCATCCGCTCACACCCCTCCCGGACCCAATCCTCCCCTCCACGGCAACAGTCCTCCCCTGTAGTTCAAGCCACGAGGGCTCAGAGGCAACGACCCCCATTAAAAAGACCCCCCGCCCTCATCCACCCCCACCCACCCCCTGCTGCCGGCCTCTCTCCTGCCACCCTATGACCACGCCCCTGCAGTCATCCCCTGCGGTTCGTTTTTGAGAATTCTCAAAAACCCCCTGCAGTCATCCCCTGCGGTTCAAGCCATGATGGCTCAGAGGCAGCAGGTTCCTTCGATCCACCTGACACCTGCCTTTTCCCCCTCCCCCCTGCCTCCTTGCACTCTCCTGCCACCCTGTGCGTGCACCCAGGAGTGCAAGCCATGTTGGCTCAGAGGCAGCGACTGCCATCGAGTTGACACCTCCCTTCCCCCCCTCCCCCCTACCTCCTCGCACTCTCCTGGCACCTTACTTACGACCACGCCCCTGCAGTCCTCCCTTGCAGTTCAAGCCACGAGGGCTCAGAAGCAGCAGCTTCCATCGATCGAGCTGACTCCCACCGTTCCCCCTCCCACCTGCCTCGTTCCAATCTCCTGCCACCCTACAACCACGCCCCTGCAGTCATCCCCTGCAGTGCAAGCCATGATGGCTCAGAGGCAACGGCTACCTGCCTTCAAGCAGCGGGAGGAGCTGCTGCGAGCTGTGCAACAGAGCCAGGTGATTGCAACAGAGCCAGGTGTTTGCAACAGGGCCAGGTGATTACAACAGAGCCATGCGATTGCAACAGAGCCAGGTGGTTGCAACAGAACCTAATGTTGAGCAGGTATGATGTGTTAGTCTGGCATGCTGTGTTTTCTCCCTCCAGAATTCTTTGCCTTGTGTTTGTCCCCATTCGCATCCTGGTGACGCCGCAATGTGTCCGAGTAAGTGAACCTGCTTTTGAGTCAACGGAAAGGGAGTCTCCCTCCAGCATGCGTGGCCTTGTGTTTGTCCCCATTCGCGTCCTTGTGGTGCCACAATGCATCATATAAAGTGAGATAGAGGCAGGCAGGGGCGCGCAGACAATGATCATCTGCACGCAGCCCAGGCGGATATCGGCCACCTCCGTGGCGGGGAGAGTGGCGATGGCTCACCCGTGTGTGCAATGAGTCTATTTTTGGGTCGACTCACTAATAGATTCATTACTCCGTGGCGGGGAGACTGGCGATGGCTCATCCATTTATGCACTCGTAACCCTTTCCTTTCCTTGCTTTAACTTGCAGGTGCTTGTGGTGTCTGGCGAGACAGGCTGTGGCAAAACCACCCAACTGCCTCAATTCATCCTGGAGAGTGAAATCGACGCGGGGAGAGGCGCGCAGACAATGATAATCTGCACGCAGCCGCGGCGGATATCAGCCACCTCAGTCGCGGGGAGAGTGGCGGCGGAGAGAGGGGAGGACGTGGGGGGGAGCGTGGGGTACCAGATAAGGATGGAGAGCCGACGAGGGCCCAACACCCGGCTGCTGTTCTGCACCACTGGCGTGCTGCTGAGACGACTGGTACGTGCTTAGAAGTCTGGAAAGGGTTGGAAGCATCAGAGGTGGGGGGAGCATGGGGTACCACATAAGGATGGAGAGCCGACGAGGGCCCAACACCCGGCTGCTGTTCTGCACCACTGGCGTGCTGCTGAGACGACTGGTACGTGCTTAGAAGTCTGGAAAGGGTTGGAAGCATCAGAGGTGGGGGGAGCATGGGGTACCACATAAGGATGGAGATCCGACGAGGGCCCAACACCCGGCTGCTGTTCTGCACCACTGGCGTGCTGCTGAGACGACTGGTACGTGCTTAGAAGTCTGGAAAGGGTTGGAAGCATCAGAGGTGGGGGGAGCATGGGGTACCACATAAGGATGGAGAGCCGACGAGGGCCCAACACCCGGCTGCTGTTCTGCACCACTGGCGTGCTGCTGAGACGACTGGTACGTGCTTAGAAGTCTGGAAAGGGCTGGAAGCATCAGAGGTGGGGGGAGCATGGGGTACCACATAAGGATGGAGAGCCGACGAGGGCCCAACACCCGGGTGCTGTTCTGCAACACTGGCGTGCTGCTGAGACGACTGGTACGCGCTTAGAAGTCTGGAAAGGGTTGGAAGCATCAGAGGTGGGGGGAGCATGGGGTACCACATAAGGATGGAGAGTCGACGAGGGCCCAACACCCGGCTGCTGTTCTGCAACACTGGCGTGCTGCTGAGACGACTGGTACGTGCTTAGAAGTCTGGAAAGGGTTGGAAGCATCAGAGGTGGGGGGAGCATGGGGTACCACATAAGGATGGAGAGCCGACGAGGGCCCAACACCCGGCTGCTGTTCTGCACCACTGGCGTGCTGCTGAGACGACTGGTACGTGCTTAGAAGTCTGGAAAGGGTTGGAAGCATCAGAGGTGGGGGGAGCATGGGGTACCACATAAGGATGGAGAGCCGACGAGGGCCCAACACCCGGCTGCTGTTCTGCACCACTGGCGTGCTGCTGAGACGACTGGTACGTGCTTAGAAGTCTGGAAAGGGCTGGAAGCATCAGAGGTGGGGGGAGCATGGGGTACCACATAAGGATGGAGAGCCGACGAGGGCCCAACACCCGGCTGCTGTTCTGCACCACTGGCGTGCTGCTGAGACGACTGGTACGTGCTTAGAAGTCTGGAAAGGGTTGGAAGCATCAGAGGTGGGGGGAGCATGGGGTACCACATAAGGATGGAGATCCGACGAGGGCCCAACACCCGGCTGCTGTTCTGCACCACTGGCGTGCTGCTGAGACGACTGGTACGTGCTTAGAAGTCTGGAAAGGGTTGGAAGCATCAGAGGTGGGGGGAGCATGGGGTACCACATAAGGATGGAGATCCGACGAGGGCCCAACACCCGGCTGCTGTTCTGCACCACTGGCGTGCTGCTGAGACGACTGGTACGTGCTTAGAAGTCTGGAAAGGGTTGGAAGCATCAGAGGTGGGGGGAGCATGGGGTACCACATAAGGATGGAGAGCCGACGAGGGCCCAACACCCGGCTGCTGTTCTGCACCACTGGCGTGCTGCTGAGACGACTGGTACGTGCTTAGAAGTCTGGAAAGGGCTGGAAGCATCAGAGGTGGGGGGAGCATGGGGTACCACATAAGGATGGAGAGCCGACGAGGGCCCAACACCCGGGTGCTGTTCTGCAACACTGGCGTGCTGCTGAGACGACTGGTACGCGCTTAGAAGTCTGGAAAGGGTTGGAAGCATCAGAGGTGGGGGGAGCATGGGGTACCACATAAGGATGGAGAGTCGACGAGGGCCCAACACCCGGCTGCTGTTCTGCAACACTGGCGTGCTGCTGAGACGACTGGTACGTGCTTAGAAGTCTGGAAAGGGTTGGAAGCATCAGAGGTGGGGGGAGCATGGGGTACCACATAAGGATGGAGAGCCGACGAGGGCCCAACACCCGGCTGCTGTTCTGCACCACTGGCGTGCTGCTGAGACGACTGGTACGTGCTTAGAAGTCTGGAAAGGGCTGGAAGCATCAGAGGTGGGGGGAGCATGGGGTACCACATAAGGATGGAGAGCCGACGAGGGCCCAACACCCGGGTGCTGTTCTGCAACACTGGCGTGCTGCTGAGACGACTGGTACGCGCTTAGAAGTCTGGAAAGGGTTGGAAGCATCAGAGGTGGGGGGAGCATGGGGTACCACATAAGGATGGAGAGTCGACGAGGGCCCAACACCCGGCTGCTGTTCTGCAACACTGGCGTGCTGCTGAGACGACTGGTACGTGCTTAGAAGTCTGGAAAGGGTTGGAAGCATCAGAGGTGGGGGGAGCATGGGGTACCACATAAGGATGGAGAGCCGACGAGGGCCCAACACCCGGCTGCTGTTCTGCACCACTGGCGTGCTGCTGAGACGACTGGTACGTGCTTAGAAGTCTGGAAAGGGTTGGAAGCATCAGAGGTGGGGGGAGCATGGGGTACCACATAAGGATGGAGAGCCGACGAGGGCCCAACACCCGGCTGCTGTTCTGCACCACTGGCGTGCTGCTGAGACGACTGGTACGTGCTTAGAAGTCTGGAAAGGGCTGGAAGCATCAGAGGTGGGGGGAGCATGGGGTACCACATAAGGATGGAGAGCCGACGAGGGCCCAACACCCGGCTGCTGTTCTGCACCACTGGCGTGCTGCTGAGACGACTGGTACGTGCTTAGAAGTCTGGAAAGGGTTGGAAGCATCAGAGGTGGGGGGAGCATGGGGTACCACATAAGGATGGAGAGCCGACGAGGGCCCAACACCCGGCTGCTGTTCTGCACCACTGGCGTGCTGCTGAGACGACTGGTACGTGCTTAGAAGTCTGGAAAGGGCTGGAAGCATCAGAGGTGGGGGGAGCATGGGGTACCACATAAGGATGGAGAGCCGACGAGGGCCCAACACCCGGCTGCTGTTCTGCACCACTGGCGTGCTGCTGAGACGACTGGAGAGTGCTGGGCTCAAGTCACACCAATGACAGGTGGGTGTGGGATGCCAGGTAAGCCCAGGCGGATATCGGCCACCTAAGTCGCGGGGCGAGTGGCGGCGGAAAGAGGCGAGGACGTGGGGGGGAGCGTAGGGTACCAGATAAGGCACCGGTGGACGATGGACAGTGGAAGTTGGACACCAGTGGACGGTGGACAGTGTACACCCGTGGACGGTGGATCGTGTACACCGGTGGTCGAGGGATGGTGTACAGCGGTGGACGGCGGATTGCGTCCATCGGTGGACGGTGGATGGTGGAGGGTGTCCACCGGTGGACAGTCTACGCCGGTGGACGGTGGACGGTGGAAGGTGTACACTGGTGGAAGGTGTACACTGGTGGACGGTGGACGGTGGACAGTGGACACCGGTGGACGGTGTACACCGGTGGACAATTGACGGTGGACGCTGTACACTGGTGGACGGTGTACACCGGTGCACGGTGCATGGTGTACACTGATGGACGGTGGACAGTGGACGGCGTACACCTGTGGATGGTGGACATCGGTGGACGGTGAACGGTGAACGGTGGATACCGGTGGACAGCAGACGATGGACGATGGACGGTGGACGGTGAACGGTGGACGGTGGACGGCGTCCACCGATGGACGGTGGACGGTGGAGATCGTTGGACGGTTGACGGTGTCCACTGGTGGACAGTGGACGGTGGACAGCGGTGGACGGTGTGCACTGGTGGACGGTGGACGGTGGAAGGGGGACACTGGTGGACGGTGGACACCAGTGGATGGCGTACACCGATGGACGATGTACACTGGTGGACGGTGGACGGTGTACACGGGTGGATGGTGGACAGTGGACGACGTCCACCTTGTGGACGATGTACACCGGTGGACGGATGACGGTGGACGGTGGACAATGGACAGTGTACACCGGTGGACGGTGGACGGCGTCCACCGGTGGACGGTGGACGTTGGAGGGTCGTTCCCGGTGGACAGTGTACATTGGTGGACAGTGGTGGGTAGACGGCGTCCACCAGTGGATGGTGGATGGTGGACGGAGTCCACTAGTGGAAGGTGGACGGTGGACGGTGGGCGGTTGACGGTGGACACCGGTGGACGGTGAACCCGGTGGATGGTTGACGCTGGACGGCGTCGACTGGTGGATGGTGGACAGTGGACGATGTCCACCTTGTGGACGATGTACACTGGTGGACGGAGGACGGTGGACGGTGTACACCGGTGGATGGTGGATGGTGGACGGTGTCTACCAGTCGACGGTGGATGGTGGACTGTGTATACCGGTGGACGGTGGACGGTGTATGACGGTGGACGGTAGACGGTAGACACCAGTGGATGGTGTATACCGGTGGACGGTGGAAGGGGGACACCAGTGGACGATGGACGGTGGACACTGGTTGACGGTGTATACCGCTGGACGGTGGAAGGGGGACACCGGTGGACGATGGACGGTGGACACTGGTTGACGGTGTATACCGGTGGACGGTGGAAGGGGGACACCAGTGGACGATGGACGGTGGACACTGGTTGACGGTGTATACCGGTGGACGATGGAAGGGGGACACCAGTGGACGATGGACGGTGGACACTGGTTGACGGTGTATACCGCTGGACGGTGGAAGGGGGACACCGGTGGACGGTGGATGGTGGTTGGTGGACGGCGGATGGTGGATGGTGGACAGTGTATACCGGTGGACTGTGGACGGTGGGCGGTGGACGGTGTATACCCGCGGACGGTGGACGGTGGATGGTGTACAACGGTGGAGCTGGACGGCGTCCACCGGTGGACGGTGGACGGTGGATGATGAACGGTGGACTGTGGATGGTGTACAGCGGTGGACGGTGGACGGCGTCCACCGGTGCTGACGTGCCTTCACTCTTGCCTTCATGCTCTAGTCTTTTCAACTCCCATTTGACGGTCTGCAGAAATCTCTATGAGGACCAGCTTAGTGGCTGGATACCCTCCAGCATTGGTGGTCTCCTATATCTCCGAGATTTGTGAGTGCCTCAATCCTGGGTGGTGATGTTGCCATTTTAGGGATGTCGGCCGAAGCAATCTCACCAGCCACCTCCCTCCAAAGTTGAGTGTTACCTGCCTTTCATTCACATCGGTGGACGATGGACGGTGGACGGTGGATGGTGGTGGACGATGTACACCGGTGGACGGTTTTCATCGGTGCATGGCGGACGGTGGAGGCCGGCGGACGGTGGACACTGGTCGACGGTGTACAGCGGTGGACGGTTGATTGTGGACGGTGGACGGTGTACAGTGGACGGTGGACGGTGTACAGTGGACGGTGTACAGTGGACGGTGGACGGTGTACAGTGGACGGTGGACGGTGTACAGTGGACGGTGGACACTGTTTGACGGTGGATGGTGGACACTAGTGGACGGTGGATGGTGGACACTAGTGGACGGTGGAAGGGGTACACCGGTGAACGGTGGACTGTGGACGGCGTCCATCGGTGGACGGTAGAAACCGGTGGACGGTGGACGGTGGAAGGTCTATACCGGTGGACGGTGGATGGTGAACACCGTTGGACGGTGGGTGTGGACGGCGGACGCTGGACGGTGGACACCGATGGACGGTGGTGGACGGTGGATGGTGTACTCTGGTGGACGATGGACGGTGGCCGGTGGATGGTGTACACCGGTGGACGGTGGACGGTCTACACCGGTGGACAGTGTACATCGGTGTATGATGGACGGTGGATGGTGTACACTGGTGGACGGTGGACGGTGGAAGGGGGACACCGGTGGACGATGGACGGTGGACACCGGTGGACGGTGTACACTGGTAGACAGTGGACAGTGGATGGTGGACGGTGTACACGGGTGGACGATGTACGCCGGTGGACGGTGTACACCGGTAGACAGTGGACGGTGGATGGTGGATGGTGGGCGGTGGATGGTGTATACTCGTGGCCGGTGGATGGTATACACCGGTGGACGGTGGACGGCATCCACTAGAGGACGGTGGACGACGGTGGACGCTGTACACCGGTGGACGGTCGAAGGTGTACACCGGTGGATGGTGGACGGTGGACGGCGTAAACGGGTGGACGGTTTACATCGGTGCACGGTGGACGGTGGACGCCGGTGGATGGTGGACACCTGTGGACGGTGGACACAAGTGGACGGTGTACACCAGTGGATCGTGGACGGTGTACACCGTTGGACAGCGTACACTGGTGGACGGTTTGCACCGGTGCATGGTGGACGGTGGACGCCGGTGGATGATGGACACCGGGGGACAGTAGACATCGGTGAACGGTGGACGGCGTCCACCAGTGGACGTTGGACGTTGGACGTTGGACGGTGGACGGTGGACGGTGGATGGTGGACGGTGGACGGTGGACGGCGTGCACCGGTGGACGGTGGATGGTGGACGGCGGATGGTGTACGGCGTCCACCGATGAACGGTGTGCACCGGTGGACGGTGGATGGCGTCCACCGGTGTGGTGGGCGGTGGACGGCGTCCACCGGTGGACAGTGGACGGTGGACGGTTGACGGTGGATGGTGGACGGTGGACAGTGGACACCGGTGGACGGTGGACGGTGGACGGTGGACGGTGGACGGTTGACGGTGGACGGCGTCCACCGGCAGACGGGTACACCGGCGGACGGTGGATGGTGGACGGCGGACGGTGTATGCGTCCAACAGCGGACGGTGGACGGCGTCCACCGATGGACGGTAGACAGTTGACCGTGGACACCAGTGGACGGTCGACGGTGGACGGCTTCCACCGGTGGATGGTGGACGGTTGTCGGTGGACGGCGTCCACTGGTGAACGATGGATGGTGGACGATGGACGGTGTCCACCGGTGGTCGGTGGATGGCGTCCACCACGTGATGATGGATGAGACCCACGAGTGCGGCATGATCGATGACTTGCTGCTCAACATCATCAAACGCCTCTTGCTCTCTCCCTCCTTCCCCCACACTTCACACACTGTGCAGGTCTAAGAGCCAGACATAGCAGGGTTGACCCACGTGATGGTGGATGAGATCCACGAGTGCGGCATGGACATAGACCTCCTCATCCTCCAGAACCTGCTGCCCCCCTGTCCCTCTCCCCCAATTCCTACACACACACACGGGTCCAAGAACCAGACCTAGCAAGGGTGTCCCACACGATGATGGATGAGATCCACGAGCGCGGCATGAATGAGGACTTGCTGCTTGTTGCCTCAGATGCCTCCTGCTTTCCCTCTCTCCCTCTGTCTCTCCCTCACACACCCACACCTACAGGTCCAAGAACCGGACCTGGCAGGGGTGTCTCACGTGATGGTGGACGAGATCCACGAGCGTGGCATGAACGAAGACTTTCTCCTCATCATCCTCAGGGACCTGCTGCCCCGCCGCCCGGACCTCCGCCTCGTGCTCATGAGTGCCACCATCAACGCGGAGCTCTTCTCAGAGTACTTCAACAAGGCGCCCATGGCTCATATTCCGGTGAGTGGTGGCGCTGGTGGGTTGACTCACTGGGCCATGTGCTCATGAGCGCTACCGTCATCATCCTCAGAGATCTGCTGCCCAGCCTGTTCAGACCTGACCTGCTGCCCGGACCCGCGCCTCGTGCTCATGAGCACTACTGTCAACGCAGAGCTGTCGTCCGAGTAAGGCCCCCATGGCTCTTTTTCTTGTGAGTTCAGCAGCCCTCTGTGTGCATATGGCATGCTCATGTGAATGCCTGGAGCTCATGAGAGCTACCATCAACTCGGAGCTCATGAGCGCTACCATCAACTCGGAGCTCATGAGCGCTACCATCAACTCGGAGCTCATGAGCGCTACCATCAACTCGGAGCTCATGAGCGCTACCATCAACTCGGAGCTCTTCTCAGAGTACTTCAACAAGGCTCCGATGGCGCACATCCCAGTGAGTTTTGGGTTGAGGGAAGGAGTGTGCATGAGTGTGCATGCCTCGTGGTGAGTGTGCATGCCTCGTGCTCGTCCCTCCTCGGACTCTCCCTGAATACGATTTTTGAGGCGCCTCAAAAATTGACAAGGCCGAACTGGCTCATTTTCTGTCGCAGAAGTGAAACGTATGTTTGACCGCGACAGCGAATGAGTCCAACTCCTAACAACTAGAAAGTGTTGAGGCGCCTCAAAACTAGAATGAATTTAACTCCCAACAACTAGAAAGGTCTAAACGAGTGAGTGAAAGCAGGGATTCGGGAATCTAGGATGCTTAGTCCGTCAATATTCTGGTGAATGGTAGCTCGTGTTGTATTAGTGTTTCACCCTCCTCCTTTCAACCCGCCCATCCCGTTTACTTTTAGGTTTTCCCGTTTAACTGTCCCTAGCGCACGTGTTGGAGCGACTTTTGAGGCGCCTCAAAAATCCCGTTTAACTGTCCCTAGTGCACGTGTTGGAGCGACTTTTGAGGCGCCTAAAAAATCCCGTTTAACTGTCCCTAGCGCATGTGTTGGAGCGCACCTGTGTGCACACCAGGCACTTCTAAGCCTCTCCCCTCCCCCCATCTCCCCCTCTACTGTCCCTGATGGGAATGCGCATGCGCTCCGACACGTGGTCTAAGTACAGCTGCTGCACTGGGTGGGTGAAACCCTGCAGAGCCAGCAGGGAGGGGGCTTCTCGTGAGGAGGAGGGGGAGGGAGGAGGGGATGCAAGTGCACAGACACAGACACAGACACAGACAAAGACATTCTCAACTCGTTTTTGCTGTGTCAATCCCCGCTTTTCCACTTCCTTCACAGGGTTTCACCCACCCCGTGCAGCAGCTGTTTCTGAGCACCTGTTGGAGCGCACTAATCTGCACTTCTAATCCTACACTATCTCCTTGCTCCTGCGTCCACCCCTATTTCTTCCTGCAGGGTTTCTCCCACCCGGTGCAGCAGCTGTGCCTGGAGCACGTTTTGAAGCGCACTAGTGTGCACACCAAGCACCTCGTCTCATAACCCCACCTCTAAGGCTCGCCCCTCCCCCCATCTCCCCCTCTTCTCTGCAGGGTTTCACCCACCCCGTGCAGCAGCTGTTCCTAGAGCACGTGTTGGAGCGCACGCGCATTCCCATTGCCCCCAGGGATCTACTCTCACGCCACCACCTCGTCTCCTCCCTTTCTCCATCAACCCATGGCTCTCCTTTACCGTCCTCAGGGTTTCACTCATCCCGTGGAACAACTGTTCCTGGAGCACGTGTTGGAGCGCACTCGCATCCCCATCAGGGACCAGGGGCAGCAGGGCAGGGGGTTCTCGAGAGGAGGAGGGGGTGGAGGGCGGGGGAACGGGAGGGGGAGAAGGGAGAGGACGGCAAGTGTGGCCAAGAAAGACCCCGTGTCAGACGCCTGGGAGGTGAGAACGGGTGGGAAGGGAGGGAAGTTTTGAGGCGCCTCAAAACGGGTGGAAGGAAGGGAGAGAGCATGGGAGGGGGAGACGGACGGGAGGGGAAGCCAAAAAGGATCATTTTTCAAAGGCATGAGTAGCATGGTTGGCTATGGAGGGTGTTTTTTTCAGGCAGGTGAAGGGGAGGTTGAGGGGAAGGGGAGAGGACATGGGAGGGAGCAAAGGGGGAGGATGGTCAACAAAGGCCTCCTCGCACTATTCAGCCTTCAGCTGCCTCACTCAGGAGACCCTCAACACCTGGTCGCCAGACAAGCTAGATATTGATCTAGTGACAACAGTGGTAGAGCATATCTGTTGGAATGAAGCTGAATTTCCTAACCATATACTTGATGATTTTTCCTGTGCAGGATCTCGACGTATGGTCGCACTATTCAGCCTTCAGTCGGCCCACCCAGGAGTCCCTCAACACGTGGTCGCCTGACAAGCTAGACATTGATCTAGTGGCGTCAGTGGTAGAGCATATCTGCCGCAACGAGGCTGAGGGGGCGGTGCTGGTTTTTCTGACCGGCTGGGACGAGATTTCGAAGCTCCTGGAGGCGCTCAAGGGTATGCCTGTCGCTGGGCAGCCGTCGAAAGTTTTGCTGCTGCCCCTGCACGGGTCCATGCCGACGATTCACCAGAAGGAGATTTTCAACCGACCTCCTCCTGGAGTCAGGTGGGCTTGTCTATTCATGTGTGCTGCGTGCATATTAAAGAAAACGATGCACGTGTATGCATCTCTGGGGCTGGGGCATGTGCAGTCCTTCCTGTCCAAAGCCATGCAACCACCCGCCGGAGCCCCGTGCAGTAAGTTCGGAGAGGGGTGTACCGTGTACCGTGTATCTCAGAATGAGATCTTGAAGATCTCTCCGAACTTGAGGATCCTCAAGACGAGCCCTTTTAGGAGCCGGGAGCCGGTTTGTACATCAAGGTGGGGGGTGCGCAGCCGGGAGTTGGTTTCCACCTTTCCCGTGTCTTCTCTCCCTCCTTGTCTTCTCTCCCTCCGTGTCTTCTCTCCCTCCGTGTCTTCTCTCCCTCCGTATCTTCTCGCCCCCTCCCCTCCTCTCGTCCCCCCAGGAAAGTGGTGCTCGCAACCAACATAGCCGAGACCAGCATCACCATCGACGACGTCGTGTATGTCGTCGACTGTGGAAAGGCCAAGGAAACTTCCTACGACGCCCTCAACAAGCTCGCCTGCCTGCTCCCCTCCTGGGTCTCCAAAGCCTCGGCCCACCAGAGGAGGGGTCGGGCGGGGCGCGTGCAGCCGGGAGTTTGTTTCCACCTCTACCCGAAGGTGGTCTACGATTCGCTGCTGGAATTTCAGCTGCCCGAGATCCTGAGGACGCCGCTCCAGGAGCTGTGTCTGCAGATCAAGCACCTGGGGCTGGGCCACGTCCAGTCGTTCCTGTCCAAGGCCATGCAACCACCGGAGCCCCTAGCAGTAAGCACCTGGGATGTATGAGCCCCTAGCGACTGGTTGTATGAGTGTAAGTGTCTGCAGATCAAGCACCTGGGACTGGGCCACGTACAGTCGTTCCTGTCCAAGGCCATGCAACCACCGGAGCCCCTAGCAGTAAGCACCTGGGATGTATGAGCCCCTAGCGACTGGTTGTATGAGTGTAAGTGTCTGCAGATCAAGCACCTGGGGCTGGGCCACGTACAGTCGTTCCTGTCCAAGGCCATGCAACCACCGGAGCCCCTAGCAGTAAGCACCTGGGATGTGTTAGCCCCTAGCGACTGGTTGTATGAGTGTAAGTGTCTGCAGATCAAGCACCTGGGGCTGGGCCACGTGCAGGAATTTCTGTCCAAAGCCATGCAACCACCGGAACTGCTGGCAGTAAGGGGGGAGGCTTGTTGTGAGTTTGTAGGAGATGGCATCGAAATTGCCTCTTGTGGGAATAATATGAGGAATTCAGAGGAAGTTAAAGCATAATATCCCCTCTCTTTCAGTATCCACTCCCTCTGCTCGCCGTTCTCACTGCCTCAGGCGCAAAACGCACTGGAAACCACTGCAGCCACTCACCCACCCCCCTGACGATCAACTCACCTCCCTCGGTTGCCACCTGGCTGCCCGTCACTTGTTGCCGATCACTTGCTGCAAGATCCCTACTCAATCACACCCCCGCCAACCCCCCCCCTCCCCCCATTTCAACTCCCTTCAGGTGCAAAACGCGGTGCAGCTGCTGGAAACCATCGGTGCCCTCACCCCTGATGAGCAACTCACCTCCCTCGGGTGTCACCTGGCCGCCCTCCCTGTGGAACCCCGCATTGGAAAGGTGGGTATATGCGGAGTGAAGATGTCATAGGCTAAGTGGAGAAATACGCTCGCACAGCCAAGCGTATGTGCGCTGGCGTATATATGCGATACGCAGTATGCTAAGGTAGTGCGCAATACGCTTGCGTATTTCTCGGCGGTCTGCTCGGCGAGAAATACGCAAAAAAAAAACAATCGCAAGTCGCGACTTGGAGAATCAAGGCAGAAATTAGTGACCTCCCTCAGTTGTCCTCTTCATCTGCCTCGCCCCTTCTCCTGCTATAGCAACTGATCTAGTGCATGTGTGTGTGTGTGTGTGTGTGTGTGTGTGTGTGCATGTGTGGTGTGTGCGTGTGTGTGTGTGTGTGTGCGTGCGTGCGTGCGTGTGTACGTTTTTGTGTGCGTGTGCGTGTGTGTGTGTGTGTGTGCGTGCGTGCGTGCGTGTGTACGTTTTTGTGTGCGTGTGCGTGTGTGTGTGTGTGTGTGTGTGTGTGTGTGTGTGTGTGTGTGTTGCAATCCCTTTGTGCTGCCTGTAATCCCACCCCCCTCACCCCACTTCCAGATGCTCATATTCGGAGCCATCTTCAACTGCCTGGCTCCCGCTCTCACCATCGCAGCATCATTGGCATATCGCGACCCCTTTGTGCTGCCCCTCGACAAGAAGGAGATGGCGGACGCTGCTAAGAAGGAGTTCGCCAAGGAGTCAAGGAGGTGAGCAGTGACATGAGCACTCCCCATCTTGGCATCATTGGCGTATCGCGATCCCTCGTATGCTGGGCCGTTCGTATGTTGGGCCGTTCGTATGTTAGGCCGTTCGTATGTTAGGACGTTCGTATGTTAGGACGTTCGTATGTTAGGCCGTTCGTATGCTAGGGCGTTCGGTTGTTAGGGGCGTTCGGTTGTTAGGGGCGTTCATATGTTAGGGGCGTTCGGTTTTTAGGAGCGTTCGTATGTTAGGGGCGTTCGTATGCTAGGGGCGTTCGTATGTTAGGGGCGTTCGGTTGTTAGGGGCGTTCGTATGTTAGGGGCGTTCGGTTGTTAGGAGCGTTCGTATGTTAGGGGCGTTCGGTTGTTAGGGGCGTTCATATGTTAGGGTAGGCCTCCTCTCTCGCTCGGTAGGCCTCCTCTCTCACCCGGTAGGTCTCCTCTCTCGCCCGGTAGGCCCCCTCTCTTGCCCGGTAGGCCCCCTCTCTCGCCCGGTAGGACCCCTTTCTCGCCCGGTAGGCCCCCTCTCTCGCCCGGTAGGCCTCCTCTCTCGCCCCGTAGGCCCCCTCTCTCGCCCGGTAGGCCTCCTCTCTCGTCCCGTGGGCCTCCTCTCTCTCCCGGTAGGCCTCCTCCCTCCCCGGGTAGGCCTCCTCTCTTGCCCGGTAGGCCCCCTCTCTCGCCCGGTAGGCCTCCTCTCTCGCCCGGTGGGCCTCCTCTCTCGCCCGGTAGGCCTCCTCTCTTGCCCGGTAGGCCTCCTCTCTCGTCCGGTGGGCCTCCTCTCTCTCCCGTTAGACCTCCTCTCTCGCCTGTAGGCCTCCTCTCTCGCCCGGTAGGCCTCCTCTCTCGCCGGGTAGGCCTCCTCTCTCCCCTGATAGGGCGTTTGAATGTTTGGGCGTTCGTATGTTAGGACGGGGCGTTCTTATGTTAGAGCGTTCGTATGTTAGAGCGTTCGTATGTTTGAACTTCTGCCGTGATCATTCCCTGACTCACTCTCGCTCCCGCTCCCCCTTATCCCCCTTCACCCCTTATCCCCCTTCACCCCTTATCCCCCTTCACCCCTTATCCCCCTTCACCCCTTATCCCCCTTCACCCCCTTCCCTTGTACCGCCTTCCATTATAACGCCCTCCCTTTTACCCCCTTCCCTTATCCCCCCTGCCCTTATACCCCCGTCCCCTCTACCCCCTCCCAGTGACCACAAAGCACTGCTCAGCACGTTCTAGGTGTGGAGAGCGGTGAAGATGCAGGGCCAGGTGCGGAACTTCTGCTGGGACAACGTCCTGTATTGGACTCTTCCCCTCCCCCGTTCCCTTCCCTTCCCTTCCCTTCCCTTCCCTTCCCTCCCTCCCAGCGACCGCATAGCTCTGCTGAACGCGTTTGAACGGTGGATGGCGAAGATGCAAGGTTAAGAGGAACCTCTGCTGGGACAACTTCCTGTCTTACTCTCTTCCCCCTTCCCTCTTCCGTTGGACCCCCTTCCAGCGACCACATAGCTCTGCTGAACGCGTTTGAGGGGTGGAGGGCAGCCAAGATGCTGAGGCAAGAGGGGAAATTCTGCTGGGACAACTTCCTGTCGGCTCATTCCCTAGCCCTGTCCCCCACCCCACCCCACCCTCTCCCTTCCCTCCCAGTGACCACATAGCTCTGCTGAACGCGTTTGAGGGGTGGAGGGCAGCCAAGATGCTGAGGCAAGGGGGAAACTTCTGCTGGGACAACTTCCTGTCGGCTCCTTCCCTACCCCTGTCCCCCACCCCACCCCACCCCAACCCACCCCACCCCACCCTCTCCCTTCCCTCCCAGCGACCACATAGCTCTGCTGAACGCGTTTGAGGGGTGGAGGGCAGCCAAGATGCTGAGGCAAGAGGGGAAATTCTGCTGGGACAACTTCCTGTCGGCTCATTCCCTACCCCTGTCCCCCACCCCACCCCACCCTCTCCCTTCCCTCCCAGTGACCACATAGCTCTGCTGAACGCGTTTGAGGGGTGGAGGGCAGCCAAGATGCAGAGGCAAGAGCGGGACTACTGCTGGGACAACTTCCTGTCGGCGCCCGTGCTGCAGATGGTGGCGGACATGCGAGGGCAGTTCCTGCTGCTGCTCAGCGATATCGGCTTCTACGACCCCAGAGTGGGGCTCAATGTGAGTCTGTATGACACGCATGCAGTCCTTGTTGCGTCCTTGGTTGTTTAGTCCTTGCTGCAGATAGATGGTGGCGGACATGAGGGGGCAGTTCCTGCTGCTGCTGACCGACATCGGGTTCTACGACCCCAGAGTGGGGCTCAATGTGAGTGATGAGTTATGTGCTTATGCGCAGCCGTACATGCCATACATGCACTCGTGGTGGCTGACATGCGAGGGCAGTTCGTTCCTCCACCTGCTCAGCGATGCCGGATTCTAGGAGTCTAGTTTTGAGGCGCCTCAAAACTAGACTCCTATCACGCTTTGTTGACAGCAAGCTCGTATTAGATCACGAGATGCTCCCAACAATTACTATTTACCACCACGCAACCCCTCCTTAACTCCACCCACCGATTTCCCTAACAACCCCTATCCCTCCTTCTCCCCTCCTTCTCCCCTCCTTAACCCTTTTCTCAGGAGTACAGCAAGCTCGCCTCGGATCAAGAGATGCTCTCAGCAGTCATCTGTGCCGGCCTCTATCCCTCGGTGGCTCAGGTAATCCCTTCTAGAGGTCAGGCTAGACGTTTGTACACCTCAATAGCTCTCAGGGGAAACACTATTTTGTTTCGAGGCATCTATCGTTTTACTAACAATCGCTTCTTCCTTATGTGTGAAATGACTCGTGTTTTTATGCGTCTATAAACACCCTCCCCCTCCCCCCTTTCCAGATTCGTCGCCAGGGCAAGCGGTTTGTCTTTTTCACGAAGGACGACGGACGCGTGGAGATGCACCCTTCCTCAGTCAATGCCTTCTGCCCTTCCTTCTCGCGCCCATGCCTCGTGTACAACGAGAAGGTCAAGACCTCCGATATTTTCCTCAGGTTGGTAACAGTCCGATGTGGTTTCAATAGGTGCAAAGCGGATCACTGCGGTTCAGTGGGTTACCAGTGGTGCATTCGGGTCTAGCCTTCTGCCCTCCGTTCCTTCCCTGCCCCATGCTCTCTGTCGGCCATCACTACTGCGACTCCTGTATGGTATGTTTCTGACTTTACTCTCCTCATGTGCGAATGCAGCTCAAGGGTAAGTTGGTTCTTGAGAAGTCTAAGAAATCAACTTAGCTCAAGGGACGTCCTTACCTTACCTTCTCCTGCCCTCCTCCACCCACCCCTACAGGGACTCCACTGTGGTCTCTGACTTTGCTCTTCTCATGTTCGGAGGCAACCTTGAGCCACTCCATATACACCCTTTCCCTTTCCCATTCCCTTTCCCATTCCCTTTCCCTTTCCCTTTCCCTTTCCCATTCCCTTTCCCTTTCCCGTTCCCGCCCCTACTCCACCCCTCCACTCATACCTCCAGGGATTCCACTATGGTCTCTGACTTTGCTCTTCTCATGTTCGGCGGCAACCTCGAGCCGGCCCCGGCGGGCCGCACGGGCTTTGACATGTTGGGCGGCTATCTGCACTTCAGCGCCTCGGCTCAGACGGCTAAACTCGTGCAGGTGAGAGGCGAGGTGCCAGTGAGAGTGGTAGTAGGGGCTGAGGTGAGCTCACACAGGTGAGTGCATAGCACACAGCCCCACATACTTTGACCCCTGCTGGCCGCACGGGGTTTCACATGCTGGGAGGGTATCTGCACTTGAGCGCCTCTGCTCAGACGACTAAGCTGGTGCAGAGGAGAGCAGCTTGGGTTGGTGTGAGACCAGGTGGTCGCACGGTATCTGGATCTCAACGCCGCCTGTCAGACTGTTAAAAAAGCACGGGGGAAGAATGGTTTGGGTTGATGTGAGAGCACAGGGGAGAGCGCACAGGGTAGAGCGCACAGGGGAGAGCGCACAGGGGAGAGCGCACAGGGGAGAGACAAGATCGAGAACCCATCCCACACCCATTGTGCCCGTCCTTCCCCATCCTTCCTCCCACTCTCAGGACCTACAGCAGCAGCTAGACTCGCTCCTGAGGGACAAGATCGAGAGCCCATCCTTGGACGTGCACGCGCAAGGGGAGAGGGTGGTGGCCGCAGTGCTGTCCAGCCAGCCTGCTGTTTGTCCTCCCCTCATGCCAGTTATGCTCATCGCAACCTATGCTGCCTCTGCCCCTCCGTTCCCCCATCCCTCCTCCCTCCCCCTTGCAGGACCTACGGCAGCAGCTGGACTCGCTTCTAAGAGACAAGATTGAGAACCCATCCTTGGACGTGCATGCCCAGGGGGAGAGGGTGGTGGCCGCAGTGCGCAGTCTGCTGTCCTCCCCCCATGCAGATTCCCTCCCACCTGCGGAGTCAGGGGGCGGGGGAGGAGGGGAAGAGGGGGTGGGAGAGGGGGGGGGAGAGGGGGGGGGAGACATGGTGGGGGGCGCGGGCATGGGCATGGGCATAGGGGGCGGGGGGGAAGGCACTAAGGTGAGAGATTGAAGATGAATGGAATGACAACACAAGGGGAGAGGGTGGTTGCAGCAGTGCGCAGTCTGCTGTGCTCCCCCCATGCTGATGCGCTCCCACCAGGGGGTCCAGTGGGGTGGGAGGAGGGGGGAGGGTGGGTGGAAGAGGAGGGAGAACACACGGCATGGGCCGTGGGCATGGGCTTAGGGGGGGTGGGGGAGGGCACTAGGATTAGAATGTACATCATGTAGCACATTAGATTCAAGCAGGGGGTGATGGTAGCATGCTGATTCAAGCATGTGAAGATGAGTGCACATGAAGATGACCCAATTGGACATTCAACCAATGAACATACAACTACAGCGCATACATGAAGGGCCATCCAATTCACAGTTCTCAATTTCCAATCAATACACGTCTTTTTGCAAGCAAGACATCACACCTTAGCCATTTTAGGAAATGACATTTTTTGTTACTCATATGGGCACTCGAAACTGCGGAGAAGCCTTGGAATTGTTCTGAACTCCAGTCGAATCGTACCACAACGAAGACAAGGAAAGCTGGTACGTGACGTTCACTTCCCTTCCCTTCGCCTCTTCCTGTCTAGCTGTCTTCCCCCTAGCTGATCATTGCCTGGCCAGCCTTCAACAGTGATTCCTAGGGCGAACGCTTTCCGCTGGGAAGCTTATATCCATGGCGTCTGCCATCTCTCCGTGCCTTCTCGCAGGCCGATCTCTAGTATCAACGCATCGTGTTCGTTATGGCACTCCGCTGTCGGTGCCTAGAGACTTGCGTTTCACGGAGCAACGCAGGTTTGCAGACTTCTCCGTGCACGCGAAAAAGAAGAAGGTCGCCGAAGCTCCAGTAGTAGAGGAGGTGGTGGAAGAAGAGTTAGTCGAAGAGGAAATTCCCGAGGAGGAAGCGGAGCCGTCGTGGGTGTCTGAGCGGGTGACCGATGTCCAGCAGACAGTCCAGTCAGTAATGCAGGCCGTTCCGGGACCACGTGTAGGCGAATCGAATATGCCATGGCTTGTCGCCTTGCCACTGGGATACATGGCTCTGACTTTCGTTCTGGCAGTGTATAAAACCGTGAAAATGCGAAGCTCTCCCAAGGCGAAGCGCAGACGACAGGTGCGAAATCCTGGCCTTACGCTCAGGTTGATAAGGTTAAGTTCTGTGTGGGCTGGAAAGGGTACATTCGCGCACATGAGTTCCTCATCTTCATTCGTGTGTGAAACTGACAGATCGGGAAGAATGCTGGCCTTAATCAGACCATCGACGAATTCTTGCCGGATAATAAAGCAGCTCTGACTTCGAAGGAGCTCAAGTCGCTCGAGAAGAAGGTATTTTCAATCCGCAGGGTAAAGTTCAGGACACCTTTTTTAGCATGTTAGCAGCTCTCTCTGACATTCTTCCTTTTCTGCAGTTCAACTTCAGCTCAGATGAAATTCTTCGCAAGTACATTCGCTACATCATCAACGAAAAGCCCTTCACCCCGGAGACGGTATCCGGCCTGATTCACCTTCGGCGAGTGTCTGGCCTCGATGACCTTGAGATTGCCGAGGTGCTCAACGAGATCTCTCGGAGAATCGTTAAAGCCAAAGGTATTATCTGCATTCGTTGGTGTTTCCGTCCTCTTGCTTTCTCCGTTGAGGCAACTAATTTCAGAAGACTTTTCCCGCCCTAACATTCCCTGTCGATGCAGGTCCTGTTGTGATGGACACAACTGGTTTCACTGAGAAGGGAGTGCAGAGGAAGGCAGCAGTGCAAGGAATCTTCACGAAGCTCCTCTATTTGTCTGAGGTGCGTAGGTTTCTTGCTCACGTTGGTGCTTCCATCATGTCACAGGAACTGACATCATTTGTTGCTGATGCAGCTGGATGACTTCTGTGGGCCATCTGGGCGCGAGAAGCTTGAAATCAAAAGCATTTTTGGAGTCACGGAGTGAGTCTTGCTGATCATTGGCCGTCTTAGCTTTTCTTTTGACGTTGTGAGCTGCCAGTAACGTTAATCCTTTCTTCTTGCAGTGAGGATGCTGCATCAATCAGGATTGTGAGCTTGTCTTCATCAGCAGACCTGGATGCGCTGGACAAATCATTAGATGCTGGCGACTCATCTGATTCGGAAGCAGATGAGCCATGAACATTGACCTGCAACCTAATATACTGGAACACTTTAGGTCGTGCAGTTGCGGTTTAGGTTGCCACGTTGCGGACCTAGGCACCAGTAGATGGATAGCTATTTGCACGTACGGTAGGTTGCAGTCAGAACTGTTTCGATACGTTAATGCAGAAGAGTCTTAGTCCATTCAGTTATTAACCAAAAGTGCAAGATACTCAAATTGTAATTTTTGAAATCAGTTTGGTGCGAAATAGGAGAGCAACAGCAACTATTTGCGTATATAAATTAGAGAATACACGCTTGCACGCCTGCAGCGCGAGAACAAATCTTAACCGCCCTTTTATCTAACCATCGACGGCGTGACGTGGTTTCGCTCGATCCGAAGGCCAACCAAAGAAGCTTCGTCATTGGTTGTTTGGACTGTTCCTTCATTCCAACCAAAGCACAGCCCTGAGGTGGGGAGGGGACGATGTGAGCTCCATAAATCCAGCAGCAGGCGGAGTCTCTCTCAACTTCAGTTTACACTGTTTGCCTCCTAACTTCAGTTTAGCGTCCACTTCTCGCGTCAACCAAGCTCTATTGCATAGCGTAGCTCTACTGTGTGTTCCCCATTTCCACGATACAGTTTTTGCTCTAGTCGCCATGGCTCCGAAAGTCGAGGGAGAGCAGAAGGCAGCCAAGAAGGGCCCAAAGAAGGAGCCCACGGCGAAAAAGTCGCCTGGAGCAGGAAAGAAGCTCGCAGGAGAGAAGACGGAGAGGAAAAAGGCTCGGAAGGCCGTTACGGAAACGTACAAGATCTATATCTACAAGGTTTTGAAACAGGTAAGCATTCCTCGGCAGGCCGTTCTTCCTCGGCACGCATTCCTTCCTCCGATGCTTTTTCGTTCCATGTTTTATCGAGCAAAGCTGACGGAATTTGTTTCCCGTGGTTTTTGTTAATGTTCTTTTCCAATGCAGGTTCATCCAGACACTGGCATTTCGTCCAAGGCTATGTCGATTATGAACTCCTTCATTAACGACATTTTCGAGAAACTGGCGACGGAAGCCTCGAAATTAGCTCGGTACAACAAGAAACCCACGATCACGTCTCGCGAGATTCAAACAGCAGTGCGGCTTACCCTCCCTGGCGAATTGGCGAAGCACGCAGTGTCCGAGGGTACCAAGGCCGTGACCAAGTTCACCAGCGCGTGAGCTGTTGATATTCTACCATATGGTTGTTGCGACTACAGCCGATTAACATTTACCTTAGGTTCTTGTGGCCTCTGTATAGTTTTCACCATATGTTAGTGTTTCCAGTCTATTACCAATCAGTTTTGAGCTTGCTGAGTATTGTGACGTCAATTCCAGTCCGGATATGGAGTTGGCTGGGTGCAGTGGTTCAGATTCTATTGCCAATATGGGGTTGGCTGGAAGCTGAGGACCACATCAGCCAGGAGAGCAGGTCAAGCAAGCGGACATGAGAACACAGGTGGACCAGAAGTTTGGGACCGATAGTTTTGTGTTCGGGAAGATTTGCCTGAGCCCCACGAAACTTGATATCTAGGCTACACGACACCAGGTTCGAGAGTGTAGGTAATGACGTTTGCTGTTATGAATCATGAAACCGAACATAGGTATGTGGTTTTTCTCAAATTCTGCCCGTCCAGCCTGGAAATACCCACATCGATCTCTCCAGGTCCCGTGCTCCCATGTTCCTCTTGGTGCTTCGAAAAGCCCCATGTCTAGGGCATCATGCCAGCAAGCCAAGGGAGCTGTTCCAAGGGAAGGTCAAAAGAACAGGCGTTGGGAGATCTGGCCTAGAAAGTTCACCTGGGAACGGGAGTTGGCCTAGCGAGACCCAGAGAGCAGGAAGGCTGCAGATTACCGTGAAGTGTCCTAGATGTTGCAAAGGCACTGGATGTGGGATGCCATGCCAGCCTCCCGAATACGGCCAGGAGATCATGTCTCCCTGCACTGCCAGCATTGCTCAAATAGTAGACTCGCCACAGCTTGATCTTTTACCAGCCGCCGTCTCGAGCCTTCTTTTTTTTGTCAGGCTGTTGGTTGTATTATGAGGACCAGTGGCTCGCTTTCGATGTTTTCTGGTGATTGATCTTCTCCCCTTGAGGAACATATTTCTCGTCAGCGGACCCCACGGTTCCGTCAGCAGAGATTGCGGTGCTGTTACCAGAGTTAGCCGTGCCGTCAGCACACGTTGCCGTTCCGTCAGCAGAGCTTACCGCTCCGTCAGCAGATGTAACCGCCAGCCTCTGCGTAGTGGATGATCAATAGAGTGCCGTTTGATCGGTAAAACCTAATCAGGATCGCAGGATATTATCATATCCTGCCACGTGTCAGGATACTATGTTTTCGCCAAACGACATTCCCCCAGCTTTAGAAACTGTTCCAACGTTCCGCCCTCCGCCATCCGCGGAACCAGCGCAGACAACATCTGCGCTCAACGAGATTCCCCCGTCCCTCGATACAGTACCCACCTTCCGCCCTCCCCCTTCCGCAAACGAAGCAGCGCAGAGCGCAAGCCCGCACGACCAGGTTCCGCCGTCCCTCGAGACAGTCCCCACCTTCCGCCCGCCCCCAGCCGACGGCGCTTCGTCGATAGTTAATCTCGCCGCGTCTTCCGCCGGCTCGTCCTTTAGATTATTCTCCTCTCAGGAAGATGAGTTATCTGGAGCGACTATTAAGCCTAAAGGTTCGGATTTAAACCTCTCTATATCCCTCTCCTCGAACGCAAGAAATTCTCAAAGCCTAGTAGGTACTACTGATCTCAACGGGGATGACAATAACGAGGATGACGGGGATGCGGCGTTATCCCCCGCTACACCCACTTTCACCTCGACAGGTCTGAAAACGATTCGCCCTGCTCGAAGCCCTCGCCACGTGGCACATCCGGACCCATCCGCTCCACACAACACTTTCTCTCAACCCAATCTCACTTCCGCTCCCCCCAGCCACGCTTCCGCTTCCGCCAGCCATGCAGCCCCCCCGAGCGCCCTCCGCGCAGCTCCTCCCGCGGCTCCCGCGACCTCTCCGCGCTCACCATCAGCTCCCCCCATCCCAGCAGCTCCTCGCGCACCCCGCGCGACCTCTCCGCGCTCGCCGCGCTGCTGGAGCCCCCCCGGGAGATGCGCCACAGCAGCAGCTTCCGCAGCAGCAGCACCAGCGGAGGCGGAACCGGCGGAAGCGCTGGCGGAATGCGGAGCGGTAGCTTCAGAGCGAGTACACTCCGCAGTAACAGCAGCAGCGGTGGCGGTGGCGGTGGTTTTGGCAGTGGGAGTGTCGGGGGAGGGGTAGGGAGTATTGGAGGGAGGTCGTTTCGAAAAGCCCTGTCTTCAAGTGCGAAAGTTCTGGACGCGGTTTCTGCTGCTGGCGAAGGAATTGGCGAAGGGGCTGGCGAAGGCGGCGCTGGTGGTAACCTTAGGGTTTCAAGGCCGGCTACAGCGTATAGTAGGTCTCCCACGCGGCGTAGGCTTGCTAGCTCGCATGCATCCCGGTCTAGAAGACACCTGCTGCCACCGGTAGCAGCAGGAGGAGGAGCAGGAGCAGGAGGAGCAGGAGGAGCAAGAAGAGCAGGAGCAGCAGAAACTGGTTTGGAAAACGGTTCTGATGACATGGCGGATAGTGTGTTTCCTGAAGCCGACTTGCTGGTTCTAGACGACCTAGAGGGTTTGGGGGAGGGGGATGAGGAGGAGGAAGAAAGGGAGGAGGGAGAGGAGGGGGAAGGGGTAACTGGTGAGGGTGGGGAGGTGGGAAGAGTGTATCCAGAAGGGAGTTATGAGGCGCAAGCTGCTGCTGCGGCTGCGGCAGTGGCTGCAGCCTCTGCAGCGCTAGCAGCGAAATCGCCCCGGTTTGTGAAGTCCCCTCCTCGCTCGTTCAGCTCCCATCACTCGTTTAAGACTGCACACACCCCCAAATCCCCACGAAACATGCGCTCCCCTCGGCTCTCTGCCTCTTCCTCCTTCTCCCACTCTTCCCTCCCCTCCTCTTCCCTCCCCTCCTCCTCTCTCCATTCCTCCTCCTCTGTACGCTCCTCTACTCCCCGAGCCTACCCCTCTCGCACGCCAAGGTCGCTCCGAACCTCCGCCAGCACCAGGTTCGGCCAAGCTGACAGGGATGGTACTGCTGCTGAAATTAACGGTGGAGATGGATTCAATGGTGCTGGATTCAACGGTGCCGATGACATTGATGATCTTGTTCCTGACTCACCTGCCTCCCCAGGGTCATCTGCCCACCGGAGACCAAAATCTCCCCTCAAGCGTGACTATAGCCGCAATGACAGTAACGAGCTTGCTGCACGTGACTATAACGAGGGGAGGAAGCTAACTGCATTGCAGGAAGGAGAGACAGAGGCAGCGGCGATGCCTCCTGGTTCTCCGGCGTTTCTGCCCGAAAATGTGGGTTTTGAGAGGCCGGTCAGCCCGTTGAGAAGTCCTTCTGCCCGGTTGAAAATCCGCGAAGGGGTCACTGCAGGGCTTATGAACCGACTCATGCTCGCAAATCCCTTGGCTGCTGAGAGCGCAAGGGAAACCGCAGGAAGAGCAGAAAACGGAAGCGATGGAGGTGCAGTGGAAACAATGGCAGCCAGAGCAGCACGGGGAGGAAAGGAAGCCGAGATAACGAGAGGCCCAGCAGCGGGAGCAGTAGTGGCAGCCGGAGCAATGGCAGCGGGAGCAATGGCAGCCGGAGCAGGGGCGGAAGCAAAAGAAGCAGAAGAAACAGAAGGCCTCACTGCGGAGTCAAGTGAAGTGGGACGAGGAGACGTGAGTAGCAGAGGAGCTCAAGAGACAGCAGGAGTGCTGGAAGACGTGACAAGGACAGATATAGCAGCTCCTGGACAGCACAGTCAGCAGCACGGGCAGCAAAACGGGCAGCAGAACGGGCAGCAGCCCGGTAGGGAGTCAAGTCAGCAAGCAGGGGAAGGGCCACAGGCAGGGGGGAGCCAAGGAGCAGATGTACAGCAGATGTACCGTGCAGGAGAGCGTCCAGTCAAGCAGGCCATATCCATTGAGATCCCAACCAGTCCTGTAGCCTTGCCTCGGGCAGGTTCCGAACCTCACGCCCCTGCCGAAGCTGGTGCCGAAGCTGGGTACATTCGGCTAGCCACCGAAGCTCCGCGCCGAAGCAGCTTTGACCTGGCTTCTCCTCTGGCGCAAGCCGTTTTGCCTCGGGATGTTTCTATATTCCTGGGAGAGGGTGAGAAAAAGAGTGAGGGAGTGAGTGAGGGAGCGAGTGAGGGAGTGGGTGATGGTGCGAGGGGTGGTGGGGGAGGAGGAGAGCAGGGAAAAGAGGCCGGGGAAACAGGGAGGGGCGAGAATGGAGATGCTGCGGCTGCTGCTGCTGTTGCAACTGATAGTTGTCCTGCTACCGGTATCCCTCCAAAACCAAAGAAAAGAGGCGAAAAAGGAGAGGGGAAGCTGAGAGAGAAGAAGGAGAGCAGCAAAGGCAGCAGCAGCAGACATAGCAGCAAAACACGCAGCAGAGCGAGCAGCAGAGGCAGCAGCAGGGGGGGTGAGGAAGAGGTGAGGGAGTCAGAGGCAGTCTCACGGTCTGTTACTGGAGACAGTATGGCTAGTGGGAATGCTTCTGAGTCGACTCAAAAGCAGTCGGTGTCCCGATCGGTTACTGAAGATAGTATGGCTAGTGGGAATGCAGAGAGAGGAGTGGATGAGAAGGATGGGGGTAAGAAGCACAGAAGCAGTAGTAGCAGGCACAAGGAAGTAAGCAAAAGCAAGGGTGAGAGTAAGGAAAAGGAAGGTGGTAGAAGCAAGGGTGGCAGCAGCAGCACCAGCAAGTCTAAGAGTGGTGACAGGGAGCAGGCACGAGGCAGGGACGGGGAAGAGGAGAAAGAGAGGGAGAGAGTGAGGAGTAAGGACAGGCATAAGGAGAAGGAGAAGGATAAGGAAGAGGAGGGGGATGGGGAGGCGGGGAGCCGGAGTAAGGATGAGGCAAAGAAGCGTTCGTCTCGCACAAGCAAGAGTGGGTCGACTGGAGAGAGAAGAAGGGAGCGAGAAAAAAGCAGGAAGGAAAGCAGTAAGGAAAGCAGCAAGAGGAGCAGTAGAACAAGCAGGGACAAGGAAAAGAGAGCGAAAGAGGGCAGGGATCTTCAGGGGGCTGACAGCGTGGCTTCTGAAAGCGTGGCTTCTGAGAGTGTAGGAGGGTCGGGGAGGCGACGGGAAGTGGAGAGTAGTAATGAAGGCACGGAGAGGAGTTGCAGCATAGGCGAGGATGGGTTCCACCCGGGGTTCTGGGAGGCGATCTCTGCTGGTGGTGGTGGCACGGGTGCCGATGGTGCTGGTGATGATGGCACTGCTGCTGCTGGTGCTGCTGAGGGGGAGGCATTTGCCCGCATGCCCCCCAAGACCCCCAAGGCCCCGGGTCATGGGCTCATGAGCCGCAATATGAGCCGGGATACCCTCTCTCGACCGGGGACTACCTCATCCCGACCCGCCACCTCCCTCTCCTCCCGCCCGGGCACGTCCTCTCGCAAGTCCGGGACCTCTGGTTTGAATTTTGTTGACTGCGAGTTTGATAAAATTGTTGAGGAGTTTTCCCGGCCCAAATCGGCGCATCCGAAGGGGTTGCCAGTGGGGCGACGAGCGGGGGAGGGGAGAAAAGGGGGGAGAGGGGAGGACGAGGGGGAGGGGGATGAGGCGATGGAGGCGAAGGAGGGTGAGGAGGAAGAGGGGGAAGAGGATGGGGGAGCGCTTTACGGAAAAGAGCCGGTTCTGAGAGGTGATGGGAAGGGGGAGGGGAGGGGGGATTGGAAAGCAGCAGGAGGGGCAGCTGGGCGCGCGGCAACAGCAATGGCAGCAGCGTTTAGAGAGACGTCTCAAAAGGCTGTAGCATCAGCGGCTGTAGCGTCGGCTGCTGCAGCAGCTGTAGCGTCAGCTTCGTTTGTGCCGCCCCCTTCCCCCCGCGTGCTTCTATCGAGAGTTGAAAAGCTGTGGAAGAGCTCAGGCAAAAGGGGGCAGGGGAAAGGAGGAGGAGGGGGTGATTCAGCGGATGTGCTTGTGATTTCACATGGGGGGGAAGAAGACGAGACGGATCCAGTGGAAATGCTGAGGAGAGTGGAGGAGGAGCAAAAGAAGAGGGGAATTGTAGGTGCGCAGGGGTGGGGGGCGATTGGGCATCTAAATGCCGATGATAGAAGGATGTTTTGGAGGCCTTCGTTACCACGGTTGGAGGAAACGGAGATGGAGGAGGAGATAGTGTCGGATTCAGATAAGACGCCTAAAGGGCGTAGGTCTAAGTCATCTTTGGTGTAGATACGAGGTATTCATATATCCGTTCCTTGACGATTTGTTTTTTAGGTATTTGTCTTTGTTGCGTGGCCGATTCAATCTATACTGTTATGCTATGTTGAAGGTGGTTCTACTCCAATACCATATGTAGTTTTCTCTACGCAAGCCTTAGATAGAATATGAAGCATGGGGTGTCGCCATATCATTAAAGACAGGAGTGCTCTTTGCCTACTTGTTGCAGTGAGGATCGCTTTTACGCGTACAGGGTGACGGCACGTCACTGAGCTTTGCGCCCGCGACGGCCCATGGGTATTTTCTATTGGTAAAGCGCCTGGCGCGATATTGATTTGGGTGGTGGGCATGTTTAGCGCAAAATGGTGCAACGTTGTTCGGCGAACGGTTACCAGCTATCCATGACAATGTGATGTGACTGAGATGTGTCCTCGCAAATCTTCGTTGCTTGACTAACTCGTGTCGGCCGGAGTTGCGAACAGCGCATCGCACTGACCAGCGCGGTTAGCAGCACCACCAACCAGCCCCCACCTCCATCCTATGAGGCGCGACGCGACCTGCCTCACATTTCCACTCTGCTCTGTCTCGCCGCAGCAAAGCACGCAAACCCGAAGCAGGACTTTCACCCTCCCATGCTTCCGAGTCCCACCCGGGTCCCCCCGTCTCCCACCCACCTGCTTTCCGCCCCAAATATTCAAACCTGTAACACCCATGCGCGTGCAAGTGTATGAAGCACGCACAGCAAATTCTACGACGTTGTTGCACCTCATGTGACGCTAGACAAGCCCATTTCCTCTTAGTCGACCGCTCATGTCATTCTGCCTTTAGCATCAGGCGCCCTCAGCTTCGTACCACAGTAAATTTATCAACCACCACCGCAAACAGAATAGCACGAAAGCAATAGCGCTCTCCTACCATCCATAGCTTATCTCCTCTCGGACCCCATCTCGTCACTATGAAACGCCACGCGCATTCCTCCCTTCTCGCCGTCGCGTTAATCGTCATCCCTCTCGTCTTCTCTCTAGCGCGTACAGCCGCGGCGCAGCAGTATCCGCTCTGCCCGTTGACGAAGCAGCCGCCATCGCTCCCAACAGTACCGTACCGCCGCTGCTTGGACGCCGCTGCCGCTTCCTGCTGCACGGATTGCGCGGAAATCGAAAACGCGCTCGCGGGAGTGTCGGCGAATGTAACCATTATCATGCCGCAGCTGCTGACGCCGCTCGGGCCGATGAACGAAGTCGACTACTCTGGAGTCAAGGTACGTTGGCGAAATGGTGCGACGAGCGAGTAACGGTAAGCTTCGCAAGCACTATGTCGGCGAACGTGCCAACCATCACGCAGCAGCTGCTGGCGCCTCTAGGGCCTAAGAACAAGGTCGGCGGTTGGGTAACGTTGCTCATATTCTCTTCCACCTCCCCCCAATTTTCCCCCTCCCCCATTTCCCCCCTCCCCGCCCCCCCCGCCCCTCCCAATACCCGGAACCCTCTTTTCCATCTCGTCTCCAGGCGTGTGACTTTCTCTACGGCTTTGAAGATTGCCAGTTTCATCTCGAGCAGCTCCTCTGCGCGCTCACCTGTAACCCGGGTACGTACGTCTTCACGTCTGTCGGTCGCGTGCTTAAAGCGTACGAGTGAATGATTCATCACGCTACAGTTAATTGCTTTCTGTGCGTTTCTAGTACCAGCCTTTGCCTCTTTTTAGTGTCACACTCCCAGTAGCTAGCGAGCCATTACGTGCTCGCGAACCCACTCCCAGTAACAAGCGGAACCAGTCCCTTACGGTCTCCGTTATTCTCCTCCCATGCCCGAACGCTACATTACATCTGCAGGCACCTGGAAATACATGGGGGGTAGTACACTCATGCTCTTCGAACTGCCTGTTCATCACTCCCTATTTTCCCCTATTTGCTCACCCCCGCAGATTCGGGCAACTACGTGTTCTCGAAGGTCGGGAGACCCACGCTCCGTGTGTGCCCCACATACGCGCAAGAAGTGTTTCAATACTGCAAAGACGTCTCGCGTGAGTGCTCTATCTTATATCTTATGTTTCTGGCTCCAGTACTCTATGGTGCTCTGATCTTGCCATTAATTTCCCTCGATTTCTTTTTCCTGTGTCCCCTCATAATTCCCCACTCGCGCTCCTTTCCCTTGTTCTCCCCACCTCCCCCCCCCCCCCCCCCCCCCCCCCGCCTTTTTCTCCTCCTTTGCCGCTTCTTCACTCCCCTCATCCTTCCCCTCTTGCTTTCCTTTCTCCTCGCCCCCACCCTTTCGCCTGCAGTCGGCACTGTTTTAGTGGGAGCGGGATTCCCCACCAAGGAGCTGCTGCTGGGCCGCCTATTCACTCCGCTCGTGCGCAAGCTGGGCGTTGGAAACGTCAACTTCATCGTCTCTGAGGTGGGCATACCTGGCCTCGTTATTAGCAGAGATGGGAGCCTGCCGTTTTTCCCCACTTCCTGATCCCCGTTCTAGTCACACTCCTCACCGCCCCTGATTCTCTGAAGCCTGCCGATATGCCTATCACTTCATCATTATTATATCGTTTTCCCCCCATTTTCTTATTCCGTCCTGCCTCCCTAGTTCCCTCACACTTTTTCTTCTCGCTTCCCAAACCCCCTCTCCCATCTGCCCCCCACTACAGGCAAACTGCTACAGTGGCCCCGCCGCGCTCCCCGAGCAACCTGCATGCTGCGACCCGTTATACGTCCCTAAGGACTGCCCTTACGGCTCTGTCGACACAAAGACATACGGCTCCTTTATAGGCCGCCCGTTGGAAGGCAAGGCAACCGACGCTTGCCAGTGGTTCCCTCTTCCTGAGGATCCTAATCTCCCCCCGGTGCCTGAGAATCCTCCGCTTCCTTATATCACCGGTGCCGCACACGAGCCTCCGGCTCCGGATGTTGGCACACCCTGGGCTTCTGAGCCTGTGCCTAAAAGCAACCCAAGTGTTATGACTTACAAGGGGGCGGCACGTACAGGAGTTGCTGGTGTGGCAGCATTTGTGATGACTCTGGTTGCTGCTGCTGTTGGTGCCCTTTTGTAGGCTGATTGGGATAGTATCTTGAGAGCCTTCGATATACTGTACTGAAAAGGTAGAGGCCTTCTTCTAGTGCATAGCGTATATAAAATGGAAGTTGTATTTATGTACCATCATTTACCTTGGACGATACCTGAGTAACGGGATCGCCTACAAACCGTTTGCTGTATTGGCACGCCGATTGTTTCGCGCCCAATTTCACACATTTCAAAGAATTTATGCGCCAGAAATGTTGGACGCAGCGCGCATTTCCGCAAAATCAATATTCACATCAGGGTGGAAGATTGTCGGTGCAAGGAAATGGAGTACAAGAATGAAACAATTTCTCGCATCTGAGTTATCAACGTCCGAGGGAGGGGGGAACAAGATGGTTGGAGAAATAAGTAGACCACAAACATCGACTCATGAATCACGAAATCCGCTGGCAGCTTTGAGTCCTACATGGAAAGTACACCGGGAAAACCCAGGAGCTTTCTTTATTAGCCCATCCGTTGGTGGGCGGACTGGAAATTGCTCCTCCGGGACTCAGCTGCCCCCACTGGAAACAAACCAACCTTTCGCCAACGTCACCATTCACAACACAAGCACAAGCCCGGAGGCATGAAGGGTCAAGTTTACTAGTCCAGTTTCACTCCCTTCTTCACCGCATCGCTCTCCGCGGCATCCGCATTCCCCTTCATCGCGTTGAACCGCGTCGTCAGCGCCCCGACCGTTTTCTCCTGGCTCGAGCGGAGCGCCACCTTGGTATTAAGCGCCGCTTTCGCAGTGCGCTGCGCGGCCAGCTTCTGCTGCGCAATCGTGTTCGACGCTTTAACGTCCGCGTCTGCCGCCTTAGTGCTGTTAATCTTCTGCTGATAGAGCACCAATGAGTCCTTCTCGTCCTTCTCCGCTTTCTCCTTCACGAGCTTTTGCTCGTCAGCCGCCTTGCGCGTCTCGGACTTGTCCTGAACCTTATTTCCGTGCTCGACCGTCCGGGAGTCAACCCGGTACACCGCGTTAGCCGCCTGCTTCTGAACCGCCACCAAGATTCGATCCGATTGTAGCTTGACGTTATACGCTTCCGTCTGGTACGCCTTCGCTTCGGGAGTGCCAAGCCTCGCCGCGGCCCGCGCCGCGCTGGTAGCTTCGGCCAGGGCCTCCGCGGCGATCTTCGTCTGCTCGTCCCTAATCAGATTCGTCGTATCGAGACGATTCTGCGCCTCGATAATATCCTTCGCGGCCTCCGCCTCATCGAATAGGGCCTCCTGGGCTTGCGAGTCGAGATCGTCGTAATATTCGCGCTCCTCCTTCGTCGTCTGCTTCGCGTCGATCGCCGCCTGTCGCGCGACCTCCTGCATTTGCTTCGCCTGCTCCAGCGCCGCCCTCTTCCCGTTCAGATCCGCCATGGCAGCGTCCGCCTCCGCGTCCGCGTCCGCCGATTTCTTCGCCGCGGCTTGCTCGTCCGCCAGTCGCGTGTCCAGGACCCCCTGCGCTTTGTCCAAGTCAGCCTTCGCCTGATTGGCCTGCGCACGGAGCGTCTTGGCCTTAGAAGTGAGGTAAGCGACCTGTGCGGCGTTCAGGTTCTGCGCGCTGGCGACGATTCTAGGGTTTGAAATGGAAGCTGTAGCAGCGAGAGCGAGGAGGAGAAGAAGGGCGGGCTTGATAAGAGGACGACGGGCGGCCATGGCGGCAATGCGGTTGTTCCGCGTCGTGTGGTGAAAACCTGAACTATTGTTTTCACAACTCGAAAAAATGATGGTAGTAGTGATTCTGCAACTCGGAAACTGGTCTGGCAGACTGCACGTGCGAGTTGCGCCGTCACTTGAACTGCCGCTGGCAGTGCTCGTCTTTCAGGCGCTAGAACTTCGGTTATGTGACAGCAACGGGAAGGTGGAGTGCGCTTGACGGCTTTCCGAAGTCTACGAAATAGAATGGTTCACAAGCTCTATGGAGCTCGGAGTTCGCGTGACACGGTACTATTGAGAAGGCTAAGCTTGGATGTCTGCTATGAAGGGTGGTCCCTGATCTTATATGTCTTTGAGCGACCTTCTACCTCAGAAACAACCGAGACGATGAGTATAACAGGGCGCGGACGCGGGTGTACTGTATCGGATTGTCATTGGTCGGTACTGTTCGAAGGCCCGAGGAAAAGGCCATGGGAAGCCAAGTGAGAGTGAGCCAGAGCTACCAGTCGAGAGTGTTCGAGAAGGGCCAAATTCCTCCAGGTGTTGGATCTTTGCACATCCGAGAGACACCATCAGCGAGTGGTCCCTGTGCGGCTCGAAAAAACTCATTAGAACCTCCCCCATCCCATACACACTCCATGGGGCGACTTGGGTGGTGAAGGCAAGACTAAGAGGTTCTTGTGAGGGAAAAGGAACTTCCTCGTAAGAACCTACAGAAATTACCAGAGGTGCCCGTGAGAGGGGCGATGCGAATTTTCGAGAAGGCCTTTTTTCCAACTGGCATTGGAGTTCACACATTGCGAGCCGCACCAGCCATTCAGCTGCGAGTCGGGCTAAAACGAGCCAGGTTTGGTACGCTTTTCGAGCCATGTACGTAGCGTGGAAGGCGAAGAAACACGAACTCCGGGTTCAGTTTGTGACGTTCTCCCGTTTTTAAAGGGCATCCTGCCGGCCTGGGAATGGAGGTCCTCAGAGCGTTTCCTGAGTTGCGTTGTACAGGGCTCTGACTTGAATGTTTTAGACCGAGCTGCACCAGAAAACAATAACGAGAGTTTTTTTCATCACACTTACGACACGCCCTAAGGGCGGGTCACCAAAAATCGTTTTGGCAAAATACCTTACTAAACCGCTCCGGATTTTTATTTGACCGTTTTAGAACGCAGAACATCTTTGCGAACCGCAATCGGATGTACTTCAGTGACACGCCCTAATCTGTGTGGCAGCTGATCTCGAGATCGCCTCACATGATTTCCAATGTCATATGAACCTGGAGACATCATCCTCGCTCGCATCGAAAGTTTCAACTTCAGTTCACGACACAGTGCATGCGGTGCGAAGTTTGTCGCGAGTGTGGTCGCCCAGGGGTCAACTCCTCCCTGCAACAGGCTTTCCTCATGTCGACGACGAGTCGCAAAAACGGAGCCGCAATCTCACAATGCCTCACTCAAACACATGCAGCCCTCCAAAGTCTACATGCGAAGCTCGTCGTCTACACCACCATAGGAGGCAACGAGTTGACAGCTCTACACGCTCTGTGTTTTTGAGCTAGCTGTCGTAAGAAACCCAAACATTTGGGTTCCCCTGCGAAGATCATGTTTTGCCCTACCCTGGGTGACTACAGAGATCGTCGGTCGGGAACTATTCAACTGGTCTGATAAGCGCCCTTGTGGATCAGCGAAAGGCACACACTCCCGAATCTGCTATAGAAGATTCTCGAACATTTTATCTCTGGCATCTGGAGGGCAGATGAAAAAATTATGCCACCCTATGTTGAGTGCGACGCGCCCCACGATCTGAACTCCCAAACCCCCAAGGAGTCCTTGGCGAGTCCAAGTCCCTATCGTCCGTGGTACTTAGATCGTGCCTTTTGCCATCTCACTCTCATAAGCAATAAGGCATCGTCTCCCACTTGCGTTCTGAACAGAAGCCAGTTGGCTAATTTCTATTAGAAATCTAGTACTTTCTACGCCTGCGAACACTTCCGCGGGTCCAGCTGATAGTGCCGCCAACCCTTCCATCACGGTGTTTCGGCACAGCACTGCTGTGATTGGATCGTCACCATGCCGATTTCACGCGCCGCTCTCTCTGCCGCTCTCCTGGCGTGCCTGTTTGCGCTTCTCGCTCTTTCCCCCGCATCCGCGGCCGCTCAAAGCGCGTTCCTCGTGGCGAAAGCCAAGACGCTGCGCGCCGCCGCAGATCAAGCGGCGGCGGACCTGAAAGTCGCTCAAGCGGACGCCGCCAAACACGCGGACGAGGTAGCCGCCGCCACTCAAGCATTGATCGACCTGCAGGGCCCGGATCCGACGCTCGACAACCTCGTTTCAAGCGTCTCCGACGTAAATGGTAGCCTCGCCGACGCGCAGTACGACCTCGACATCGCGAATAAGATCCTCGTTCTGCGCGTCGCGGATCTCGCGGCTTTCAAGGCGGACCCGTCGAAGCACCCGCAGATCCCGGCGGCGCAGAAGGCGGTCAGCGACGCGATTCGGCGCGCGAGCATGACGTCCGCGCTGCTGCAAGAGTGGAAGGTCGTCGTGGCAGAGGCTGCGCAGACTGAGGCGGACGCGCAAAAGGCGGTGAATGAAAACCCGTCGGAGCCGGCGACGCTAGCTGCACTCGCGGAAGCGCAGGACTTGCGGAAATCCGTTGAGGAGGTGTTTCCGGATATGGTGGCGCAAGATCAGCGCGCGCAGGCGCGGCTGGCCCGCACGCGGAAGGAATTGAACGATCTGGTTACGCTGGGTCCGCAGGGAGAGAGTGTTTTCCAAATGGCGGTGGACGACGCGAAAGCCGCAGTTTCCGTCGCCCGCCAGGTGTACGACGACACGTTCGCGGCTGTCGTCGACGCGCAGCAATCGATTAGCGATTACCAGACGAAGAAGGAAAAGGCGGTTGCTGACGCGAAGGCGAGTTTGGCGAAGGGAAAGCAGAGCCAGGCTATCACTGACAAGAAGTTGACTCAGCTTACGGATAAGCTCAAGGCTGCCCTGGTGCAAGCTGACAATGCTGAGAAGGCTGCTGGAATCAGCAAGGCCACCTAAACAGGCTTCGGTAAAAAGCTCGATCAGTGTGGGTGTATCAGTCTACACCCATCCCATTAATTTCATTCATGCATAGCGCTGATGTCTGCACTTTTATGTGTGATGATCACATACGCAACAACGGCACAAGCACTGCTCTGCCTCGAGGTGTGGCTCTTCACCTTGGGAAATAAGCGCATTTGGGATCACGGTAGCATGTTTACTGTTGGTGAATGAGCGGGTGGGGTCTAGGGAAGCCCTGTTTGTCCTTCTTTATTTACCTATGATTCGGCTTTCTACATCTGGTTCATTCTGTGCTTCTCACCATCCTCCCTAGAGAGAAAGCCTCACATACCTCACCTGCACAAACATGAAGGCCATAAGAGGGGTAGAGGCCTAGGTAGATAGTGGGTGGAGGAGGGTAAGTGGCATGTGTGAGAGGGATGGGTGCTGTATAATAGCAGCTGTAAAACTGCTTATCTATCTATCTGGACAGAGCACGAGGGTGCTTTTAAGTCTACTCAGAAGGGAGTTGGATGTTAGAACAGGGGAGGGGGCGAGGATAACAACATAAGAAACGAAGGGGTGAAGAGGTTTATTAATGGACAGGAAGGAAATGAGAGCCCTTCCTATCATGACCGTTTGGCTTTCGTGGACAAGAGAACAAGGCAAGGAGCAATGAGGGGTGAACAGAGGTCCAGTACCCGAAGAAACAGGGCCCGCTATGACCCCTCGGCTTCCATGCCTAGGGTTTGGGAGTTTGAAGAAAGGCTGGTGCAGGAAATAGCTGGACAGGAAAGAACATTTGAACTGTACATTCATTACAGGAGCTGACTGTACAACAAAACTTGGTGCTAAAAAAAAAAAACAGAGTACCGTAATCGAAAGTTGAATCCCCTTAATGCATGTCATCCTTTCCACCCACCCATCCTTTCAACCAGCGGATCCGCACCGCAAGACACGGCCATTTAAAAGGACGGAGTGGAAGGGGGGGACGGGAGCAATAGAAGAAACAGGAAAAGTCATCCGCGAGAAGAAACATCCGAGAAACGAGGCGACTTTCAGAAAAATCGAGGTGGGACTGGGTGCGTCTTTTGAGGTGAAACCCTAAACCCGGTCACCAGGAAAAAGCGTTCCTAATTAGCAGCAGGAGAGCCGGCCAGTAACGATAAGAAATGCCATCCGAAAGTCACTATAGAGTGACCAGAGCGGGTAGCGAAAAGTCGCCGGCTTGTTACGCTGTACGAAGAAATGCGAATACCACGCGCAGCCGTAACCCACGACAGGGGCGAGGAGGAGGAACCTAGGGTTACGTGTGACTGCAGATGATGTGACGCAAGCGACGGCGGCGAGGGTCCCCGCGGTGTGCCACAAACGAGTGGCTGGCTTGCTGTGCTCTTTGAGGTAAAACGGCCAGAACTCGGTATAAGTCGCGATGCGCTTGTGAGAAGCTGTTGCTGGTTTTGATCCTAACGACGGTCCTGCTGAGGACACGGTATCCCCTGACGCATCCCTAGCCATACTCACACGCCAAGTAGCGGTTTTGAAACTAGGTTGCTGAGAATGAGAACTGATAGCGGCGCGAAAAATTCCCGCCTTCTCGCGCGCTTTCCGCCTTTTCGCGCGCCTATACCGTTTCCGCCTTCTCGGGCTGGCAGCTGGGCTGTTACTAGGATGCCTAAGAAGCTCTACTCCGAGAAGGTATGCAAGACAAGGTATGCAGCGATAATAGACTATGGGGTTGGTTGCTGAGCCGAGTCGTCGACTCGTCGAGTTTCCTTCACTCGCTGCGCCAGATCTACGGCTACAGCTCTAGTTTCTATGTGGTGGTGTGAAGGCTTTAAGATTCGTGTTACCTTCCCCCCTCTCCAGTTGAACCTGGACCACCTCTGTAACTAGACGAAGCTACTCGCACACGCGCCTTCGTAACATCCCACTCAGCGATCCCTCGAGCGAAGTTGCAAAGTAACAGAGACGAGAAGGTCGCGAGAAGTTTTCGTAATGGCGAAACCCCAAGAGCTGGTTTCGCAGCTGGTTTTGCTTGGCTTGGGATGAGGTGGAAATTTGGAAACCCCAACATGCAGAGTCCGTCTGTCCGTCCGTCGGCCATGTGTTGCTGATTTTTTTCTTTACAATGTCGGTTTGGGCGTCGTCGTCATCGGCAATGGCGCGACAGCATTGTCGGCCATGCATGGTTTACTTTTGCAGCATGGCAACAGCGCATGCGGCGGCATGCAGCTCTCTACTCGCTCCGCGCTGCAGCATTCAGCCAACTGACAACCGACCATGATGGCAAAAGTTCTGCCAACGTGTACCAGGAGTAGAGTGAATAAAGCGCCGCGCAACTGGCGCCTACCGAGTGAGTCTCTTGGCCATCTTAGCGGTGCGTCCTTCGAAGTTTGCTACTTCTATTTCAGCCTTCATCTCGGCGCAGTCAGGAGGCTGTTTTCCGCAGCTTTCTTTGCCGATTTGGACGACCAAGAAAGTATCCATAGAATAGGAGTATATCGCTTCTTGCTGCTCCGTGCTCTCCGTAGTTTCTTTCCAGAGTACTATAGCGTCGATAATATCACTATCAACATGCTGTCGCAAGCTCTCAGCGCGAATGTGTTATCTCCACCGTCGGTACGATTTTCCACCCAGGCGCACCAGAGCTGGCGTGCAACTGGTAACAACCATGGCGGCGGCACAGGGTATCCACGTCAGCTCCACGTCAGCAGGCGTATGGCAGGAGGACGCTCGGTGGTCGTGATGACCGCCACGGATCCGAGCCACGTGGCGCGCGGAGAGCCTGCCACGAAGAATAAAACGGAATCTCAACCGGCGTTCGCTGAGAAGGAGGGTGTGATTGAAGGGAAGGCCGTTCTAGCGAAGATTTCGCTGCTGCCACCAGAGCCTCCTAACAGACTCACGGAGCTCTTTGACAAGGTAAGCTCACGGAGGGTGATGGATAGACTAGATTCCGTCGTACTATTTTCGGATGATAAAGCTCTGGATCAGATTCTTGCTTAGCCGGAATAAAATGCATAGATTAAAGTGCATGAAAAGGTACGGTGTGATCGCTCACTGTCGTGCGCCCGCCTTTTTTTTATGAAGGTTTTACACGAATGTACACGTTCAGTCTTCACCTTTTCAAAAGTGTATATCATGAATCCCCCTTTTTTACCTTCTCATAACGCGGATCCTTCGTGTTAGGAGGGGCAGCCCCTATTGGCGATTACCTAGGGTGGAGCTCGTCCTGTGCCTTGTATAAGTCTGCTCCACAGCAATCTCCCTATAACGCGTATTTTCCACCCTTTACAGGTGGGACAGTCTTGGATGGATAATCTAACGCGTGAATGCCATCTCAAGGAGCTCGTCAGTCCATATCCTGAACCGAATTTTTATACCCGTGGAGATGGTGTATTCAATAATCTAACGCGTGTATTTCCTTGCAGGAAGGACAATCCGCGTGGATCGACAACTTGACCCGTGATTGGGTGGCGTCGGGTCATCTGAAGGAGCTCGTCCGACGTGGCATTAGAGGCATCACCAGCAACCCCACCGTAAGACTAATACTATTCTTGCACTTCTGTGTGCAAGAAACTGTGTCTCAAGTGTGCAAATGTTAGGTCCATTGTCATGGATTATTTGGAGCTGTCTTCATCTTTGCCACATGGAGATTTCATCTTTACCCGAAATTTTGGATGTGTTTCGGCATATTGCAGATCTTCGAGAAGGCGATACGCAGGACGGACGTGTACGACCAGCAGCTCCGGTAAGCAGTTTTGGGGGGGGGGGGGGGGGGAACAGCCTTCTGCTATACGCAGGACGGACGTGTACGACCAGCAGCTCTGGTAAGGCACGTGGTTCTCGAATTGAGTGTATTGGGGGCGCAACAGCAGGCTTCTATAGCAATAGCAGACTCATGGCGATAAGTGGGTCTGCTAGGGGGTCTGATAAGCGGGCCGGCCGGACGTGTACGACCCGCAGCTCCGGTAAGCACTTTTGGGAGACCTGGCTGTTGAAATGAGTGTATTGGGGAGACATAGCAGGCCTCTGGTGACAAGCGGGGCAGACGTGTATGAGAAATATGTTGCTTTGTGAGGGGGCGTTGCTGGGTGAAGGAGCTGTGGAGAGCCATATGTTTGTATCCTGGTGATTCCCCCCATTACCATTCCCCCCATTACCATTTCCCCCCTCGTTATTCCGTAAGAGGGTGCTTCTGGGGGAGGGGCGGCGGTGGGCCATGGCAAGGTCGCTTGTCTTGACGCCGTTCATTGCCCGGTCTACTGTTTTTGTTTCCCCACCTTTTTCAGGAACATCTTGTATCGCGAGGGGGTGCTTCTGGGGGGGGGAGCGGCAGAGAGCCATGGGGAGGTGGAGAGGGGGGTGGTGGAGGGGGCTTATTGGGAGATGGTGAGGCAAGACATTGGCACCGCTGCTGCTGCGTTAGAAGAGCTGTTCCGTGCTTCCAACGGTAGGTTTTGTTAGGGTGCTTATAGGGAGTATAAGGTGGAGAGCCATGGGGAGGTGGAGAGGGGGGGTGGTGGAGGGGGCATACTGGGAGATGGTGAGGCAAGACATTGGCACCGTTGCTGCTTCGTTAGAAGAGCTGTTCCGTGCTTCTAATGGTGAGTTTTGGAGTGCTTGTAGCGAGTATGATGAGGTGGAGAGCCATGGGGAGGTGGAGAGGGGGGTGGTGGAGGGAGACTATTGGGAGATGGTGAGGCAATACATCGCCACTGCTGCTGCTTCGTTAGAAGAGCTGTTCCGTGCTTCCAATGGTAGGTTTTGTTAGGGTGCTTATAGGAAGTATAAGGTGGAGATCTATGGGGAGGTGGAGAGGGGGGTTGTGGAGGGTGCCTATTGGGAGATGGTGAGGCAAGGCATTGGCACTGCTGCTGCTTCGTTAGAAGAGCTGTTTCGCGCTTCTAATTGTGAGTATGAGAGTGCTTGTAGTGAGTATGATGAGGTGGAGAGCCACAGGTTGTTGGTGAGCAAGTTCTGGACCTCTTACAAAAATTGTAGAGACTATTAAATTGGGTTTTACCTCCTCAAAATTTCCGCACCAACTGATATCCTTAACCATCTCTAATCCAATCAAATCTTTCCACGTCATCAGGAGGCGATGGGTTTGTCTCCCTTGAGGTGTCACCGAAGCTAGCCTACGACGCGGCAGGTTCGGTGGCACTGGCTCGGGAGCTGCACGCGGACCTGGCTCGGCCGAACCTGATGGTCAAGATTCCCGCCACCGAACCTGGCGTGGCTGCGATTCGAGAGATGATTGGCCGGCGGAAAAACATCAACGCCACAGTAAGTTATCTTCTCCTCCCTCCCCCTCTCTCCCCACTCCCCCCCCCCCCCTCTCTCCCCACTCCCCCCCCCCCCCTCTCTCCCCACTCCCCCCCCCCCCTCTCTCCTCCCCCCCTCTTCTTTTTTGCCATCCATTCTGCTCTTTATTCCCTATCAACACATTGAGAGCTCTTTACCCACTTCCCCTCATCTCGTCCCTCCCTAACCTTTTCCCCCCATCCTCCCTATTTACACCCCAAACACACTCAGCTAATCTTCTCCCTTCCCTAGGTACCGTGAGGCCACAGAGGCTTTGGTGGCTGACCTCTTAATACCCTTCCTCCTTTCCCTTCCCCCCACCCCCCACCCCCCCTCCCACCCCACTCAACTCAGCTCATCTTTTCGCTGACATGCTACACTGAGGTGATGGGGCTAACGTGGCCGGCCTCTTAGCTTCTTCCTCCTCTCTCTTCCCCCCGCTCCCAACCCCCCCCCCCCCCCCCCCCGCCTACCCCTCCCCTCTCCCCCCCTCTCCCCCCCCTCCTCCCTCCCCGCCCCCCCCTTTCCAGCTCATCTTTTCGCTGACTCGCTACAGTGAGGTGATGGAGGCCTACGTGGCAGGCCTGGAGGACGCCGTGGCAACTGCCAACGTGGCATCTGAGCTGTCAGCAGCAGCGTCTGACTCAGCAGCAGGAGCCCTGCCACGTGTCGACCTCTCCTCTGTTTCTTCAGTGGCTTCGTTCTTTGTCTCTCGGGTTGATAGTGCCGTGGACAAACGTCTCAAGGTAAAGAGTCGGTGCCAGGGGCGGTACATTTGAGTGTGGGGGGCAGGCGGGGAGGGGGGGCCCTCGTTCTTCGTCTCGCGGGTTGATAGTGCCGTGGACAAGCGCCTCAAGGTAAAGAGGCTTTGGGTGAGACAGTACATACGTGTGTGGGGGGGGCGGGGGAGGGGGGCTTTGTTCTTCGTTTTGCGGGTTGATAGTGCTGTGGACAAACGACTCAAGGTATTGTGACCATGGCTGAGACAGTACAGTGTATGTGTGTGCGTGTATATATACATGTATATGTATAGACACTTGTCTATAAACAAACATACATGTTTACTCACATAGATGAACATTTTTATGTGTGTCTACATATGGAATGGTATATCGGGCTAAAGGTCTTGTGTTGATATGTTGACATGCTCATGAGACTATGTGTCTGTTTGCTGATTTTTCCTCACCCTTTTGTCTCAGGCTATAAACACAGAGTAAGCACTATCTCTAGAGGCAGGAAATCGCAGGCTATTGTCACGTCGTGCTTATGTACTGGCTCCCGCCTTGTTACCCCCCTTGTTACTTATTCACTCGCCCTATGGGTGCGCTTCCTTCAGGCCATAAGGACAGACGAGGCCGGAGCACTAATTGGCAAGGCAGCTGTGGCTCAGGCAGTGGTGGCGTATGACATGTTTAAAGCCAAGTTCAGCGGACCCAGGTGAGAAATGAAGTTTACCTTTTATTACATGTATAATTATTATGGGGTCAAGTTTGCAAATGCCATGCTCAACACCATCTCAGTTGACCAGAATAACAACTACGGTGGGTGCCATGATGTCATTAGATGTGAAAGACATGATGCAATGATTTAATTCTGGTATTCTTTTCTTTCCATCTGAGGTGACCGGAGTAGCAATAATCATGCACGCCATCAGGCGTGAAAGATACAGAGCGCCACTTTGATCCTTCGATTATTTCCCTTTCCTCTAATTTTTCATCTCAGGTGGAGGGCATTGGAGCAGCTGGGAGCGCAGGTGCAGTGACCATTATGGGCGTCAACGGGAGTGGAAGATCCATCGTAACTTAGTTAAGTACAAATTCTTCCCTGGTGCCCCTATCCCCCATCGCAGGTGGAGGGCATTGGAGCAGTTGGGAGCACAGGTGCAGCGTCCATTGTGGGCGTCAACGGGAGTGAAAGATCCATCGTTTCCGGACACAAAGTACATTGATGCTCTGATTGGCCCGCACTCTGTCAACACCATGCCCGACGCCACCCTGCTTGCCTTTGCCGACCATGGGAAGGTGAGGAATAATCTGGACAAATGGCTGTGAAACATCCATCGTATCCGGACACAACGTTCATCGATGCTCTGATTGGCTGTCACTCTATCAACACCATGCCTGACTCCACCGTGCTTGCTTTTGCCGACCATGGGAAGGTCAGTGGAAACGGATTAGGGATTGGAGGTGCAATGTATCCGGGACGCTTATTGATAATCACTTACATCGCCCCCCTATAATTTGAGAGCACTGTCTAACACCATGCCTGACACCACCCTGCTTGCCTTTGCTGACCAGAGGAAGGTGATGGGTTAATTGCTTTATTTGTTTATTAGTTAATAGTCTGCTGGTTTATTGAACTGTTTTCATTTGTGTGTTTCTGTGCTGCACGCTCTTTTGTTGTGGCATTTATCGATCTCCAATATTCTGCTCTGTTTTGTTTGCCTGCATAGCTGCAGAGACAGGAAATTTTGCCTTGGATGCTTCATCTGATATGTTACATGTTACTTTCATGATATGGTGGTGGATGCTTGCAGGTGAAGCGCACTGCGGAAGGTGATGGGGATGCCTTCTAATGTGTTACATGTTACATATTACATTCATGTATATCTTACTAATGGATGTTTGCAGGTGAAGCGTACTGTAGACGCTGACGTGGATGCTGCCTACGATGTGCTGGATCGTCTCAAGGCTGTTGGTGTGGACATGGAGGAGGTTGCCAAGGTGAGCCACAATCCTGGCATTTCTTCATGGTGTTATGGGAAGGAGGGAAGAAGTGGAATGGGGAAAGGGGAAGTGGTTCTATGGTGTGTTGGATCGACTCGAAGCTCTTGGAGTGGATGGAGGAAGTTGCCAAGGTGAGCCACAATTTCACAACTGCTAACACACGCTCACATGCATGCGTGTTGGGGAGATTATGGGGAAAGGGAGTATCCTAGGGAGGGAGCTGCTGCTTGGTAGGCGAGGTTCTGCTGAAGGTGAGTCAGTTGCTGCTGGTATGGTATGATGGCTGGCTACCCTATTTTTTTGTCATCCTTGCTATCACATGATTGCAGGAGCTGGAGGAGGATGGTGTAGCCAAGTTTGCTGCATCGTTTGATGACCTGCTGGCTGCACTTCAGCGCAAGGCTACAATGATACGTGGTGCAAGCATCAACTAGGCTTGCAACGTTTGGTCTCAAGATGTCTTGCTAGAGGTTGTGCCGACACTTTGTACATTTCTGTAATTATTTTGGCTCGGCACAATTTTCTCACTTCGCGACGTTTTCATGTGCCGGTAGGTACCGGTACTATTTTTTAGCGTGCATCCTGCTTTTACCACCTTTGCTATTTTAGCCTCTAGTTTTTAAACAACAGACCCATTGAGCAAATTGGACACAGCTCTGCAAGAATGGTACTTTTCCTCCCCACCCCATGTGTCCATCACCCACTCACTATGGATCTGGTTGAGTGCACGGCAGCACGATATGCAGTCAGCAGCACATTCTGTTTACATGCAGTCGGTGTGAAGTGGTTTTACGATTCCAGAACCACTCTCAGCCGTGCAATCTACAGCTCTGCCAGTAGTGCACTATCAACCAGCTTGCACAGAATTGAAGCCCAAGATCCCACATTGCACACTACGGGGCAACTTGGACACTCCTAGGCAGGGAAAATTCGGCATAGAGTGGGTAGTGGCTGGACGGTAGCTTTCCTCCCCACGTGTTGATCACCACCTCACAATAGATGGGGTTGAGTGCACGGCCATAGCGGAACATCCAGTCAGTATGGAGCGAACCTATGATGCCAGGATCACTCTCCGCTGTACATATTTCCAGAGCACTTCTGACAATTTGAAGGCAGGACATATCATGACCTGCAAAGGAACCAACCCTCTGCTGACGTGAGCAGGAGGAAACTCGAACCATGTTGAGGTCGGATTGTTGTTTTCAAGACCTTGAAAAAGATGGTGGGTGTATATCTGGCCTCTGTTGATTTTCTTGCGCGCGATTGACAACACATCTTTGAAATCCCCTTCAATGCCATTCAGCCTGCCACAAGCAACATCAGGGCATAAGCATTGCAAAGAGCAAGCAAATTCCTCGAGAAACGAGCACTTACTTCCAGCTTCCAAGGAAGAACCTTGCAATTGAAGATCCCTTGTTCCTATTGAAATTCGCACACATGAGCACAGGAATAGATGGCGGAACAGAGCTGATGTGTTGCCACAGGAGTGACGCTCCTTTAGCTCTTGCTAAGGAGCTTCCTGTCTTCATCCTGACATTATAAGCCTGAAACGCAAATCCGGGTGGCTGTAGCCCTCTCACTCGGAATTTGACCCAAGTGGCAACTGTAGGTGTGGATGCACCCCAGGATGTGCTTCCACACACATCAGGCGACTCTGAGAGCCAGAAATTCCCACTCTCCATCACCTCAACCTGCCACAATGACATGCTTATCATGACTTTCACACAGAAGAAGCAAGTAGAAACCATTGCCAATGGCAACTCGGGTTCTGACGTCCGCCGTCTCTCTGCCTGGCGTAAGCTGTCGAAGTTTGATGACACACGCACCGTACCTGGTCTCGGTTATAAAGGATGGCAGAATATTCTTCGCCAGGAGCCTCTTGGCATTTAGATCCAAACCATTCGTATGCTGTACCTTGAGCGTTCTTTAGATGATGTCAAGACAATGTCTTACTGATAATGTCAATTACTGTGAATGCCATACCTTTCAACTCGCTCTGAAGAATCTGGATCTGCTCCTTGGATCCTGAATGTGCACGAATCAGGATCAATGGCTACGAAACGTAACTCTTCAGGTTGTTGGCTCCATTTTCCTACCTTCTTGTGTGAAAATCAGAGTGGGGTGGAATTTGCTCAACATCTCGAGGCATGCGAATTTGCGTGACTCCCAACAATTCGGGCTGCTTTCCGGCTCTGTGAAGTCTAAGTTCAACATGAGCGCAGAAATTGCCCCGAGAAAGGCCATCGCTCGAGCGCCACGTCCACTCTTTGAATTTCCGACGCTAGTACCCTTAGGTGGTTCGACTAACGGAGACCTGAACAACCTAACAGTTAGGTCACAGAGTGACTCTGTGTTAGACGACGAGGCATTATGGAGCGAGCCAGGATTCAGGCTCCAGACTGATAGGTGGGGAAGATGCAAGGTTCAGCATTTCAGAAACGCATTCACTCGCAGCTTGCAACCAAGAAGCACCACTCTAGAAACGAAATCGATAGCACCAAACAGACTGCAGAAGAGTGCAGAAAGTACCCCTTCGGCCGTTCGGAAAGAGCATGGGCGTGTCTCAAGCGTGCGTCCCACAAAATCTGTCTGCGGTGGAGTAAGGTGCGACACGATCAGAATCGGTTTCCGTGATTCGCCGCTTCGAACCTTGAGGAACCAGATTGAACCGTATAGAATGTACGGCGGACATACTTTTGGGACACGCTGAAAATACAGACTGGCGAGGGCAATGTCGAGAGTCGTTGACGGGTATGAACGACACTGACCCGTTTATTCAATACGATACAATAGAGCACCTGCACCTACACCGTGCTAACCTGGAGCAATTCATTTTTTGCACCAAGCACCCTGAGCAGATCGAAAGAATTATACCCAATGGGACCCCTACCCTAAACATTCCACGAAGTCCAGCAAAAAGAAGCTACCTACGTCACAAACAAACCACAGGCCCATGAATGCACTTGTTGCACATGCCGCACTCCCCTCACAACCACATCAGCACGGACCAACTCCCTCCGGGCCCTTTCAGAGACCTTACCAGCTTCGACCTTCAATTCTCGCAGTCTTGGGAAGCTTCCAAGAAGCCCTCCTATGCCAGCTTCAGTAATTCCGCTGCATCCCACCACATTCAAACACCTGAGCATCGCCAGCCTGATTCTCTCTACCACCCAATCCGACATCGTCCCATTATTCTGCATGCTAAGTTCCTCCAACACCACGCATGCACGGAGCAAATCCAGCAGCTGTTCCTTCCCCAACCCAGAGCAGCACACCAAAGTGAGTCGCTTCAGCTTCCCGAAAACTGCAGCCCGTGCCACAGACTCAAACGACTGCGGCCGAGCACTCAGCCTTAAGCCCGGAGCAGGGGAGAAGCAGGAAGACGGGGGGAACAGAGAGGATGCTACGGCGGGGGGAGAAAGGCACATGAGGGGGGATGCGGAAGGAAGGGTTGCAGGCAGCCAGGTAGGCTCAGGAGTGGTGATGAAGTGAAGGCCTTGGAGGTTCAAGGACTCCAGAGGAGGGCAGATCACTTCGACAGGAATCCCAGAGACGGATGTCTTCGAGGAGTCGCCTGTTGACTTTCTTCTGGACTTTGAACTGATTACCGACCTTCGCCTGTCTGGTGGCCGTCTGCTGCTTGGCTGCTCTCCATCCCCTTTAACCTTCTCAGCTCGTTCTCCCGCCCCTCGTGTCCCTTCTACATGCTGGGATGCAGGTGCTGTTTCCCCTGCCCCTTGCTGCACTGCTGATGCTGCGGCTCCCCCTGCTGCTGCTCCAGCCCTGCCTGCTGCTGCCGCCGCCCCGCCTGCTGCCGCTGTTCCAGCAGTAGCAGCAACCGCACCTCCCGCTGCTGCTGCCCCACCAGCAGCAGTCTCAGTTGTAGCAGCAACCCCAGCAGCAGCAGCCACACCAGCTGCAGCAACCGCCCCTCCTGATGCTGCTGCCCAACCACCAGCAGCAGCAGCCACTCCACCAGCAGCAGCATCAGCCAGGTCAGCAACGTTTGCAGCAGTAGCAGCAGCCGCACCAGCAGCAGCAGCAGCATAAGCAGCAGCAGCAGCAGTGGCAGCGCCAGCAACAGCAGCCACACCAGCAGCAGCAGCAACAGCAGCAGCCATACCACCACCACCAGCACCACCACCAGCACCACCACCAGCACCACCACCAGCCACAGCAGCACCAGCAGCAGCAGTAGCCACAGCAGCGGCAGCAGCCCCACCTGAAGCAGCAGCCCCAGCCGCCAGTCGTTCGGCACTGCGAGGCATGCGCATGGACCTGAAGCTATCAAACATGGCACCCCTCTGCACACCCAGCTGCGACATCAGCGAATCCAGCGTATCCAGAGCCCGTGCCTGAGTGTCAACCACACCCCTCTCCCTCTCACTCTCCCTCTCCCTCTCCCTCTCCCTCTCTCTCCCACTACCATCAGCGCCATCAGCAGCTAAGTCATCGTCAGGCAGCATGCCATCAAAATCTTCGAGCTGGACCATTCCTCCCTCACCCTCGCCCTCTAATGCACCTAAGATCTCACTATCCCTGTCGACAAACACGCCTGCAGCTGTGGCAGCAGCAAACGCTGCAGTCAGCGCATCTTCCCTCCCGATCGCCGCATCCGACTCGCGGATCGCCACCCGCACAGCCCGACAGGTCGAGATAGCAGCCCCGATCTTGAGTACCGTGGACTGAATCTCGGCTACTGCACGCATGCCCTGTGCATGGCGCGCCCAGTGGGCCGCAACAGGTGCTTGTTTCAAAAGCTCGCAGGCTGCTTTGAAGAGCTGGAGGACGTCGTCACATGCTGCTATCAGGTCCGCACGCGCCGCTGCTGCCTCTGTGCGTATGTCCAGATACCTTCCCCTCCCGTCGTTCCTAATGGCCCCTGCTGCTTCTACCGCTGCTTCTGCTGCTCCTGTCACTTCTGCAGCCAATGGCGCTGCAGCCGCCGCCGCCACCGCTGGTGCTGCTCCTGCTGCTGCTGCTGCCGCCACTGCTGCTGTTCCTGTACGAGCTCTCCCTTCCTGTTTCCCGCCTCCCTCCCCTCCTCCTTCGCTTTCCTCCGCTTCACCCTCCCCTCTTGCATTCTCTCCTCCTCCTCCTCCTCCCCCCCCACCCCTCCTTTCTACCCGCACTAGCATACCTACAAGGCTTTCCAGCGACATTTGAGCCACAAACCCGCTCTGCGTCTGCCAACCTCCTCCTTCCCTTCCCCCCCCAGTCCGGTTCTCTCCTCCCCCCTCCCTCCCTCCTTCCACAGTCAGCGACTGCAGGCCGCTGCAGCGAGCAAGCATACCAGGGCGAAAGGAGGGGAGGCCAGAGAGGCGAAGGGAGCGGAGACGGGAGGAGGAGAGGTGGAGTAGGGAGCGGAAGCCTAGGGCACTGAACAGACGGTACGAGTTGCCTTGGAGGGAGAGCGAGACGAGAGCAGGGTTGGCTTGAAGCAGGGAAGCGAGGGCATGGCTGGAGACGAGGGGGCAGGAGTGGATGGTGAGGTGGGTGAGGGTGTGCAGGGAGCGAGAGAGGGAGTGGAGCTCGAACGGGTCGATGCTGCAGGAGTGGAAGGAGAGGGAGGAGAGGGCGGGGAAGGAGGCCAGGGGTGAGAGGGAGGATTCTAGCTTGGCGGAATGGATAGTGAGGGATCTAAGGGAGGAGCGAAGGGAGGAGGTAGAGGAGGGGGAGGATGAGGAGGAGGAGGATGAGGAGGAGGAGGAGGAGTGGGAGGCAAGAGAGGAGAGGGTGGAGGGTTCGGGGCTCCAGAGGGTGAGGGAGGTGAGGGAGGAGCAGCGGGGGAGGTAGAAGAAATCAGTGGGGTGGAAGAGGAGGGTCAGGGAGTGTAGGGCAGGGAAGGCGTGCACTGGAGGCAGGATGGTCTTCGCAGACAGATGCGAGCGGCGGGCGTATGGGCAGTCGAGCTCCAGCGTTGTCAAGAGCCTAAACGAGGGGGTGGGCGGGAAGAGGGGAAAAGAGGGCAGAGAGGGGCAGCAAGGGGCAAGGCAAGAAAGGGGGAAAGGGGCCCACATAGTGCGGGAGCGTGACGAAAGGGAGGCGCGGGCAGTGGAGACCGCAAGGTCATGGTGCCGGGGTGAGAGTAGCGGGCGTCTCGGCAATCAAGCTCCTATGAAGTCAAGAGGCTAAACGAATGGGAGAGGGGGCTATTTTTGAGGCGCCTTGAAAAGAGGCTAAACGAATGGGAGAGGGGCGACCATGGCAAGAAGAAAAAGGGGGGAGGGGGGAGGGGGTGGGGGTGGGGGTGGGAGAATGAACGGATTGCAGTCGAGGGGAAGGCAGGGTAGCAGCAGGTATTGTGGCGAGTCGAATCAAGGGTCACTTGTAAGTCAATTCAAGGCTTAAATTCCTTCGTGGATCGTTCTACTCACGGGCATTGCTTCGCAAGCCTTCTCCATTCTAGTGGGTGTAAAAGCCATCCCACGGCGCTACAGGCGTCCGCTTTTCTTCCAGTCGACTAAAAAAGTAGTTCTTCATTAGTCACACAACTCACGGGCATTGCTTTGCGAGCCTTCTCCATCCAGCAGAGTTGGTGTAAAAGTCATCCCACGGCGCTACAAGCTTCAGCTTTTCCAATTTCGGGCAGCCCGCTCCAATAGCCGGCACCAGCTGGTTCCTGACAAAACCGCTGATCTCCATGGTCAGATCCGTGATGCGGGTAAATACCCTTGAATAATCGTCAAAACTTTTCAGCCATCCCCGAGCGTTACCCACCACTCCGCGTGTGCGGAAATGGAGGCGGAGCGAGTGGGGCGTGCGTCGCGAGAGGAGGCGGAGGCGGGAGCAGGAGAGAGCGACGGTGGAGCGATCGGAGGAATGGCTTACGAAGCCGAGGATTGTGAGGAGGAGTTCGTCGGGGAGAGATAGCAGCCTGCTGTCGCCGCCAGCGCCGTGCTGGTGACCAGCTTTCGCCATCGCGAGCTGACGGTTTACGTCGTGGTTACCATCTGTAACCCCAGAACTACTCCTGTTACTAGTAGCACGCTAACGACCGCAGGCGCAGCTCTCGCCAGAAAGGTCCGCGAGGCCGAGCGACAGCAGCCGAAAATGCGAGCAGACTCAACGTTCTTCGAAAGGCCTAGTGGAAGCTTTTGAGTCGACTCAAAAGCAGGCCCAGTGGGTGCTATAAGCTCACACAGACGGTGAGGATGTCTTCCTGAAGCCTAGCGATAAGAAAACATCGACGGTAAGGAGAGCTAAAACTAGCGGAACGACTCGACTAAAATCAACACCTCCATCAACTGGAAATACGAGACCAAGTGACATAGCTCCCTGTTATCTCAATGTCTGAGGCCGCGTTCAGGAAGTATGGCCGACCATGAAGTTTAGCCATGCGACTCGCCACGTCGGAATTGCACATTTCAATGTCTAGCCATGCGGCTCGAGGTTTAGCCATGCGCACCTTGCCGGCCACAATTTCTGCGACGTGGGCCCACGACTAAGTGCGACCAAGGTCCGAGTCAGGAATTGGCCATGCCAACGCTTACGTGGCGAGTTGGATGGCTAAACTTCGTGGTCAGTCCAACCCCAGAACGCAATCTGAGATGTGGGAGAAGCCCAGCTTTCCCCACCTTGAAATTGCCGAGCCGAGCTCCCACAGACAGTTCACATCACAAACTCACAAATAGAGAGCCCAAACCAACAGCTCAGGCTGTGTCACATCCATCACCCATCACATCGCCATCACCTAGTTCGCTTGCGCCAAAGTTAGGACTTTCAACACTGCTCTGACACATTTCAGTTTTGCGAAATCAGCCGCGTTACAGATTTCCTTGGACGAAATGCTGTGAGACGACAAATGGCTTCGCGTGAGCCCTTTTGCCTGGATGACCAGAGCGTGGCGACTCACGGCGCGTTACCAGAGCTCCTTCCGCTAGTTTCGCGGGGTCGAGTAGGGTTGCTTGGGACACGTTATGAAGTAAAAACGACAGCCATTGACAACCAGAACTTTCTGCTGATTGAAAATAGAAACTAAACCCTATCAATTTGACTCTTCAAGAGCAGGACAGCTATGATGGCCATTCTCGCGCAGGAGACGCCGGTGCTCACCGTTCAGTTCAGTGCACCAACATGCACAGAATCCTAAGGAGTAGACGTCAGCATCTTTTGTGGATCAACAGAAAAGCAACAGGGTTGAAATTGTAACTCTGCACAATCACGCAGATCAGTAGTCCAAGTAGATGCGCACAACCAGGATGTCAGAAAACGGAACACTAATCCTCCGCTCCCGATTCTTCCTGCTTAGAGGCCGCCCCTTCCCTCCATACAACTCCCTGTTTAGCCTCACATCAGCCACTCTCCATACAGTCACACGTTCCTCCTCATTCACCTCCACTAACGAAAGAATCTCTTCAGATGTCTTGCCTCCACTAGCAAGCGTGCTCCCTCCAGCACCAATATCCCCTTTACTAGCTTCTTTCTTGTCCCCCGTGTTGTCCTCTTCACTTGGCAGCGTGTAGTGTACGTACATCGGGAGCTCCTTGAACCTATTTAAATCTTCTGGAACCTTCACGACACGTTCCGCACCAGGAGAAGAGACCTGGGGTAAACGGGTAAAGAGGGGGGGAAACAGGAATTTGACGCAAGTGCATGAGGGCGGTAAAGAGGGGGGGGGGTATAACTGGTCATTCCCGCTTCTTCTCTCTTCCCTTCTTATTTCCTGCTTATCGCCCCCCTTCCCCCCCCCCTTCCATCATCATCCCTCCCCCTCGCCATCCCTTTTCCCACTCGCCCCACACCTCTATCTGAATGTCCTGGGGCAACTCGCCCCTCTCCCCCGCAGCGATGACCAGGGCGTTGAAACACTCCACTGAGGGATCATCCCCTCTATAAGCTATCCCACCCCGTTCCCCCCCTCACCTCTATCTGAATGTCCTGGGGCAACTCGCCCCTCTCCCCCGCAGCAATCACCAGAGCGTTGAAGTCGAGGAGGAAAGAGTCAATGTCCTCCACCTTGGGGGAGCCGTAGCTGCACAGGGGGAGAGATGAGAGCATGGGTTTGTAAACATGGAGTGCCCGGGCAGGGGAAGAGAAGAGGGGGGGGGGAGGGGTGGGGGCGTTGAAGTCCAGAAGAAACGAGTCAAACGCGGATACAGGTCCTTCCTCTCTCATCACCTCCCTCTCCCCTCCCTCTCCCCTCCCTCTCACCTTGACCCTTTTACCCCTTCACTCACACGCCACTGGCGTTGTCCTGTCGCACACCGATCCACTTCTGCTCCCGCCCTCTGGGTAGCCCCTTTCCCCTTCCTTTTTCGGCCCTTCCTCCCCCTCTCCCCCCCCTCCCCCACCCTTCCCCTTTCCCCGCACCTCCCCCCTTCACTCACACGTCACTCAATTTGTCCAGTCGAACGCGGATCCAGTTGCGCTCCGGATACACCTTAAAGCCGTACAGCTGATAGTCCCCCCCGTATTTAGGCCCTGCCAGCACCTCCTGCGCCAGGTCCAGCGCTGTCTTCCCCCATGCCGCTCCGTTCATCACAAACCCTCCACCATCCAGCCCGTCTCCAGGCTGGATAAAGAACGGAGGAGGGGGGGAAGGGGGAAGGAACAGGCGGGAAGGATATGGTGTGTACAGTTGTTAGTCGCCCCCGTACTTGGGCCCAGCTAGCACCTCCTGCTGCGCCAGGTCCAGCACTGTTTTCCCCCATGCTGCTCCGTTCATCATGAACCCTCCTCCGTCCAGCCCGTCTCCTGGCTGGATACAGAAAGGGAGAGGATAAAATAGGTTTGAGGGAAGGGGTTTAAAGTGTGATTCACAAGGACAAGGTGTGCACAGCTGATAGTCTCCTCTGTACTTGGGCCCGGCTAGCGCCTCGCCTCCTGCACCAGGTCTAGCGCGTCTGTCCCCATGCTGCTCAGCTCATTGCGAAGCCTCCTCCATTCAACCCGTCTCCAGGCTGGTTATGAGGGGGGAGGGGGGGAGGATAGGATAGGGTCTACAGTGCATAGTCCCCGCTGCTGTACTTGGGTTGGGCCCTGCCAGCCAGCACCTCCTGTGCCAGGTCCCGCGCCGTCTGCTGCCCCGATGCCGCCCCGTTGGAGCACAAAACCACCGCCGTCCAACTCAAACAGTTGCCAGGCTGGCAGGTTGAAAAGACGAGAAGGGGAGAGGAAGGGCGAGCTGGCAGTCATGCCCTCCGCCTAAGACCTGTAAAGGGGGAGGAGAGGCGCTAGTTTGCAGGGTATTTTTTTAGAATTCCCAAAGATACCCTGCAACCTAAAGGGCGGAGGGCTTGCATTCACGCCCTCCGCCTGACACCTGTGAAGGGGGAGGAGAGGCGCTAGGAGGACCTCCTAAACCCGAAACCCTTGCGCTAGGACTAGGGCTGCCCTCTCTGACCGGCTCCTAAACCCGGAACCCTAACGCCTGGCGGGGTCCTCCTCCTCAGCATAGGGGGAGATAGTGCCAGAAATTGACGGAGGAGGAAAAGAAGGGGAGAGGTGGGATGGGGCGTGACTTGAAAGGAGGTCCTTAAGAGAGAAGGGGCTTCTACAGCTGTACTTGGGCCTCCTTGAACCGTTATCTAAAGCCTAATTATAATCTCTAAACCTTAACTATAAAACCGTCTCGGCTAGCTCGAGAAGCACCATGAACCCTAAACCCCAAACCCCAAACCCCGAACCCTGGCTCCAAGCTGTTCTTATGCAGGCGAAACCACCTTGCCAGCTCAACGATTCCCCTCCCCCACCACCCTCAATCACTTAACACCACACACCACCGCACTCACTACCACATCGGCCATATCCTCCTCCTCCTCAAACTCCCACTCGTCAGCGGTGTCTCTCAACTAACCACTACCCAGTACACTGCCACTCTCCACCACTCTCCACCACTCACCACCACCCACCACCGCTCACCAGCGCTCAGCACCGCTTACCACCACGTCGGCCATATCCTCCTCTTCAAACTCCCACTCATCACCCCCCTCATTGCCACCAGAATCAGCGCCCACCGCTTCTTCCTCTGCTCCATGTAGGGCCGGGGTAGCGTGGGAGAACGTGTGGGGAGGAGAGAAGAGAAAGGCAATGCACAAGGGGAGAGGTGAACGCATGTCCACAGGTGGCTTCCTCTGGCTCCCACTCGTCGTCATCCTCCTCCTCCTCCTCATCCCCCTCGTTGCCACCAGAATCAGCGCCCATCGCTTCTTCCTCTGCTCCATGTAGGGCCGGGGTAGAGTGAGACAAGAAGAGGGAGGAGTCGCTTCAGCCCATTCGCTGACCTGCTGTGCCTGCATCACTGTGCCGTCATCCGCCCTAAAGAGCACAAGAATTTCCACGCCCACTTCCTATAGAGCGCAATGGGTTCAACCCCAGGCAAGAGACGTACGGTCAGTGGATTCAGCCCAGTCGCTGGCCTGCTGGGCCTGCATCACCGTGCCGTCATCCGCCCTATAGAACGCAAGCGTCTCTGCGTCCTTGCCCATGGGCTCCTCCGACTCCACCCACGTGCCGCCATCCCCCTTATAGAGCACAAGCATCTCGCCGAAAGGCGGTTTTGCTTCTCCAGCCTCCATCTCTGCGATCCATCTGCGCATCGTTTCTGAAACGATCACCCGCTCCTCCGCCTCCTCCGCCTCCTCCGCCTCCTCCGCCTCCTCCGCCTCCTCCGCCTCCTCCGCCTCCTCGACTTCCTCTACGCTCTTGCCTTTCTTCCTCTCCTTCTCCTTCCCCTTATCCTTCTTATCCTTTTTCTCCTCCTTTCCCTCCTTTTCCTTCTTCCCCTTCTTCTCTTTCTTCTCTTTCTTATCCTTCTCTTCCTTCGCCTCCTTCTCTTTCTTCTCCTTCTTCTCCTTCTCTTTCTTCGCCTTCTTCAAACCCTTCTCCCCCTTACTCCCTCCATCCGACTCGCCAGCTGTCTCATCAACCGCGTCCTCGTTATTGTCTCCCTCGCTATTGCCCTCGTTATTGTCGACCATGCCTCCCGAAACCGCATGCACTCGCAGTGCGCGCAGACGCAGCCCGGACGGTCCAAATCCACCCGTATGACAAAAACGAGCGGAGCTTGTAAGCGATCGCTCAGACCCTACTGGGCGCGTGACTAAAACGGCTGGTGACAGTAGATTCACTCGAAAGGATGCTGCTACCGAATATGACAATAACGAAGGCGCAAACGCCATGGTTGCAGCCGTTCGCCCTACAGCAGCTGGGGTATTTCGAGGACAAGATTCGAAAACCCCCGATTTTTTTGGTTCAAACACAGCTTTCCCGGCCGCGGGATGGAATGTGCCAAGAGAGAAGCAGGTCCGCGCCTCGCCTCGGATTTGGTTCGGAAAAGCAGGGAAGTTTCGGAGAGCGAAGCGGATCCAGAGACTCTGGAAAGCGCGCGACGCTGCTGGAAACGTGGCCTTGGAAGTCATGCACTGCGCGTAGCCGCGTCGTATTAGAGCCGCAGTCTACAATGGTACGGCAAACGGGTCTGAAAGCCGAGCGAAGAACGAGGAGAGCTGGGAAAAAGTGATCTCAAGGGCAGATCCAGAAGGAATCTGAATTGACGAGCAAATTTGATGAGAATCTGAATTTGATGGATACTGTAGCTGCTGAGAAATTTATCGGTAATTTTGTATGCTTATGGTTTACGTAATTTTGTTGACACTGACTGAATTGTCATGTGAGTCGACCTGTATCGAGAAAATCCAGGCTCGGGCTTCACAGGTGTGTCGGTTGTTCGTTTCGTGAGGTCAAGTTCGGTGTCTCACGGTTGAAAACAGTCATGAGCGAAACGAGGCACCGTACTTCACCTGTTATGACGACCTGGATCCGTACTTTTGGGACATACCTGGTGCTTGTAACAGAGCCTCGTGTCACAAGGCACTCTCGCTTTCTGCTAACATGACCGCAGTGAGCACGCATCACAGACGAAACGAAGCCCGTCGTCGTGACACGCAGCTGATACCAGCCCAGGGTCAACTCAAGAAACCCTCCTCGGAGCCCACAGTTTCCCCCTTGCACTGAGGGACCATCTTAGTAGCAGATAAGACTTAGCGACTTACCGGTCCTTAGTACACTTCGCAAGTGCCAAAGTATCGTGGTCCGAAAATCACCGATTCTTGAAGGAGTGTAATAAGCTACTTCGGTCCGATTCCTCCGACGGCTGTTCATTAGGCTTGTAGGCTGACAGATGGCAGTTATCTGGCGATGACGTGTCCAAGCCGTCGCCGCACAAGGTGGACTTGTAGACCGCCGTGCGAACAGTAGCCCTCATAGCGAATGTTACATTCGTGAACGCGCGAGCTGTTATAGCCGGATCAGCACCGGATGGCTAATAAGTTGCTTCTACCGCTGCTTATAGCAGGTACAGGCGTGCTGCTAGTCGCGGCTTCCACCGTCAGTGTCATGCTGCCGCTTCTCCCCGCCACGTGGACCAATCGCATAGTGCCAGGCGTCGCGCTTGAAGACTTGTGAGTGGTCTCCGCTCCGCTCGCAACTCTCCCCCGTCCCTCCCTCGATCTCCCCCAATCCCCTCCTCGCCCCCCCCTTCACATGCCCCCCATCCCCACAAGCCCCCCTCTCCTCCCCCCCAATTCACCCCCACTATTTCTGTAGTGCCCCCTCCTGTTCTCCCCACCCTCCCCTCTTGCTGACCATTGCATCCAAGATCAGTTTGTCTCCCCTCCCCTCATGCATCCTCATGCTTCTTCCCAAGCCCGTCGCCCGTTCTTGACACTCCCCCATCTCTCTCCCCTGCCTCGCTCCCTGTCTCTCCCCTTCCTCTCTCCGCTGCCTCTCCCCCCTGTCTCTCTCCCCTGTCTCTCTCCCCTGTCTCTCTCCGCTGCCTCTCTCCCTGTCTCTCTCCCCTGTCTAGGGAGCCTCTACTACTGCAGCCTAGTGCCCACGACAGCTCTCTTGCCTTTCCCCGTTCCCCATCGTTCATCCCTAAACCAATGCCCTTCCCCACATGTGTCCACTCACCCAATCCACCCCCCTGGCTCCGTCCCCCCTCCTCCCCCCCCCCCCTTTGTGCAGCCTCTACTACTGCAGCCTAGTGCCGATGACAGCTGTCGTCCTCGTATTGGCTGTCTACGGCCACTGGCTGTGCATAAAGCTGTACAGGCATGCGTGACAGCAGGGAATGATAGCCAGCCAGGGATGGGACGGGATGGGATGGGGTAGGATGGGATGGGGTGGGGTGGGGTGGGATGGGGTGGGATGGGGTGGGATGGGTTAGCCAGTCACATTGCCATAGTATCGTTGGCTCCGCGTGAAGTTGTACAGGCCCACGTGATTGTAGGGGACAGTTCAATAAGGCGTATGAATGAGTTATAGTTTCCGGTTCAAGAAGCTGGCCTATCCTCCAATGCGATTTTCTCCATACTGATGTTTTCGTTGGTGTAGGGTAGATGCAACAATCGGCTGCAATCTGTTCCCTTCAAGTTGTCAAGGTACAGTTGCCAAACATGAGTGCAGTCAAGAGACAGGAATCCTCCAACACGATCTGCTCCATAATGAGTGATGTTCTCGTTGGTGTAGATGCAACAATCTAGATGTGAGGCGCCTCTAAACTAGACTTCTATCATGTGGAGTGTAGTCACGAAGCTGGCTTATCCTCCAACACAATCTGCTCCATATTGACGTTCTCATTGGTGTAGATGCAACAATCAGCTGCAATCTTCATGGCCTTGCGCACTGCAGGCAGGCACCCCACAAGCACGCAATAGATAACACAGGTGATGTGACAAGTGGGCAGCACAAGAGAGCATTTTGAGTCGACTCTGAGACCAGCCTTGCGCACTGTAGCCACCCCACAAGCAGGCAATAGACGCGCAGGGGATGTGACAAGAGGGGAATTTGAGAGACTAGCCTTTGAGTCGACTCTGAGACTAGCCTTGCGCACTGCAGCCACCGCACAAGCACCCAGCAGATAACGCAGGTGACCGTTGGGCAGTCAGCTTACAAGAAGGGGTTACTTGACAGAAACGCAGATTGTACATGGGAATGCAACCCATGTAACATAGAAACACCCATCCCATACCATGCCGTGCCATACCATCCCATCCCATACCATGCCATGCCATACCATCCCATCCCATACCATGTCGTGCCATACAATCCCATCCCATACCTTGCCGTGCCATACCATCCCATCCCATACCATGTCGTGCCATACCATCCCATCCCATACCTTGCCGTGCCATACCATCCCATCCCATACCATGTCGTGCCATACCATCCCCTCCCATCTGACCCCCTACCATGGCATGCCATCCCTCCCCACACCATGCCCTGCAATGGCATCACCCCACCTTAACCAAGATTTCCCCCTACAGCTTCAGTAGTCAAGTCACGGATGTCTGCCAAGCCATCCCATACCACACCATACCATGCCACACCACACCATACCAAACCATACCATGCCACACCTTCCCTTCCCATGCCATGCCATGCCATGCTCTCAATTCAGGGATATCTGCCAAAGGCATGCCATCCTAACCCATCCACACATCGCCTTCAACTCAACCCCACCTATGGCTTCAGCAGTCAAGTCGCGGATGTCTGCCAAGCCATCCCATCCCACCACACCATACCATGCCACACCATGCCTGCCACATCATGCCACACCATGCCTCACCATGCCACTCCACACCATGCCATACCACACCATGCTATGCCATGCCATGGCATGCCATCTCCCCACCCCCGAATCCCACCTATGGCTTCAGTGGTCTGGGATGTCTGCCTGAGCCATCCCATACCATGCTAAGCCATACCGCATCATGCCATGCCATGCCATGCCATGCCATACCATGCCATAATTTGCCATGCCATGCCTTCCCTTCCCATGCCATGCCTTTCCTTGCCATGCCATGGCATGCCATCACCCTACCCCCAGAATCCCACCTATGGCTTCAGCGGTCAAGTCAGGGATGTCGGCCAAAGCCCGTGCAGCAGCCAGGGCATACGGACCTCCGGACCCGATGCCTGAGTGCAAGGAATTAAAAGGGAGAGCAGGGAAGGAGGCAGGGGGTGGAGTAACAGCAGGAGAAACTCCCAACACATCGCCATTGCCTGTGATGGTGAGTGACATGCAGGCACTACCATTCATACCCATATATACCAGCGACACTGTTTCTACACACCAACCACTGCATACCTATGATGCCATCATGCGGCTCTAGCACATCCCCGTTGCCTGTGATGGTGAGCGACACCTTGGCATCGGCTACAACCAGCATGGCCTGCAGCAAAGGGAGAGAGAGAGGGAGGCAGAGCAGGGGGGGCAGGCGAAAGAGAGAACTTTTGAGGCGCCTCAAAAGCAGTCTCAGTTTTTTGGGCGCCTCAAAAGGAGGCAGAGCAGGGGGGACAAGAGAAAGAGAGAAGGCGCTTGAGTGCAGGCGAAGCGGCAGCGACTCGTGTAGCGTCTGGTACCACTGCCTGGGCTTGGCCTGAGGAGTCCACTTTTGAGGCAGCGACTCCTTTACCCTTTGATACCACTGGCATCCGAGAGGGGTCTATTGTTGAGGCGACTTTCGAGGCACCTCAAAAGCCTTTAGCGTCTGATACCACTGCCTGAGCTTGGCCTGAGGAGTCCAGTTTTTAGGCGCTTCAATAACCCTTTGATACCCCTGGCACAGCCTGAGAGGTGAGGTAGTATTTTTTATGTGCGTCAAAATATACTCCTTTAGCGTCTGACACCGCTGCCTTGGCATGGCCTGAGAGGAGAGGAAGAGGGGGGAAGGGAGGAGAGAAGAAGAGAGGGAAATAAGGGTGTAGAAAACCTGTGGGCGTTGGAGTCTGCTACGGCTAGAGTAGCATGGCCTATAAAGGGAGGGAGGGGAGGAGAGGGGAGTGAGGAAGAGAGAACGAAGGAGGGAGTGAGAAAAGAGTATGGGAGCACGCTTGGGGGCCTGTGATAGTAAGATACAAGCTGGTGTCTGCTACGACTAGAGTAGCATGACCTGAATGAGGATGGGAGGGAGAGGACGGGAGGGAGAGGATGGGAGGGAGAGGACGGGAGGGAGAGGACGGGAGGGAGAGGACGGGAGGGAGAGGACGGGAGGGAGAGGATGGGAGGGAGAGGATGGGAGGGAGAACAACGGGAAGGGAGGGGGAAGATGGGGGATAACAAAGGGAGGAGAGCAAGTGAGACTACGAAGAAGTTGAAGTGCGAACACCCCCAACCTCCCTTGATTTCAAATCAGATTTAGCGTCAAAATCTTGGCAGACCAAATCAACTCCTCTAAGCCCGCAACTACCGCCACCCCAACCCCACTATTCACGCCTAGCTGCCGTGGGTACTTGTCCGTGCGCGTGCGCCATGGGTTGGGTACCTGCCGGCTGAAACAACTTGATCATAAACCCCAGCCAACTTGTCACACCCCCATTCCCCCTTCCATCTCACGTCTAGCGGCCTCTGGGTATTCGTCAGTGCGCCATGCCTTTGCTAGCTCAGTTCACACAATGCACCACTACACCACCCCCCCCCCCCCCCCTCTCCCCCCCTTCCTCCTCATCCCCCCTCCTTAGCACTCACATCCAGCTTCCTAAGGTACTTGTCAGTGCGCCATGCCTTTGCTAGCTCCACTGCTGCTCGGGTGAGCTGCAGAGGAGAAGTGGAAGGGAGGAGGACGGGAGAAATGGCAGGCATACGCGGAGGGAAGGGAGAGGCGGGCACATGGGATAGAGACAAAGGGAAAGCATACGGCACGAGCAGAAGAGGTGGGCACAGGACAAGGAAGGTGCGAGATGCGAAGGAATAGTGTGCATGGGATGACATCTTGAGGAGGCACGCACGCACAGGGGAGAAGACTTTCGAGTCGACTCAAAAGATCACTGCGTAATTATAAGGAATGGTGAGCATGCATTGGATAAGATCTCGAGGAGGCGGCACGCAGGCACATGGGATAGAGTGGGTACCAAGGTCCGGGAAACGAAGGCCCGGGAAACGAAGGTCCGGGAAACGAAGGTCCGGGAAACGAAGGACGGGGAAACGAATTGAAGAACAAGGCATCGAGATAAAAGTATGCTAATCAGATCAAAACGAATTGATAGAGCGAGCACCACTTGGTGGTGGTTTTAGCCATACGTGGCAGCAGGCTTGTAGAACACTGCTTTTGTAAAAAAAAACAGACTTGCTCAAGGAAACGAATTGAACAGCGAGGCATCGAGATAACAGCATGCTAATCAGATGATAATCAGATTAAAACGAATTGATAGATTGAGGCGTGGAGTTGCAGGCAAAGAAGTCAGGTAGAGAGCAGACAGCGAGCAAAGCTTGGAACGGAGAGAGTGAGGCAAATGTGGAACAAGGCTGCCATTCGGCATACCTGGCCTGGAGTTTCGAGGTCGATGGAACGGACACACACAAGCACATGAAGCCAATCCAGGACCAGAAGAGAAGAGAGGAGAGAAAGAAGGGAGGGATGGGAGGGAGGAGAAGAGGATGAGACAAACGCAGCAAGCACCGAACCCAAAGAGCATGGTGGCCAGAGGATCTTAGGTTGAAAGCTAGTAACTGCAACTGCACGCAACCATGGTTACCAATCCCCACCTAAACCCTTGCAATTGAAGCATCAGCAGCAGCGCAGTCACGAGGGAGCTAAAAGAACACGCAGAACACAGAATGAGATTGCATAGGCAAATGTGGGTCAACAGGTCAGCGGGTAGCGGGTGAGCGGGTAGCGGGTCAGCGGGTGAGCGGGTGAGCGGGTAGCGGGTGAGCGGGTGAGCGGGTGAGCGGGTAGCGGGTCAGCGGGTGAGCGGGTGAGCGGGTAGCGGGTCAGCGGGTAGAAGGTCAGCCGGTCAGCGGGTCAGCGGATAGCGGGTCAGCGGGTAGCGGGTTAGTGGGTCAGCTGGTGAGGGGGTAGCGGGTCAGCGGGTGAGCGAGTAGCAGGTCAGCGGGTCAACGGGTAGCGGGTCAGCGGGTGAGCGGGTGAGCGGGTAGCGGGTCAGCGGGTGAGCGGGTCAGCGGGTAGCGGGTGAGCGGGTCAGCGGGTGAGCGGGTGAGCGGGTGAGCGGGTGAGCGGGTAGCGGGTCAGCGGGTGAGCGGGTGAGCGGGTAGCGGGTCAGCGGGTCAGCGGGTGAGCGGGTAGCGGGTCAGCGGGTGAGCGGGTGAGCGGGTAGCGGGTCAGCGGGTGAGCGGGTGAGCGGGTAGCGGGTGAGCGGGTAGCGGGTCAGCGGGTGAGCGGGTGAGCGGGTAGCGGGTCAGCGGGTGAGCGGGTGAGCGGGTGAGCGGGTAGCGGGTAGAAGGTCAGCTGGTCAGCGGGTAGAAGGTCAGCTGGTCAGCGGGTCAGCGGATAGCGGGTCAGCGGGTAGCGGGTTAGTGGGTCAGCGGGTAGTACCGTAGTGGGACTGCCTCGACAGGACACTGCCCTGTGTTGAACGACTTGCACTTGATTTTTGGGAATATTTTGATTTTTGCACTCAAAAGAGGATTCTAGAAAAACGGCCTTGACTGACAGGACACTCTCCTGTGTTGAACAGCTTGCCCTTACCTGGAGAATCGGCTGCACCTACTACCTCATACTTCGCCTTCATTCGTCTTAACTTTTGGTTGTGGCTGAGGATGCACATGTAAGTTGTATCTGAAAGCATGCCTGCACGAGGCTGGCACATACCCGGGTATTCGTCTATCCGGGACTCGAATCGGTCGAAGAGAGTGAATGCATCTGCCGTTGTGCCTGTAGGGTGACGAGGGGTGACGAGGGGTGATGAGGGTTTATGAGGGTGAAAAAAGGTGATGGCAGCAATAAGAGAGTGAAGGGCATTTGCTGTGGTGCCTGTAGGTGATAGGGTCAGAAGCGGCAATGAGGGGTGACGAGGAGTGATGAGGGGTGATGAGGGGGCAAGAGGGATGAGGGAGGGTCGTGGTGGCATCTGCTGTGGTGCCTATGGCTCGTGGGTTGTTGAGGGGTGATGAGAGGCGGTAAAGGGTGATGGGGGGTTAGAAGTGGTGCGATGGGGCACAAGGTGTGACAAGGGATATGTGGGCATGGGATATGTGGGCATGGGACATGTGGCCATGGGATATGTGGGCATGGGATATGTAGGCATGGGATATAGACATGGTCAAAATGCGATGCGATGCAATATCGCATCGCTGCAATATGTTTAAAAAAAAACCAGAATCGCATATTGCGTTTTAGGGTGCCATATTTTAAAATATCGCCAAAAAAAAAAAAAAAAAAAAAAAAAAACCGATATATCGCGCGATGCGATATAATATCACATCGCATTTAGGGGCCACTGTTTTCCCGCCCTAAAAAAATGTGCTCCCAAACCACAGGGCACGACAATGGCGGCTTTCCTAGGTTCGCGCGGCATTAGGTAAGTGAATTGAAGGGAGATGGGAATATCGTGGTCCCTCTCATGTGGAGCGTGTTAGAGGGGAAGGGGTTGGATTCTGTAGATGCACTTACATTTAGTGCGGTTGAAGTGGTGGAAATTGGTTGGAGTTCCAAACAATTGACTTGGGGTGTCGAAAATTCAGTCCAACCCCCTAGATCCCTTCAACCGCACACCACCACATCCCATCCAAAAAACCCACTCGCCCACTGCCCACCACCAACCATAACAAATTTGAGCCTCCACCTAACTCCCCTCCCTCAACCACATTGCACTCCTTCCCATCTAGAATTTCCAACCCTTCCTCATATGTGCTCCGAACTCTGCTCCTCACAAAAACACCTCCCCCCAAACTGGCACTTGCCATTTCCGCGCGCCATTTCAGCAAGAGAAACCTAGATTAGCTTATCCTTATCTATCTTTGCTAAGTTCGGGGCCCTTGCCCATGTCCCCCCCCCTCCCCCTTGCTGGAGAAATTCCGCGACGTGATATGCGGAAGTATCACGCGCGATTTTTTCAAATCGCATATCGCATTATATCGCGCTAAAAAATGTGCGATATAATCGCGATATCGAAAAAAATTGCGCGATTAAATCACATCGCATCGCTGCGATTTTTTATTATTTTTTTACCTTTTTTAAAAAAAAATCGCAATTGCAAAATGCGATAAAACGCGATGCGATGCGACGCAATATACCCATGTCTAATGGAATATGTGGGCATGGTATATGTGGGGATGCTATATGAGGGCATGGTATATGTGGGCATGGTAATGTGGGCATGGTATATGTGGGCATGGGATATGTGGGCATGGATATGTGGGCATGGGACATGTGGGCACGGGATATAGACATGGTCAAAATGCGGTGCGATGCGATACCGCATCGCATTCTGTCTTATCGCGCATTATATCGCAGCGATGCGAAAAAAAACGAAATTGTATCGCGTTTTAGGGTGCGATATTTTAAAATATCACCAAACAAAAAACGACATATGGCGCGATGCGATATAATATCGCATCGCATTTAGGAGCCACTGTTTTCCCGCCCTAAAAAAACGTGTTCCAACACCACAGGGCACGACAATGGCGGCTCTCCTAGGTTCGCGCGGAATTAGGTAAGTGAGTTGAAGGGAGATGGAAATATCGTGGTCCCTCTCTCATGTGGAGCGTGTTAGAGGGGAAGGGGTTGGATTCTGTAGATGCACTGAATTTAAGTGCGGTTGAAGTGGTGGAAATTGGTTGGAGTTCCAACCAATTGACTTGGGGGGTCGAAAACTTCAGTCCAACCCCCTAGATCCCTTCAACCGCACACCACCACATCCCATAAAAAAAACCCACTCGCCCACTGCCCACCACCAACCATAACAAATTTGAGCCTCCACCTAACTCCCCTCCCTCAACCACATTGCACTCCTTCCCATCTAGAATTTCCAACCCTTCCTCTAATGTGCTCCAAACTCTGCTCCTCACACAAACACCTCCCCCCAAACTGGCACTTGCCATTTCCGCGCGCCATTTCAGCAAGAGAAACCTAGACTAGCTTATCCTTATCTATTTTTGCTAAGTTCAGGGCCCTCGCCCATGTCCCCCCCCCCCTTTGCTGGCAAAATTCCGCGACGCGATACGCGGAAGTATCGCGCACGATTTGTTCAAATCGCATATCGCATTATATCGCGCTAAAAAATGTGCGATATAATCGCGATATCGAAAAAAATTGCGCGATTGAATCACATCGCATCTCTGCGATTTTGTATTAAAAAAAAAAAAAAAAATCGCAATTGCAAAATGCGATAAAACGCGATGCGATGCGATATACCCATGTCTAATGGGATATGTGGGCATGGGATATGTGGGCATGGTATATGTGGGCATGGGATACGAGGGAGCCCATGGAAATCCCACCACTATGTATGGCAGGACAGGTCAAGGCAGCAGCGAGAGGTGATTTGATTTTGAACCCGAAAACCTGTGCAGGGGGGGTTAAGAAAGAGCAGGGCTGGCTGAAACCAATGAGAGGCAGAGGAATCGTCCTCACCTGCAAACCCAGCAATGACTGCCTTCTTCTCTCCCAGCCGCCGCACCTTGCGCACATTGGGCTTGAGGATTTGTGCCCCCATGGTCACCTGCGGATGGACGTGGATAGATAATTGGATGCACCAGAGTTCGTGTGAACAAGCACCGAAATGCACACATTGGGTTGGAGCTAGTATGGTCACCTGCGAATGGCAGCGATAGAATAAAAGCAGATGCGGTGTGAACAGCAGTGGGAATCCCATGTAACATCTCATGTACCCTGGCTCAGCTGCCCATCTGCTGCAATCACCACTTCATCCCCCTTCCTCACGCACAGCACCGTGGTGCCGTGGATGTCAACCGAACTGTAGCTTCTGCCGCTGCAGCGATTGCTGCACACACCACCCACTGGTGATGTCTACACGCCCACGCCCACGCCCACGCCCACGCCCACGTCCTTTATCTCTCACCTGCCCATCTGCGGCTATCACCACTTCATCCCCCTTCCTCACGCACAGCACCGTGGTGCCGTGGATGTCAACCGACCTGTCGCTTCTGCCTCTGCAGCGGTTGCTGCACACACCACCCACTGGTGATGGCTACACGCCCACGCCCACGCCCACGCCCACGTCCTCTATCTCTCACCTGCCCATCTGCGGCTATCACCACTTCGTTCCCCTTCCTCACGCACAGCACCGTGGTGCCGTGTATTTCAACCGAGCTGTAGCCCCTTGCAGAAATGAGATTGCCAGCTGTAGTACTGCCGCGATCAGCTGCCGCTGCATGCCTCCCTGCCATGCCATGCATGCTTGCCCGGCCGAGAGCCCATGTAATCCCATCCCCTCTGCTCGAAAACTGCAGAAGCGGCTGATGCTGATGGTGCAATAACGAGGATGGTGATGGTGATCCCGAGCCTGTGGCTGCCGCTTGGAAGGAGGTTTGGGGACAGGTTCGGTATGAGGCGTGAGGAAAGGTTTGGGTGGGGCATGGTGGAGGCGACGAGGATGACGTGGATGGCGATGGTGGTGACGTGTCGTGGCGAAGGATGCTTGCGTCAGCGGCCAGTGCTGACGTGTGCAGAGCCAACGTGGCTGCTGCTGGGCCAGCTGGCACACAAGACAGGAAGGCGAGAAAGATGAATGAGAGTTGAAGATCAAATTATAAAGGTAGAAATCCTCAAAGAACGTTCGCAACCAAGCCTGGAGAGAAGAGGATGGAAATCGTGCGGTCACTATTGAGTCGACTCAAGAGTCACCTCGAAATCGTGTGGTCTACGGAAAGCGGTCTGTTTTAAGCTGACCTGCGCATGAGCGGGAGAAGGCACCCAAAAGAATCCTGCGGCCGAGAGCGATCGCCGCCATGGCTGCTGATTCCCGGAGCAATTGGGGAAATCGCGGATTAGGATGCGAGTTACGGAAACTAGGAAAAGGCGTGAGTGCGGACTAGAAGCTCGTCAAGCTTGGCTTCGTTTCTGTTCAACACAGCAAACATGCAAACTTAGCTTCTTTTAAAAACAACGTATACGAAGCGAGAGGTAAGCTAATAAATATATCCTGTTTCCATGACTCTCTATATAATTATTTAAGTTAAATGGTGGGTAAGGAGAACATTATATTTTATATTAATTCGTGGATGAAATCAGCTCTCCACAAAGAACAAGGTGGGCAATAGAACAATATCCGTAACGGTTTGCTCTCTACAAAGAAGTCGGCGGCCTTGAATCGCCCTGGTTGCCCTGGTTCTTTCTCGTGGAAGGCGCAGCGGCTACGGATGGCGGCGGCTTATGAGGACCTTGGATTCCGCCTAGGGGTTCTCCCTTAGGGTTGACCATTCAGAAAGGTTGAAAACGGCATGGTGGGATTCACTGCGCTGTAAAAAAAAAACTAACGTGGTACAGTAGGGTGAATGTTCGGTTCGGAAGGTGTTCGAGAACATGTTCCACGCCCTTAGTGTGCGCCCCGAGCGGAGTTTTTGCTCGAATACCCTACCCAACCGTTTTATATTATTACTTGGTCCTTCTGAATGAAAGAGCATCTTACTGAACCGTAATCAAACGTAACTTAGCTTCACCAACCCCAAGGCGCACTCGTTCCACGGCGGTGCTGTAGCAAGCCGCCATGAGGAAACGACTTTCTTTCACGATCCGATTGGCTGAGAGAATCCTCCATTCGCAGACCGCCCAGTTTCTCAGGAAAGCGCGCCCCACCACCGACGCCCTTGACTGGTCGCGCAAGCCCCGTAGCGGAACCTGCTCTGTGGCGTGTCACCAGAGTTCAGTCCCCAGAAACCCTACATAACCTCTCTAGAATTCAATCAAACCCATCTAGAGCGCCATTTAAACTTACGGAACCGTACTGTAGCGAATTCACGCTCTCCCATCCCATGGCATTTGCTGGTGTTGAGTCTGCAGCGCTATTCTGTGCAGCGCAGAGGCAGAGAGGAGTAGCAGAGCAAGCCGTGCAGCGCAGGAGTAGTTCGTTCTCGCTCCTGCTACCAACTCTGCTGGTGCTTTCACGGCTTCTCCTTATCTTCGTTCACCCGTGTAGCGCGTCTTGAGCCGCCTAGGCTCACCTTTGGACTCGGAAACAGCCTGATACCAATCTCTCCTCTCCCCGGTTATACCGAAGGTTTCTCACATCAGAATCTATTTTTGAGGCGCCTCAAAAATGGAAACCGTTTGAAACCCGCGGAAATCGACGGAATTTCCTCTCTCCGTTCAGATTGAAGGTTCCTCACAACTGAATCTCAGCATCGCTTTTGCCTCTTGGGAACATAAACGCGTTAGAGGCCTTCCCGATAAGTGTTATTACGGCGGCCCTCGCATTAGTATCTCGGACTAGTAGTAGCAGCGGGAAAACCGCCGTTCCCGGCGGGAGTGCCGCTCTTTCGACGGAAGTCCTCCTTTCAGAGAAGGCGCCGGTTGAAGCGCATTCACGTCGCGCAGCGAAATTACTTCCGGCGTTTTCAACAGGCGAAACGAGGCAGGCTGTAACGGGGATAAGAGCATCAGGAACCCGCGTTATGAGTCAGTCTCGGCGGCAGGCCGCGGTGCTGGGAGTAGTTGTGCTTCTCGCATTAGCGGGTCGGCTTACAGCGGGGACGACCCCGGCGCGCGGGGGAAAAGCTGCTGCTGCAGCGGCGGCGGGATCTTCGAAAGTGATTGTAACGGTGCTTCCCAACAACAAACTCAAAGCGAAATGCCTCGACGGAAGGTAACCGTTAGTTATTCCCGAGGCGCCTCAAATATAGACGCAAGGTACCATAGAGTATCTAGGATCTCCATGGCACATCCAGCCACGGAGTATCCAACTGCCACTTAACGAATCCTCCCTGCCTCGCCGGCTGGTGGCTGGTGCTCCTCCCTTGCGTACACTCTGGTGGAAGGAAACCGCTGGTTGGGCGGTTTCGCGCCCCCAACCCACCGTCTCTCGGTCCTTTGGGAGTCTAGTTTTGAGGACCGATTGTGAGTGTTCTAGTCTAGTTCCCTCGAGACCGGAAGGGATGGAGAGCTGGAAGAGGTTTCTGCTGCTGGGCGCTGCCCATCTGCAACCTCGTCTTCTTTCTGAATGCTCCTCCCTTGCGTACACTCACCCTTCCCTTCGTCTCTCTCTCCCCTTCCCCCCCAGCCCCCCTGGGTATTAATTCCGCCCTGGCTTCGGCCATGGCATGTCAGCATGGCGCATCTGCCTGCCGCAATCACGCCCGCTTCCCCCTCCCCATCCCCCCCAATCCCCCTTTCCCCCCACTAGCTCCCCCCGGGGTACTATTTCCGCCGTGGCTTTCTCAATGACACCTCGTCGTGGCACATCCACCTGCCCCCTGGCGGCAGGCGCACCACCCTGGCCTCCTGTGCGGACCCCACCTCACTTGCCCCCCCGCTTCCCCTTCACCCCCTTCCCCTTCCCCTCCCCGTTGCCCCCCATCCCTCCCCCCCAGCCCCCCCGGGTACTACTTCCGCCGTGGCTTCGGCAGTGGCCTGTCGTCGTGGCAGATACACCTGCCCCCCGGCGGCTGGTGCACCAGCCTCGCAGCCTGTGTCGGCCGCAGTGGCAAACTTCTGGGGTCTTCCAAGCCTGAAGCGCAGAAGCAGAGCCCATACAGCAATGTGAGTGAGCAAGAGTACAAAAAAGGGGTGACTTTTGAGTCGACTCAAATTTCACCTCTTCATGGCCTGAAGAGGCAAAGCCCATAAAAAAATGCGAATGAGCAAGCGTACAAAAAACACAGCAGTGGTTTTCTCCCTAAGTAACAACCCAGGCTATTTTAGTCGAAAATACGAGCAAGGAAAGCGGTCAAATCAAATCCACGGATGAAACCCTAATCCGGTTACTCACAAATGTTAATCACAAATGTTAACCATAAAGCAGACTCAGCAGATAACATTTCTCCCTGAGTGAAGTTCTTGAGAATTCTCAAAAGCAAACTCGGCAGAGAGCGCTTCTCCCTGGCATCATGTGCTTCCGGCATGGCAGAACGCTTCTTGTCAACACCCCCAGTCCTCTCCTCCCCTCGCTTTTCCCCCCTTCCTTTCAGGCAAGCAATGGCTACATGTACAGTGACGGGGGAGGGGGAGGGGGAGGGGGGGGGAGGTGGGGTTCGGGCACAGCAGGGTTGGGGTGACTTGATTGATCAGCAGGGTTGGGGTGACTTGATTGATCAGCAGGGTTGGGGTGAATTGATTGATCAGCAGGGTTGGGGTGAATTGATTGATCAGCAGGGTTGGGGTGAATTGATTGATCAGCAGGGTTGGGGTGAATTGATTGATCAGCAGGGTTGGGGTGAATTGATTGATCAGCAGGGTTGGGGTGAATTGATTGATCAGCAGGGTTGGGGTGAATTGATTGATCAGCAGGGTTGGGGTGAATTGATTGATCAGCAGGGTTGGGGTGAATTGATTGATCAGCAGGGTTGGGGTGAATTGATTGATCAGCAGGGTTGGGGTGAATTGATTGATCAGCAGGGTTGGGGTGAATTGATTGATCAGCAGGGTTGGGGTGAATTGATTGATCAGCAGGGTTGGGGTGAATTGATTGATCAGCAGGGTTGGGGTGAATTGATTGATCAGCAGGGTTGGGGTGAATTGATTGATCAGCAGGGTTGGGGTGAATTGATTGATCAGCAGGGTTGGGGTGAATTGATTGATCAGCAGGGTTGGGGTGAATTGATTGATCAGCAGGGTTGGGGTGAATTGATTGATCAGCAGGGTTGGGGTGAATTGATTGATCAGCAGGGTTGGGGTGAATTGATTGATCAGCAGGGTTGGGGTGAATTGATTGATCAGCAGGGTTGGGGTGAATTGATTGATCAGCAGGGTTGGGGTGAATTGATTGATCAGCAGGGTTGGGGTGCATTGATTGATCAGCAGGGTTGGGGTGAATTGATTGATCAGCAGGGTTGGGGAGACTTGATTGATCAGCAGGGTTGGGGCGATCAGCACATGCTCTTTCCCACCCCACCTTTCCTCCGCTTTCGAAGGTGATTTTTGAGTCGACTCAAAAATCTTTTGAGTCGACTCAAAAATCACCCACCTTTCCTCCGCTTTCTCCCAGGCAAGCAATGGCTACATGGGAAAACTGAGCACCGGCCCTTACACATCAACCGTGCCTTTTGCAACTGGAACCTCGTTATCCCCATGTACTGCGACCGGGGGGGGCTTCTGGGTACCACAAAGCACTTTTGTCAACACCCCTAGTCCTCCTCCCCCCCCTTCTGTCTCCCAGGCAAGCAATGGGTACATGGCCTTTACACCAACCGTGCCTTCCGAAACTGGAGCCTCGTTATCCCCATGTACTGCGACGGGGGAGGGCTTTTCCGGCACGGCAGGGTTGGGGTGACTTGATCAGCTCATAATCTCTCTCCCCCCCCCCCGTTTTCCCCCCGTTTCCCCCCCCGTTTCCCCCCGTTTCCCCCCCTTTCCCCCCGTTTCCCCCCCTTTCCCCCCCATTCCCCCCCTTTCCCCCCCTTACCCTCCAGGTAAGCAACGGGTACATGGGGATCTTGAGCACCGGCCCGTACATCAACCGCGGCTTCCGCAACTGGAACCTCGTCATCCCCATGTACTGCGACGGGGGGGGCTTTTCCGGCACGGCTGGCTGGACCAGAGTGAATGGGACCCACGGCATCTACCTGGATGGGTGGAACATTATTAATACCGTGCTGCAGCATGTGAAGAATGCGCGGGGACTGGCTTCTGCCACTCGGGTGCTGCTGTCAGGTACTGTTTAAGGCTTGGGGGCATGCTGATTCACCTGGACGTTGGTGTAACGTTGTTTATACTGTGCTGCAACATGTGACGAGCATGCGGGGGCTATAGTCTGCCACTCGGGTGCTGCTGTCAGGTGGGAGCCTTGCCTTGGGATTGCCGGCACAGCAGGATGCCTTGCCTTAAGGTTGATGATGAGAGGGCTGGCCTCTGCTGCTCGGGTGCTGCTGTCAGGTGGGAGCCTTGCCTTGGGATGCACGTGCCCACTCCCCCCGTCTGTTATTCTCAGGTGAATCAGCGTGCCCACCCCCCCTGTCTGTTGTTCTCAGGTGAATCGGCATGCGCACCCCCCCTGTCTGTTGTTCTCAGGTGAATCGGCATGCGCACCCCCGTCTGTTGTTCTCAGGTGAATCGGCATGCGCACCCCCCCTGCCTGTTGTTCTCAGGTGAATCGGCATGCCCACCCCCCCTGTCTGTTGTTCTCAGGTGAATCGGCAGGAGCGCAGGCAGTGGTGTCGCTGTGTGAGCGCATGAGGGGCTATGCGCCCAACGCCAAGACCATCAAATGCCTCATGGACGCCGGCTTCTTCATAGGTGGGGGAGGGGGGGGGGGGTGGGGGGGGGGAGGGATGGGGGGTTATGGGGGGTTATGGGGGGTTATGGGGGGTTATGGGGATGCAAAAATGTTGGCAGCGAGGGGTATGTCTGGCCCTATGCCTTATGCCCTATGCCTTATGCCCTATGCCTTATGCCCGCCACGCCAAGACCATCAAGTGCCTCATGGACGCGGGCTTCTTCATAGGTCACGAGGGGGGGGAGGGGGGGAGGGGAGGGGGGGTGTGGGAAGGATGGGCTGTTGGGGTAGTTGGGTTGGGGGGTGTATATATGCGCCCACTTCCTGCCTCCGAGCTGCCCCTCTGTCTATCCCTCTCTTCTCTCCCCTCTCCCCTCCCCCCCCCCCTCTCCCCTCACTCGTTTGCTCGGCATACTCAAACGATCGCTTTGGGACGCCTTACTTTCAGACAGTAGCCAATAACCTTGTGTCCCGGCACAAGTTCGCTCGCTGCCTCTCTTGCCCTTTCCGCCACGCTTCTCCCGGCGTCCTCCCCTCCTCCCCCTTCCTTTACATACTCAAACGAGGTGACTGTTGAGTCGACTCAAACGATGTGACTGTTGAGTCGACTCAAACGAGGTGACTGTTGAGTCGACTCTAAAGTCACCTCGTTGCAATGTCACACAACACCTTCCGGCACCCTTCTCTCGGCGTCCTCCCCTCACCCCCCGTCCCTCAACAGACTCCAACGATCGCTTTGGGACGCCTTACTTTCAGACAGTAGCCAATAGCATGGTCTCCCTGCACAAGTTTGTTGGCAACAGTAAATGCGCTCAAGGTAAGACATCTTGACCAAACAGTTGCTGGTCAAGCCATACGCTCATAGTGTCATCAGCCTATGAGTTTCATCAGCCTATGAGTTTCATCAGCCTATGAGTTTCATCAGCCTATGAGTTTCATCAGCCTATGAGTTTCATCAGCCTATGAGTTTCATCAGCCTATGAGTTTCATCAGCCTATGAGTTTCATCAGCCTATGAGTTTCATCAGCCTATGAGTTTCATCAGCCTATGAGTTTCATCAGCCTATGAGTTTCATCAGCCTATGAGTTTCATCAGCCTATGAGTTTCATCAGCCTATGAGTTTCATCAGCCTATGAGTTTCATCAGCCTATGAGTTTCATCAGCCTATGAGTTTCATCAGCCTATTGGCCATGCTGCTTGAGCTGGTCAGCAGCAACTCTCCATGCGCTCAGGGCAAGATGAAGTAGCAAAGTAAGTAGCTCCGAGTCACCTGGATGAAGTCTCTTCTCCATTCTTTCCTCCACCTCTTCCTCTCTTCACTCCTTCCTCCCTCAATCATCACCCTCCCCACTTCAGCCTACCCTCCCTCGCAGCAGTGTCTGATGGTTCCACTCATGTACACCCTGTCTTCCCCATAATCCATTCTGAGGTGACTTCCGAGACGACTCAAAAGCCGCACGCCCTTTGTTCCCATAACCCGGTCCACCTTCGGCTCCATCAATTCTCCCAAATCACCACCCACCTCCTTCCCCCCCCTTTCCCTTCCCTCCACCCCAGCCTACCCTCCCAAGGAGCAGTGGCGGTGCTTCTTCCCGCAATACGCCCTGCCCTTCGTCCCAAGCACCATCCCCTTCTTTATAATCAACTCCATTTTCGACTTCCGTGCTCTTATGCTCGGCAACCAACTATCCGTCGCCGACCAAACCTACGCCGTCCACTGCATTACTGAAATGCTCCAGCTGCTCCCGAGCCTCACGGTCCAATCGCTGATCGCCAGCTCCACAAGGCAATTGGTGATGTTCCTGGCAGGGCGGCGGCCGGGTAGGGAGTGTACAGCAACGGAGCAGTTAGCAGTGTTGCAGGCTGGTCAGAAGATAGCGACGTTTGTGCAGAGTGCGCAGAAGAGAGGGAGGAAAAGTGGGGCTTTCTTGGTGGTTGGTATGGCTCACTGCGTGGTGGGGAATCCTTATTGGAACCAGGTTAAAGCGAATAGGGTCACCTTGGCGGATGCGGTTAACAGGTGGTATTTTTTAAGTTAGATGACTGGGGCTGTAGGAATTACCATCTCATGCCTGCCTTGAATACTCATAGGTACATGTTTTACTGCCTTTTAAAGTTTGTAATACAAATATTATCAGGGGTGGTGTGGGAAGCATCCTATAGCATTTTGTATAAATGTGGAAGTGTTTTCTTCTTTATGTGTTGGAGACTGAATTCATTACTTTGTTTGAACGTGACCAGGCTCTACAGCTGAAGTAAATGTGGGGAGTCAATGTGCAATTACGATGGCATAAGGAAACATACATCAACATCCATGTATGCACCCAATTAGGCCACATTTCATTGACTAATTTTACTCCCATATTCAAGGTATACATTCTTGATACAAATCACAAGTCTGTAACGGACGCATAATCCCCACTGCCAGCAGTGAGATAAGCGTGCCTGAGCAGCGCATTCACCCTGCGCCTAAGCGATGCTTCGTCCTCTAGCAAGTCACCCACAACATGACGAAAAGCACCATCCACCGTATAAACCCGGTTCAAAACACCACTCTCATCCCCCCCCTGTTGCTCTGACTGCGCTTCATTATAACTGCCACTAGATAGTTGCATTGCTGCTGGTGAACCATTTAGTACATTGTCTCTATCATCTAATTGGCTTGTACTAGTATCGAATTCCCTGCTGTCGAGTGCAGCAGTCGAGCCCCCAGGCTTGAGCAGCCGAGCCTGGATGCCCGAAAAGAGAGAAGAGGGACACGGAGAGGATGCGGACGGTTAGGAGGAGGGAGGGAGAAAGCTGACCGGCAGAAAGACTTTTGAGCCGACTCAAAAAGAAAGGAGCTCCTGCTACTCCCTCTGGAAACAACATTGCACATCATTAGACATACCTCTGTGCAGAACGTAACGTACCTCTGCCGCCAGCAGCTCAAGGCGTCTGTCTGACGTCACTAGCAGCTCCATCTCCTCCTGCACTCCTGCTTCTGCCCCAGCTCCTGCTGCTGCTGGTCCCACTGCTGCTGCTGCTGATCCCACATTCTCTGCTGCTGCTGCTTGCTTCTGCAGCACGCCTGCATCGCAGTCACCTCCCCGCATGCGATGTTCGCCTCTGCTCTCGCCCCCACGTGTCCTTTCACTCCCAGCAAGCCTCTCCACCGCAGCGTCTTTCATTCTCTGCCTCAGCACCCGCACCTCGTGCAGGAAACGGTCAGCCTTGGCCTGCCATGCTGCCAGTGTGGCAGTACGGGCTTCCTTGTGGGCCTGGACAGAGGAAAAAGGGTGAGAGGATAGAAGGACAGCAGCGTCTTTCATTCTCTTCCACAGCACCCCGCACTTCGCGAAGGAAGCGATACGCCTTGGCCTGCCAGGATGCCACTGCAGCAATGTGTGTCTCTTGTGGGGCCTGGAGAGGGGACAGGGGTTGGGAGGAGACGGATAGACGTGAGGAGGCAACACAGCAGCAGCGTCTTTCATCCGCTGCCGCAACTCCCGCACCTCTTGAAGAAAACAGTCAGCTTTCGATTGCCATGCTGCCAGTGCGGCAGTACAGGCGTTTTGGTAGGCTGGAGAGGGGACAGGCGGCAACAAGGCTGTTTTCGAGGCGCCTCAAAAGGAGAGGGGACAGGGGGCACCTCATGGTGAGACTTCTGAGCCGACTGAACACCACTTGGGTGCCATGTGAACACCACTTGGGTGCCATGTGAACACCACTTGGGTGCCATGTGAACACCACTTGGGTGCCATGTGAACACCACTTGGGTGCCATGTGAACACCACTTGGGTGCCATGTGAACACCACTTGGGTGCCATGTGAACACCACTTGGGTGCCATGTGAACACCACTTGGGTGCCATGTGAACACCACTTGGGTGCCATGTGAACACCACTTGGGTGCCATGTGAACACCACTTGGGTGCCATGTGAACACCACTTGGGTGCCATGTGAACACCACTTGGGTGCCATGTGAACACCACTTGGGTGCCATGTGAACACCACTTGGGTGCCATGTGAACACCACTTGGGTGCCATGTGAACACCACTTGGGTGCCATGTGAACACCACTTGGGTGCCATGTGAACACCACTTGGGTGCCATGTGAACACCACTTGGGTGCCATGTGAACACCACTTGGGTGCCATGTGAACACCACTTGGGTGCCATGTGAACACCACTTGGGTGCCATGTGAACACCACTTGGGTGCCATGTGAACACCACTTGGGTGCCATGTGAACACCACTTGGGTGCCATGTGAACACCACTTGGGTGCCATAGGGGACAGGGGGCACCTCATGGTGAGACTTCTGAGCCGACTCAAAAGGAGACAACGAGGGCAAAGTTCTGCCATTCCTGTCCCAGCGTGCATACCTCATGAGACCTCCAGCTCCACCAAGACTTCAACACGTACCTCCAGCTCAGCGGTCCGCCCCTCTGCATCTCGTCTCTTCCTCTCAGCTTCGGCGACAGCGTGCCGCAGCGACTTCACCTCCCGGGCCAGCACCTTTGCCTCGGCCCGAGCCTGAGCCTCGGCAGCCCGCACCGCTGCCAGCTCAGCAGCCTTCTCTTGCTGCGCCTTCTGGTTCTTGTCTGTAGCTTGCTGTAGCTGCTGCTGTAGCTCCGATTTCTCAGCCTAAATGAAGGTGGATGGCAGATGCAAAGGGTGGAAGGGAGGAGGTTCAAAGGGACTCCAAACATCCGCCTGTCGATCCCGGTCTACAGCACACCCCATGCATACAGCCTCGCACCCCTTCCTGGTATGCTGTTGTCCCTCTCTATAGCTCCCAACCCAACCACCCTTGCACTCTTTCCCACCATACACTCCCGAACTACAAGCTTCTCTCACCTCTAGTCGTGCCAGAGCCTCCCTTGCTTCACCCAAGGCAGCCCGCTCCTCCGCCGCCTGCCACTGCGCTGCCCGCTACCAGTATTCCACCTTGCCCCTTGCCTTGCATTTCCACAAAACTACCCCCTTGCAGTCTCACCTCTAGTCGTGCCACAGCCTCCCTTGCTTCACCCAGGGCAGCCCGCTCCTCCTCCGCCTGCCACTGCGCTGCCAGCTGTCGCTCCCGCTCCTCCCGCACCTCCCTCGCCACCTCAGCTCGCAGCTTCCTCCTCTCTGCATCAAGCTCTGCCTCCAAGCCCCGCACCTGAGGCAAGCAGGAGTGGGGAAACAAGTAATTACTCGAGTAGCCATTTCTCCTGCACCTCTCGTGCCACCTCGCCTCGCGTCTTCCTGCGCTCCGCATCAAGCTCAGCTGTGCTAGACGTGTGCACAACAGCCCCCTCAACCCCTGTTCACCCTTTTCTCACCTTGCTGGCCAGAAACTCTTTCACTGCTGTCGCCACTCGCTCCATCGGCTCTCCCGTGTCCGTTTGGGCAGCTGGATATGTAATGTACCCTTCCCCCCCCCCACAACCCCTTTCCCCCCCCCCCCAACCCCTTCCCCACCCCCACAACCCCTTTCTCCCCCCCCCAACCCCTTCCCTACCCCCACAACCCCTTTCTCCCCCCTCCACCTGATCCTCACCGTGCTAGCCAAGAATCTTTAAAGTCGACTCAAAAGTCACCGTACTAGCCAAGAATTCCACCACTGCTGTCTTTTGAGGCGCCTCAAGAATTCAATCACTGCTGTCTCCTGCGCCACGCACTCCATCAGCTCTCCCATGTCCCACACCCAATTGTCTTAGATATGCACATACAAGCCAACTCAACCCCTGTTCACCTTCCTCTCACCTTACTAGCCAAGAATTCTTTCACTGCTGTCTCCTGTGCTACTCGCTCCATCAGCTCGCCCATGTCCGTTTGGGCGGCTGCCAGCCGCCGCCGAAGGCCAATCAGAATCCTTTTCACGGCTGCCCGTTTCTCCTCGGGCAGGCTGAGCGCGACCTGCCCAGAAACGCCTTGAACTATCTCCTCCATGAGCTCTGCATCCCCAGGATGTATGGTAGCATGCATGTTGGGATGAGGTGGTGGCACTCCTGCATGCATATTCACAGCATTATGTGTCTCTAAGCTAGTATGTGCTGGCAACCTTTCCTCCTTCTCCCCCATCTCCCTCTCTCCGCTTATGCGTTCCCTCACCACGTCACCTTCCCCACCCCCTCCGGTATCACGTCCCTCTCCCACCTCAACTCCTCCCAACACCTCTCCTTGCCCTACTCGTCTGTCCCGTCCCTCCCCTTGCTCCCCCGTACTTTGCAGTTCTCCTCGAGGCCCCTCAACTTCCATTTTCATTGCCGCTGCACTATCCACACTTGGAACAAGGCTGCCGGTCTCTACCTGATGCTGCTGGTCACTAGCCCCAGGGGCACTGTTCATAGCAGCACTGATCATGGCAACACTGTTCATAGCAGCACTGTTCACAGCAGCACTGTTCATAACAATACTGTTCACTGCTGCATTGTCAGGTGAAACACTGTTCATGCCCGACTGCCCGTAACTGATTCCCTCTGCTGCTCGGTGCTCTCTGATTGGCGGGGTCGCCTCGAACGAGGCAAGCGGGTGAGAGGAGGCGGGGTGAGGGGAGGCAAGGGGGTGGGAGGAGGCGGGATGAGGGGAAGGAGTGACAGCAGAGGACGCAACAGAAGAGGCGTCTGAGAAGTCCCGAGTGAAAGCCACCATGCGCGAACCATCGTGGTACTCCAGCCCGCTCCCAGACTCACTCCCTCCATAATCACCCCCCGCGTTATCACTTCCAGCTGCTGCCGCATTCTTTGGATTCACACCAGTCGCCAATCCACTGGCAAAGCCCCACAAGCTTAGGCCTCCCACCCCGGCCCTTCCTCCTCCGCCTCCCCCTACTCCTGATGCTGCGGTTGCAGGTTGTTCCCGGACCCCTCTTCCTCTTCCGCTCCCGCTTGCTGCCTCTCCCTCCCCTCCTTCTCCGGCTAATAAACCTCCTCCTCCTCCCACTCCTCCTCCAGCTCCTCCTCCTCCTGCTGTTGCTCCTCTGCCTGCTGTGCTCACACCAGATGCACCGGCTGCCCGTCTTCGACGGGCTGATGCTTCGAGAACGTTCTCCTCCTCCTGTTGCTCCCCTTTCCCCGGATCTCCATCCCCGTCTACCTCGTCCTCTGCCAAGGCCGCTGCAGGGGATGGGAGGAGGGAGAAAAGAAAAGGGGGGGGGTGGGGGGGGCTTTGAGTCGACTCTAGGACGTTCTCCTCTCCTCCTTCCACTGTGCTCTCCACTACCCTCTCTCCCCTCCTCGTCGTCTGCCTCGTCTTCTGCCAGCACAGCTGCAGGGGGATGGGAGGCGGGAGAAAAGAAAAGGGAGCGGGTGGAGGGTCGACTCTAGAACGTTCTTCTCCTCCCCAGTGCTCCCCCCTCCCCTCAGCCCCCCTCCTCGTCTGCCTCGTCCTCAGCCTGCAGCCACGTGAGAAAAAGGATCACTTTGAGACGTCTCGAAATAAGCCCTCGCCCCCCCTCCTCGTCTGCATCGTCCTCTGCCTGCAGCCTGCAGCCTGCAAGATGTCAGGGGGAGGGTGGGGGGCGGGGGGGGAACCGGGCAGGGGGGAAGAGGGGGGGGTGGGGGGCAGGAGAGGCGGGAAGGTTGACAGCACCGGTTGAAGCAATACAAGAGAGGGGGGCTGCGATCGGGAGACCTCCACATCCTCTAGCAGCTGCAGCTGCTTCACCCACACGGTCGTGGAGCCGCTGCTCTAGGTGGCGACTTCAGTCCAAGGCTGGTCCCAGCAGTGTTTCGAGACGACTCAAAAGCTACTCACCTGCACTGGCGACCCTTTCGAGCTCAAGAAAAGCAGCCATGGGCCGGGAGTGTGAGACCTCGACATCGTCTACTCACCTGCTCTGGGAACCCTCTCGAGCTCAAGGAAAGCGGCCATGGGGCGAGATTGGGCGACCTCGACATCGTCCAGCAGCTGTTGCTTCAGCCACACGGCCAAGGCTTGAGACATCTCAAAACCACCTCACCTTCTCTGGCGACTCGTTCGAGCTCAGTTGCTCGACACCATACAGCAGCTGCTGCAGCCATACGTCCAAGGCGAGTGAAACTATGGCGACTCTAGGAGCTGCATACAGCACGACTGCATCTCACCTGCTCTGGCAACCCTCTCGAGCTCTAGAAAAGCGGCCATGGGGCGAGAGCGGGAGACCTCCACATCCTCTAGCAGCTGCTTCAGCCACACGTCCAAGGCGTGGCGCCGCTGCTCCAGGCGGTGACTGTCGGTGGACACCCGTTGCAGCGGCAGCTTCGGCGGAGGGGGCGGCAAGCGACGGCGATCAAAGGAGCGAAGCAGCTGACGGGGAAAGGGGGAAAAAGAGGGGAGAGTCAGTGGAAGAGGGGGGAGGAGCGGCGGGGGGGGGGGGGGGAGGGGAGGGGGAGGGGGAGGGGAGGGGGAGGGGGAGGGGGAGGGGGAATGACGAAACAAGTTTGTCCATAAAACTGGAGGAATGAAGCAGAGTGCTGGGGAACATGCTGCGGTAAATAAGCTGTTCGATAATTCTGAAAAGTTTTGCCCGTGCAAAGTCTCAACTCGCGCCTGAAAAAAAATCCTCCATGTTAACTCATGTTTTATGAAACTCCCTATTGCAGGGAAGTGCCATTTAAATACAGCTACTACGATTAGTCATGCTGTATATAGTTACACACACATCTTACCATGCTGTAGAGATTAATAAAATCGGAGAATCTCCTGGGAACACGAGTGACTGAGGTAATGCCTCGGGGTGATCGCACTCCCACACACACGTGGAAGAACTGGAGAGAGGGAACGAAGATGAAGAGTTGGAGAGGGGAGGGGGCACAGGTAAAAAGCAGGCTCCCTCCATGAGCAGCGGAAGAGTGTGTGTCTGTCTAACCTGTCCCGGCGGCCTTCTCATTCCACTAACAACGGAGGTGCTTTTGAGTTGACTCAAAAGTCACCTCTGAAGAAAGGGAAAGAAGATGAAGAATTGCAGGGGGGAGGGGGGGGAGGGGATCCCTCCCTCCTTGCGCAGAGGAGGAGGAGTTTCTGCCTAACCTGTCCCGGCGGCCTTCGCATTCCACTAAGAATGGTGGCGCTTTTGAGAGAGTGCTATTTCTTCAGCCTCTCACACTCACCACAACACAGCAGGAGCCGGATCGGACGCCTAGGGGAAGAACGCAAACTCCAGCGACACGCCCAGATCACCGCTCTGGCCACTGCTGGCCGCTCTGCTGCTCCCTGCCCCTCCTGACGACCCTCCTGCTGAACTCCTAATCCTACCCCCCCTCCCCTCCCTCACACTCACCACAACAGGAGCCGGATCAGACGCCTTGGGAAAGAACGCAGAGACCAGAGACGCGCCCAGATCACCACTCTGGCCACTGCTGGGCCCACCGCTCCCCCCTGCTCCCCCTCCTGGGCTCCTCAGCCTGGCTCCGGCTGCTATTGTCGCAGCAGCAGCGGAAGTGGCGCCAGTGGAGCCAGGAGGGTAAGCAGGCGTCCAGGTGGGGATGAGGGTGCAGAAAGCCCAGCAGCCGTCAGGCACGTGCGGCCACACCGTGGTGCGACGACCAGCCTGATGAGGGGTGAGAAAGGGAAATACGAGGACGGGCGAGGAGTGGACAAGAATGTTGAGTTGTCTCAGCAGCTGTCAAGCATACGGCCCTACCGCTGTGTGACGACGACCAGCCTGATAATAAGTGAGGAAGCATGGAAACGGAGAGGAGGAGAAGGGGAGAGACAAGGAAAGACGGGAAGGCATCCAGGTGGGAATGAAGGTGCAAAAGGCCCAGCAGCCATCAGGCACGTGCGGCCATACCACGTTCGGCGCACTGAGTCGACGAGGGGAAAGGAAGGGAGACAGGGAGAAGAGGAGAAACGAGCAAGGACGAGAGTAAGCATGCGTCCAGCCTGATAAGAGAGGAGAAAGGGAAACGGAGAGGAAGAGAAGGGGAGAGACAAGGAAAGACGAGCAGGCGACCAGGTGGGAATGAGCGCGCAAAAGGCCCAGCAGCCATCAGGCACGTGTGGCCATACCGTGGTACGACGACCAGCCTGGTGAGGGGGAAGGAGGGAAACGGAAGAAAGAGGAGATGCGAGCGCGACCTGAATCACGCGGGACGATTTCATGCATGTGCCCCCTGGTTGCGCTAACGAGATCATGAGAACTAACAAGGGAGGTGGCTGAGGGAGAATTGAAGGGACTGACCTTGTGTGCAAGCGTTGGGGAGGGTTCGATTACATGCCTAGCGATAAGAGCGATGAGCTGTCGTGGCGAAATTCACGTGCAAATTGTTGGCTCGGCCCGCTACCGACTGCGTTACAATAGAGCTGTCATTGTCTAGGGGAATGATAAGCGGATACGGACCCAATGTGCAGGCGGCGGGGAGGAGTCCATGCCTAGCGGTAACGGCGACGTGCCATCGTGGCGAAACACACGTGGATCCGAAATCCAAACTTCTCCACGCTGCTGCTGCTGCTGCTGATGATGCTGACGTGGATCTCGCTGCTCTCTCCATCCTATGCCTTCTTGGCCTGAATTCCTTCCTAACATGGTTTCAAATTAATGTAGTGGACACGGAAATTTACCCAACTCTGGAAAAGTCGTCCGGACTGAAAGAGTTCACGCGGTGCTACCTCGCGACGCGTTAGCTGATTCGGCGGAAATATGTGTTCAGCAGTTCCCGCCAAACGAGGTTAGACTGTCCCTACGACTGGTAAACTCTCTACGCATAACCCAGAGAGCACCAGCCCGTACTGACGTGTGCTAACGTGCCAAGTATCAGAGACGGGAATGCTGGTGGTAAGTGCCTTGGGATTCCCAGGCTGGGGAGGTGGCATGTGTGGGGCTTTCTGCCTGCTAACATAATTTTGTTGGGATGTTGTCCATTATGCATCTGTATTAGTGAACGGATAGTGGACTGCACTGTACATCTGATTGCAAAACTGGTCATCCCTTTACCGAGTTGCTGGTGTTGAGTAAATAGGTTACAGTACCAACCAGCACCGAGGCAATCTCCAAGGCAACACTGTTACGTCACCGAACCTACCAGCTCGCCCCCAGCTTCGTTTTTCCACAGCATTTACCATTTCATTCAGCAGCATTGAATCCGCCGCTCGCATTCCCCGTTGAATTGCTCCGTTGCTCCGGAACTTTATCTTCGGATTCTCGCCAGATCCCGACACACTACGATTTGTTTTACTGTCTAGCAATGGCTGACAGGCTTCCCGGAGTGATCGCTCTGTTTGATGTGGATGGCACCCTCACGCCGCCTCGGAAGGTGCATCGTTTGGTTGATTTGGATGTCTGATCAGGCTTGGCGTTTCTGATACCAAATTCTAAGATTCGGAGTTGTGACATCTCTCTGTGGTGCTGCAGCTAGTGGAGCCAGAGATGGTCGAGTTTATGCAGAGGCTCCGCAAGGTAACACCCTCGTGTTCCTTCCACGCTGCCTTTCCCCTCGGACATGAGAAGTTTCCACCTGAGTACGAAAACTGACGAGGTTTCTTGGCTATACCAGACAGTGACCGTTGGAATCGTTGGAGGATCGGACCTGTCAAAGATTACCGAGCAACTGGGGCCTGACAGTGAGTTGATGCAACGTTGGACTTACCTTCCAAATCACCAGTCGAATTCGTCACGTCTTGTGGGGGATCTGTACGGAAGAATCTCTCCTTACGTAGCTACGCTTTCCTGCAGCTCTGACGGCATACGATTATGTATTTTCCGAGAATGGCCTTGTGGCACACAAAGGCGGAGAGCAGATCGGCAATCAGGTAGGCTTTCCTGAATCACCAAAGTCAGTTGTCGCACAAACCGTTGCACAAGCCAGCGACGCTCTTTTGCGTTTCGCTTCCTAATCCCGTCCATCTGTATGATTTGCAGAGCCTGAAAACATATTTGGGCGATGATAAGCTCAAGGTAATGGGGGCCTCTGTTTGATCAGGACGGTTTCAGGCCCAAACTGGCAATGTCTGAGTGAGGCGAGTGGTTGTTTTGCAGGGATTTATCAACTTCACACTCCATTACATCGCCGACCTTGACATTCCCATCAAGAGGTGAGGACAAGCTACTTCGTTGCTCCCACCGCATGTGATAATTGTTAACAGATAATGGCGTTAAAGCATCTTTGGAGGCTCCTGTTCTGCACTTAATCGTTCTACTCTTTCCCTGTTACAGAGGAACATTCATTGAGTTTAGGATGGGCATGCTCAACGTGTCTCCCATCGGACGTAACTGTAGCCAAGAAGAGAGGGACGAGTTTGAACGATACGACAAGGTACGGTTCAGCTGGTTGAATCCATCCAATGTCACTAATTATACTCTTCATGGTATACCTTCCCCAAAGCAGCCTGTCTTCCTGGCTCCAACTTTAACTCAAGCACTCCGTCCCTCTACCCCGCCTCATAATTTCCTCACCAGGTTCATAAGATTCGTGAAACTATGGTTGGAGTGCTGAGGGAAAAGTTTGCAGACTTGAACTTAACATTCTCCATTGGTGGCCAGATCAGCTTTGATGTGAGTTTCTGTTTCGCGTCCACTTAATTCGTCCTGTATCTCTAAGAATATCACGCCAAAGAGAGTATCACACTGACGCCGCATTTTTTCCAACCAGGTCTTCCCTGTCGGCTGGGACAAAACGTACTGCCTCCAGTTCGTTGACAAGGACTTTCCAACCATCCACTTTTTTGGAGACAAGACGTACAAGGTATGTATACGGTTCATCCATACAGATACAGCATGAGCAAATCAGAATGTTTTTTGCTAAACTGGTTGACACTTCCTGATGCAGGGGGGCAATGACCACGAGATATTTTCATCAGAGAGGACCATCGGCCACACAGGTAAGCTTAGTCCGTTTGTCTGTGGCTCCTCATTGTCTGAGAGTCAACTCATTTTTTTTTTGTTTCACTTGCAGTGACTAGCCCTGCTGACACTCGAGCCCAATGCACCGAGTTGTTCCTCTAATCGGCTTGAAGGTTGTGTGAAGGTCTTGTGAAGCGTTATGCTATGGATGTAAACCCGAGGAATCTTGGCTTGGATGCCCCTTTTGAGTCCAGCTCATCTATTGAAATAAATGAGGCTTGATGTTCTGCTTGGCATGGCATGGCACTACAAGGCCTGTACAACACTGGTAGATTTAATATAGATGACCTTATTTGTGGCAAGCAGGAGTGGACAAATGATACAAGTCAACACAGAACTAAACCCAGACAGATTTCTGGGTTCACGGACAGTCATGACCCGCCCCCATATCATCGCCTTCGAGTGGCTCACTTGGCGGGTCATCGTCATCGTGCCTCCAAAACCTGTTCAGGGGAGGCACTCAGATAAGATCAAGTGAGATGACTCTGAAATTAGAGCAGTATTTATACGCCGAGGCTGATGGAATTGGAATGGGTTCGGTGAAAGGAAGAGCAAGCCCCAAGAAGGTGGGGTATCGTACTCTGAATACACCGTAAAACTCGGGACCTTTCAGGGTGTTTGAGGGGCCTTGGAACATCTGAATGCGATGCACTCGTGATATCTGAATATGTCTTGTTTATTCCCGACATAGCACTGTTTCCTTTCACAACCCAGCATGAATTGATTGTCACCACATTGCAAAGCCGCTAACAGAACCTTGTCGAAAGTCAAAGTTTCCAGGGTGACTAGAAATGACTTGAAGAACCTCTTCCCTCCTGTCCGAGAGTGGGAAAGCTCCAGTCCGCATGTTGACCGCAATCAGCTCCAACTTTTCCGGCTAGGTGCTGAGCCGAGCACTTTCCGTGCTGACAGGGCTCGCCGTCAGCCACTGAGCGCACACCACTGCAGCCTTGGACGCTTCGCTGGAGGGTCTCTTTCGGCCGACTGTCACACCAGCTGTCCGTCATCCAATCCACAAACACTGGTTTCCCACGTCAATCGGCTGTTTGCTAGCACCTTCTTTCCACGTTGGATGAAAGCCCACGAACCCATCCAAGCTGGAAGCCTTGTTTTGCGCATTCTGCAGCTCTCTCCACCATTTTTCCCGCCTTTTTTGCCCTGTACTCTTCTAGAGGTCTCCTACTCAGCTTCTGCTTTGACTGTGGCTGTGATCAGCAGCCCCCAAAACTCAGTGGTTTCCAGATTCAGCCAGTTTAGGCTTGACTTGAGTCCTCGTGCTGCAATTCCTCCCGTCTTTTGCCGCTATCTCAGGCACCGTGCCTCGACCTGCGCCTAATTATTTGTGACCTGTATCGACCACCCCTCGGCAACATGACGACAGCCACTGCTCGGCTCTGTCTTGCTCCAGTGCATCTGGAGGCTTCTGCGAAAGAGCATTCTGCCCCACGCTTTCAGATAATTTCAAGCATTGGCTCGTTGAAGCGCTTTGAAGGCCTGCGATGCCACGGCGCGACCGCTAGGGCCCAGCCTGCACGGGTCACGGTAGTGCAGAGGCGGCTAAAAGGGACGGTCTCGGCCACTGCCACGTCAGCAGATGCGCCTGCAGCGGTGTCGTCTTCATTTATTGGAGTTAAGACCGAAGAAGGTGAGCGTGAGATAGCTTGTTTGCATCTGCATCTGCATTTGCGTTTACAATTGCATTCGCCAGGTTTCGTGAAGCGCGAAAATGCCGCTTGATTTAACGGTGTTCTGCAAGGTCATGCGTCGAAAGACGCGGGTAACGTGGAAATGCCTCGGGTTGAGAACTTGCGAACGAGTTATCGTGGAACATGTGCTATTCCTTGTTGCTTTGAATGGATCACAAGGAATAGTGGACTTCCGGTAAGATTGCACGGAGATTCAGACCCTTGCAATTCTGTATCCAACCCATCATCACCGCGCTCTTCTCATGGCATATGACCCCATCGTCCACTCCGGATCGCTGACGTCAACTGATCGCATCACCCCCCCGTCGTGACGTGTGCAGAGATGATGGACGCCATCACGAAGGAGGCCGCCAGATTCCGACTGCCTGAGCGTGTTGTGCTGGGCATGCGCGACTTTTATCACTCCTACGCCAACGCGGTAAGCAGTATTATGGGACCCTGTCTTATCAGCATCGCTGTGCTGGGCATGCGCGACTTTTATCACTCGTATGCCAATGCGGTAAGCTGGTCAAAGTTCCCACTCGACTGGTCAATGCTGGTTCTGGTCAATGTTGGTTCTGTGTCGGGCATCTCTCATATGTTTCGTCTGCCTGAGCGCGTGGTGCTCGGGATGCCGGACTTCTACCACTCGTACGCGAGTGCGGTAAGCTGGTCAATGCGAATATCGCTCCATTCTGAGAGATCTCATGCGTTCCGCGTCGTGAAACGAGTATTTTCGGGCTACGCGTCCTTTGCGTGGGGGTTCGGCGCGTGTGACATGTGTGTTTTATTTGCGCGCTTAACATCGCGACTTTTACCACTCCGTGTGATAATAGTCGAGTTTTGAGATGTCGTAAAGCTTAACGTCGCGACATTTACCACTCCTATACCAGCGTAAAGTTTTTCGGGTTTTGCTTGCTCTGCGTAATGCGTGCTGGCATGCGTTTGAATGAGCGACAAACCCTCACACGCCCATCGCATCCTCCCTCCCACCCCCAGTCACCCGTGCTCCCCTGTCTCGCCACGACCCCCTCTTGCTTCCCTCCCTGCAGGTTGCTTCGAGCGGAATCGAGAATGCGGAGCAGCTGTCTCTGCAGATCATGTCGACCGTCTTTGACGTCATCATGGGCCAGATAATGGTGAGTAAGGGGGGAGGGGGAGGAGGGGGAAGGGAGGGGGAGGGGGGGGACTTGCAAGCAACAAAGGATGGTTATTGAAGTCACCCGAACGGAGGTTAGGCTGCAGAGTAGACCATGCAGGGTATGTTCGAGAATTCTAAAAAATACAGAGCAGACCATGTGAACCGATGTCTATGTGATCATGCGCCAGATGAAGGTGAGGTGAGTGCGGGGAATGTGTGATGCGTGGAGCCCTGTGACAGCTCCACCTTCCCTTTGTCCTTCCCCTTCCCCCTCCGTGTCTTCTCCGCCGCGCTCCACGCATTCTTGTCCCCTTTGTTTTCCTGATCTATTTTGCAGAAACCCCACGCCTTTGAGTCACACCATCTTGCGGTCAGGGAGCCCTTCGACTACTACGCCTTTGGCCAGAACTACGTGCGACCGCTCATCAACTACTCGTGAGCAACCACTTATACTAGTGAGCAACCCCTTATCAACTACCCTAGGGCTTTCATCGGCAATGTGAAGATCTTTGCCGAGATTCAAGCCAACCTTGTCGTCTTCTGAGCTGAGTTGAATCAAGAAACCACCTCCCCCTCCCCTTCTGTTTCCATCACGACGCTCACGCCCGCCCACTCTCCCCCCCTTCTTGCAGGTAGACGTTCATCGGCAATGTGAAGATCTTTGACGAGATTCACGCCAACCTCCACGCTTTCTAAGTTGACTCAAGGTTCTTTCCCCCGCCCTCCTCCTACTCTCAACCCCCCACTCTCCCCCCCTGCAGGAAGTCTTTCATTGGCAATGTGAAGATCTTTGACGAGATTCAAGCCAACCTCGATGCTGTGAGTCCCCCATTCCCTGTGGTGCAGTCGAGAGAAAGAAGCGTTTCAAAACATCTCCTGTCTTCCAGTTGCGGGAAAAGTGCCGGCACCTTGACATAGGTTGGTCGAGGGAAGAGGCTCAGCGCAGTGATTTTCTTAGTATAGGCTGTCGGGTTGCAGTCGAGAAAAAAGAAACGTTTCTTGACAAGGGTTGAGGGTAGAGGCGCGGTGCAGTGGTTTCTTAGAATAGGCTGTCGCTTGAAGGGCAACAAGATCCGATGTTGAGTCCATTTTATATACCAATCTTCAAGGGCCGTACAAACCCTGGGTTCACGGCTTCAGTTATGAAAGCTTACAACGAGGGCTTAGTAAAAGCGCAACCGTTTCTCATTGGAGGGGGTTCTGGTGAAGGTGACGACTGAATCAGGTAGTGCTGAGGCCGCCAGAGCAACCAATAGACACATGCTTCATCTCGGGGGGTCTGTAATATGTTAGCTTCCAAGGGTCCATATGGCACCTGCCTGTCTCTCATGGGGGTCTGGTGACGACTAAGGCAGGTGCTGCTGAGTCCCCCAGGGCAGCACAGAAAGCGCCTGCTTTCGTAGGGGGAATCTCTACAAAGATCCATGTAGGCTGCATGGGGGTCTGGTGAAGGTGACGACTGATGCAGGTACTGCTGAGTCCGCCAGAGCGAAAGGGAAGGACGAGGAAGAGAGGGTGAGGGAAGGCAGGGAGAGAGGGTAACAGGGAGTGGCAAAGCGGATGCGCCCAGGAGGGCAGGAAGCAGCCGGTTACCCTGTAACTCCAGGCTGCTCCTGTTTACTGCTGTTGGTGTGCTACCCCGCCCTGTTGTGCCCCTTCCTCGTCGCTCCCTCCTTCCTCCACCGCTCTTGTTCTCCCCCTCCCACTGCTTCTGGCTGCGTGGCGAAACTGAGAAGAAATCCTCTGATTCGCAGACCCCCATTCCAGTGCAGTTGGCTTGGGCCCGAGGCCGGATCATCACCCTTTCGGCAGCCACAAAGCACGAGGAGTCTTTTTTTTAGGCGTCTAGAAATGTACTTTCCAGTGCGGTTGGGCCAGAGGCCGGAGCATCACCATAACGGCAGCTGCAAAGTACCTGTTTGGATCATCTTTCTGCATTTGAGCCGACTTTCCAGGCGCCGTTAAAACACAGTCACAAAGCACGTGCCCCGGATCATCACCCTAGGTGATTCTTAAGTCGAATGCCTCAAAAATCAGCAGAGGCCATAGGACAAAGCAGCCTCTATCTCACTCCCCTCCCTCTCTGCTTCCTTCTCTCTCGCTCTCCCCTCCTCCACCCCTTCTCTCCCCCCCCCACCCCCCTCCGTTCCTCCCGAACAGGGTCACAACGTCATTCTGAAGACCAACCACCAGACAGAGGCCGACCCTGATGCTGTGATCGCTCCTATATCTCACTCCCCTCAATCCCTTCCCCCCTACACCCTCCCCCCACCCCCCCTTCCCCCTCTCCCCCCACCCCCCCCAGGGCCACAACGTCATTCTGATGACCAACCACCAGACAGAGGCGGACCCTGGTGTCATCGCGCTCATGCTGGAAAGCAGCCACCCGCGCCTGGCCACCAGCATTGTGCGTTGACCCATAAGCTACGTTGTTCCGTGTGGCATGTCCATGCATGCACCATGTGCTGGCCGCTATGCTCTATGTGTCATCGCGCTCATTCTAAAAAACAGCCACCCGCGCCTGGCCACCAGCATTGTGCGTTGACCCATCGAGCTACGTTGTTCCGTGTGGCATGTCCATGCATGCACCATGTGCTGGCCGCTATGCTCTATGTGTCATCGCGCTCATGCTAAAAAACAGCCACCCCGCCTGGCCACTGACATTGTCGGCCATCTCTTTATTCCCTATACCCCGTGTGACATGTGCTGTATGCCCATCTGCTGTATGCCCATGTGCTGTATGCCCTGTACCATGCCCATGTGCCATATGCCCATGTGCCGTATGCCCTGTACCATGCCCATCCGCTGTATGCCTTGTACAATGGTCCCAAGCGTCATGCCCCCAAGCGCCATGTCCCACGTCCTCTTGACATGCTTTGCATTGTCCTTCCTTTCTCTTTCTTGTGCCTCTCCTACTGCACTCCCATCACCCCTACTGCTCTCTCATCACCCCTACTGCTCTCTCATCACCCCTACTGCTCTCTCATCACCCCTACTGCTCTCTCATCACCCCTACTGCTCTCTCATCACCCCTACTGCTCTCTCATCACCCCTACTGCTCTCTCAGCATCCCCTCGAGTGTTTCACCTTTATTCATCCTTCCCCCTTCTGCCTTTTTCCATCTTCCTGTTCTGCTTCTCTCTGGCTCTGAATCCCTCTGACCCCTTCCGAACCCCTCTGAACCCCTCTGACTGCCTGAGAACAGACCTACGTGGCTGGCGATCGTGTGGTGTTTGATCCGTTCTGCATGCCATTCAGCCTCGGCAGGTGAGGGCATGCCATTCAGCCTCGGCAGGTGAGGGCATGCCATTCAGCCTTCACCAAGACAAGCCCCTCCCTTCGGGGTCAGTCACCAAGACAAGCCCCTCTATTCAGGGGTCAGTCACCAAGACAAGCCCCTCTATTCAGGGGTCAGTCACCAAGACAAGCCCCTCTATTCAGGGGTCAGTCACCAAGACAAGCCCCTCTATTCAGGGGTCAGTCACCAAGACAAGCCCCTCTATTCAGGGGTCAGTCACCAAGACAAGCCCCTCTATTCAGGGGTCAGTCACCAAGACAAGCCCCTCTATTCAGGGGTCAGTCACCAAGACAAGCCCCTCTATTCAGGGGTCAGTCACCAAGACAAGCCCCTCTATTCAGGGGTCAGTCACCAAGACAAGCCCCTCTATTCAGGGGTCAGTCACCAAGACAAGCCCCTCTATTCAGGGGTCAGTCACCAAGACAAGCCCCTCTATTCAGGGGTCAGTCACCAAGACAAGCCCCTCTATTCAGGGGTCAGTCACCAAGACAAGCCCCTCTATTCAGGGGTCAGTCACCAAGACAAGCCCCTCTATTCAGGGGTCAGTCACCAAGACAAGCCCCTCTATTCAGGGGTCAGTCACCAAGACAAGCCCCTCTATTCAGGGGTCAGTCACCAAGACAAGCCCCTCTATTCAGGGGTCAGTCACCAAGACAAGCCCCTCTATTCAGGGGTCAGTCACCAAGACAAGCCCCTCTATTCAGGGGTCAGTCACCAAGACAAGCCCCTCTATTCAGGGGTCAGTCACCAAGACAAGCCCCTCTATTCAGGGGTCAGTCACCAAGACAAGCCCCTCTATTCAGGGGTCAGTCACCAAGACAAGCCCCTCTATTCAGGGGTCAGTCACCAAGACAAGCCCCTCTATTCAGGGGTCAGTCACCAAGACAAGCCCCTCTATTCAGGGGTCAGTCACCAAGACAAGCCCCTCTATTCAGGGGTCAGTCACCAAGACAAGCCCCTCTATTCAGGGGTCAGTCACCAAGACAAGCCCCTCTATTCAGGGGTCAGTCACCAAGACAAGCCCCTCTATTCAGGGGTCAGTCACCAAGACAAGCCCCTCTATTCAGGGGTCAGTCACCAAGACAAGCCCCTCTATTCAGGGGTCAGTCACCAAGACAAGCCCCTCTATTCAGGGGTCAGTCACCAAGACAAGCCCCTCTATTCAGGGGTCAGTCACCAAGACAAGCCCCTCTATTCAGGGGTCAGTCACCAAGACAAGCCCCTCTATTCAGGGGTCAGTCACCAAGACAAGCCCCTCTATTCAGGGGTCAGTCACCAAGACAAGCCCCTCTATTCAGGGGTCAGTCACCAAGACAAGCCCCTCTATTCAGGGGTCAGTCACCAAGACAAGCCCCTCTATTCAGGGGTCAGTCACCAAGACAAGCCCCTCTATTCAGGGGTCAGTCACCAAGACAAGCCCCTCTATTCAGGGGTCAGTCACCAAGACAAGCCCCTCTATTCAGGGGTCAGTCACCAAGACAAGCCCCTCTATTCAGGGGTCAGTCACCAAGACAAGCCCCTCTATTCAGGGGTCAGTCACCAAGACAAGCCCCTCTATTCAGGGGTCAGTCACCAAAAAAAAAACCAAGACAAGCCCCTCTATTCAGGGGTCAGTCACCAAGACAAGCCCCTCTATTCAGGGGTCAGTCACCAAGACAAGCCCCTCTATTCAGGGGTCAGTCACCAAGACAAGCCCCTCTATTCAGGGGTCAGTCACCAAGACAAGCCCCTCTATTCAGGGGTCAGTCACCAAGACAAGCCCCTCTATTCAGGGGTCAGTCACCAAGACAAGCCCCTCTATTCAGGGGTCAGTCACCAAGACAAGCCCCTCTATTCAGGGGTCAGTCACCAAGACAAGCCCCTCTATTCAGGGGTCAGTCACCAAGACAAGCCCCTCTATTCAGGGGTCAGTCACCAAGACAAGCCCCTCTATTCAGGGGTCAGTCACCAAGACAAGCCCCTCTATTCAGGGGTCAGTCACCAAGACAAGCCCCTCTATTCAGGGGTCAGTCACCAAGACAAGCCCCTCTATTCAGGGGTCAGTCACCAAGACAAGCCCCTCTATTCAGGGGTCAGTCACCAAGACAAGCCCCTCTATTCAGGGGTCAGTCACCAAGACAAGCCCCTCTATTCAGGGGTCAGTCACCAAGACAAGCCCCTCTATTCAGGGGTCAGTCACCAAGACAAGCCCCTCTATTCAGGGGTCAGTCACCAAGACAAGCCCCTCTATTCAGGGGTCAGTCACCAAGACAAGCCCCTCTATTCAGGGGTCAGTCACCAAGACAAGCCCCTCTATTCAGGGGTCAGTCACCAAGACAAGCCCCTCTATTCAGGGGTCAGTCACCAAGACAAGCCCCTCTATTCAGGGGTCAGTCACCAAGACAAGCCCCTCTATTCAGGGGTCAGTCACCAAGACAAGCCCCTCTATTCAGGGGTCAGTCACCAAGACAAGCCCCTCTATTCAGGGGTCAGTCACCAAGACAAGCCCCTCTATTCAGGGGTCAGTCACCAAGACAAGCCCCTCTATTCAGGGGTCAGTCACCAAGACAAGCCCCTATTCATCATCACCAGACAAGCCCCTCTATTCAGGGGTCAGTCACCAAGACAAGCCCCTCTATTCAGGGGTCAGTCACCAAGACAAGCCCCTCTATTCAGGGGTCAGTCACCAAGACAAGCCCCTCTATTCAGGGGTCAGTCACCAAGACAAGCCCCTCTATTCAGGGGTCAGTCACCAAGACAAGCCCCTCTATTCAGGGGTCAGTCACCAAGACAAGCCCCTCTATTCAGGGGTCAGTCACCAAGACAAGCCCCTCTATTCAGGGGTCAGTCACCAAGACAAGCCCTCTATTCAGGGGTCAGTCACCAAGACAAGCCCCTCTATTCAGGGGTCAGTCACCAAGACAAGCCCCTCTATTCAGGGGTCAGTCACCAAGACAAGCCCCTCTATTCAGGGGTCAGTCACCAAGACAAGCCCCTCTATTCAGGGGTCAGTCACCAAGACAAGCCCCTCTATTCAGGGGTCAGTCACCAAGACAAGCCCCTCTATTCAGGGGTCAGTCACCAAGACAAGCCCCTCTATTCAGGGGTCAGTCACCAAGACAAGCCCCTCTATTCAGGGGTCAGTCACCAAGACAAGCCCCTCTATTCAGGGGTCAGTCACCAAGACAAGCCCCTCTATTCAGGGGTCAGTCACCAAGACAAGCCCCTCTATTCAGGGGTCAGTCACCAAGACAAGCCCCTCTATTCAGGGGTCAGTCACCAAGACAAGCCCCTCTATTCAGGGGTCAGTCACCAAGACAAGCCCCTCTATTCAGGGGTCAGTCACCAAGACAAGCCCCTCTATTCAGGGGTCAGTCACCAAGACAAGCCCCTCTATTCAGGGGTCAGTCACCAAGACAAGCCCCTCTATTCAGGGGTCAGTCACCAAGACAAGCCCCTCTATTCAGGGGTCAGTCACCAAGACAAGCCCCTCTATTCAGGGGTCAGTCACCAAGACAAGCCCCTCTATTCAGGGGTCAGTCACCAAGACAAGCCCCTCTATTCAGGGGTCAGTCACCAAGACAAGCCCCTCTATTCAGGGGTCAGTCACCAAGACAAGCCCCTCTATTCAGGGGTCAGTCACCAAGACAAGCCCCTCTATTCAGGGGTCAGTCACCAAGACAAGCCCCTCTATTCAGGGGTCAGTCACCAAGACAAGCCCCTCTATTCAGGGGTCAGTCACCAAGACAAGCCCCTCTATTCAGGGGTCAGTCACCAAGACAAGCCCCTCTATTCAGGGGTCAGTCACCAAGACAAGCCCCTCTATTCAGGGGTCAGTCACCAAGACAAGCCCCTCTATTCAGGGGTCAGTCACCAAGACAAGCCCCTCTATTCAGGGGTCAGTCACCAAGACAAGCCCCTCTATTCAGGGTCAGTCACCAAGACAAGACAAGCCCCTCTATTCAGGGGTCAGTCACCAAGACAAGCCCCTCTATTCAGGGGTCAGTCACCAAGACAAGCCCCTCTATTCAGGGGTCAGTCACCAAGACAAGCCCCTCTATTCAGGGGTCAGTCACCAAGACAAGCCCCTCTATTCAGGGGTCAGTCACCAAGACAAGCCCCTCTATTCAGGGGTCAGTCACCAAGACAAGCCCCTCTATTCAGGGGTCAGTCACCAAGACAAGCCCCTCTATTCAGGGGTCAGTCACCAAGACAAGCCCCTCTATTCAGGGGTCAGTCACCAAGACAAGCCCCTCTATTCAGGGGTCAGTCACCAAGACAAGCCCCTCTATTCAGGGGTCAGTCACCAAGACAAGCCCCTCTATTCAGGGGTCAGTCACCAAGACAAGCCCCTCTATTCAGGGGTCAGTCACCAAGACAAGCCCCTCTATTCAGGGGTCAGTCACCAAGACAAGCCCCTCTATTCAGGGGTCAGTCACCAAGACAAGCCCCTCTATTCAGGGGTCAGTCACCAAGACAAGCCCCTCTATTCAGGGGTCAGTCACCAAGACAAGCCCCTCTATTCAGGGGTCAGTCACCAAGACAAGCCCCTCTATTCAGGGGTCAGTCACCAAGACAAGCCCCTCTATTCAGGGGTCAGTCACCAAGACAAGCCCCTCTATTCAGGGGTCAGTCACCAAGACAAGCCCCTCTATTCAGGGGTCAGTCACCAAGACAAGCCCCTCTATTCAGGGGTCAGTCACCAAGACAAGCCCCTCTATTCAGGGGTCAGTCACCAAGACAAGCCCCTCTATTCAGGGGTCAGTCACCAAGACAAGCCCCTCTATTCAGGGGTCAGTCACCAAGACAAGCCCCTCTATTCAGGGGTCAGTCACCAAGACAAGCCCCTCTATTCAGGGGTCAGTCACCAAGACAAGCCCCTCTATTCAGGGGTCAGTCACCAAGACAAGCCCCTCTATTCAGGGGTCAGTCACCAAGACAAGCCCCTCTATTCAGGGGTCAGTCACCAAGACAAGCCCCTCTATTCAGGGGTCAGTCACCAAGACAAGCCCCTCTATTCAGGGGTCAGTCACCAAGACAAGCCCCTCTATTCAGGGGTCAGTCACCAAGACAAGCCCCTCTATTCAGGGGTCAGTCACCAAGACAAGCCCCTCTATTCAGGGGTCAGTCACCAAGACAAGCCCCTCTATTCAGGGGTCAGTCACCAAGACAAGCCCCTCTATTCAGGGGTCAGTCACCAAGACAAGCCCCTCTATTCAGGGGTCAGTCACCAAGACAAGCCCCTCTATTCAGGGGTCAGTCACCAAGACAGCCCCTCTATTCAGGGTCCAGTCACCAAGACAAGCCCCTCTATTCAGGGGTCAGTCACCAAGACAAGCCCCTCTATTCAGGGGTCAGTCACCAAGACAAGCCCCTCTATTCAGGGGTCAGTCACCAAGACAAGCCCCTCTATTCAGGGGTCAGTCACCAAGACAAGCCCCTCTATTCAGGGGTCAGTCACCAAGACAAGCCCCTCTATTCAGGGGTCAGTCACCAAGACAAGCCCCTCTATTCAGGGGTCAGTCACCAAGACAAGCCCCTCTATTCAGGGGTCAGTCAGTCACCAAGACAAGCCCCGCTCTTCATTCAAGGACAGCTTCCTTCTTCCTCCTTGCTTCTATGCTTTGTCGTACCTCTCCAGCCAGCGCTCTTTCTCCCCGCTTGCAAGCACCCGCTGTTCAACCACATCATGATCCAGTGGTCACTTCATAGCCGGGCTCTTCTGCCCCCTCCCTTTCCCTTTTCTTGATCTCCCTCTGCTTTCCCACTACTCAGGAACCTCCTGTGCGTGCACTCCAGGAACCATCTGAACGACGTGCCAGAGCTGGCCGAGCAGAAGAGAGCCGAGAGCCCCTGGGCAGCTCTGACGTATTGGGGCAGCGTTCTCTTCTTCCTGTGCCCTTCTCTGACCCCACCCTATCAGGAACCTCCTGTGCGTGCACTCCAAGAAGCATCTGAATGACGAGCCTGAGCTGGCGGAGCAGAAGAGGGCGGAGCGGAAGACATGCTGATGTGTTCCGCCTCCGCTCCTTGTCGCACCCTCTTCCCTTCCTTATCCCACCCACTATCCAGGAACCTCCTGTGCATGCACTCCAAGAAGCATCTGAACGACAAGCCCGAGCTAGCCGAGCGGAAGAGAACCGAGAGGAAAAGTGCTGACGTTTTTCTAGGGGGTAGGAAAAGTGGAACATGCGCTGGAGTAAACAGGCCTGTCCTGTCCCCCCTCCTCCCCCACTTCCCCCCCCCCCCCACCCTTGCATGCAGGAACCTCCTGTGCGTGCATTCCAAGAAGCATCTGAACGACGAGCCTGAGCTGGCAGAGCAGAAGAGGGCGGAGAACCGCAGAACGCTCAAGGTGATGGGGAAGCTGTTCAAGGAAGGCGGCAACTTCGTGTGGATCGCCCCTAGTGGCGGCCGCGACCGCATCAGCCCGGACTCCAACTACGTGCCTCCGGTGAGTAACCTGTGCCGCGGGTGATGTGTGGCTGTTCGAGGCGCCTCAAAACTAGATTTTTTGTACCTGTGCCTCGCCTCGGGTGACATATGTCTCTTTAGAAGTTGGAACACCCCAATTAAGGGGAGAGACTTCCTAGGTTCTGTGTTTGCAGAATGCCCCCCCCTCCCCCTCCCGTCCCCCTACCCTCCTGTCCCCCCCCCCCCTCTCCTCCCGCTCCTCCTCTCGTTCTGCCGTCCCCCTTTGACTCCTCTGCTGTGGGCTTCATGCCTCAACTCACTTGAGAGACCGGAGTACCCAGCCACCTCACATTCAGATGTCTTCTTCCCCTCCTCTCCTACAACCCCTCCTCCCCCTCCTCTCCTACAACCCCTCCTCCCCCTCCTCTCCTACAACCCCTCCTCCCCCTCCTCTCCTACAACCCCTCCTCCCCCTCCTCTCCTACAACCCCTCCTCCCCCTCCACTCCTACAACCCCTCCTCCCCCTCCTCTCCTACAACCCCTCCTCCCCCTCCTCTCCTACAACCCCTCCTCCCCCTCCTCTCCTACAACCCCTCCTCCCCCTCCTCTCCTACAACCCCTCCTCCCCCTCCTCTCCTACAACCCCTCCTCCCCCTCCTCTCCTACAACCCCTCATCCCCCTCCTCTCCTACAACCCCTCCTCCCCCTCCTCTCCTACAACCCCTCCTCCCCCTCCTCTCCTACAACCCCTCCTCCCCCTCCTCTCCTACAACCCCTCCTCCCCCTCCTCTCCTACAACCCCCCCCCCCTCTCCTCCCCATCCCTCTCTCTCGTCGTCTTCTGCAGTGGGACTCACGGTTCGACTCACATTGGAGGCCAGAGTGCCCAGCCACATAATAGCTGTCCCAGCCACCTAGCCAATGATGTGGCCAGAGTGTCTCTTTCCTCTCCTTTCTTTCATATTCCCGTCCCCATCCCTCTCCCCCCCCTCTCTCTCTCTCCTCCCAGGCTGCCATTACTCCTCTGCGTTGGGCCTCATGCATTGGCTTTTGAGGCACCTCAAAAAGTGAGGCGATTTTTTAGGCATCTCAAGAATCCTCTTCATCCCTCTCTCCCCGCTTCTGTCTCCCCCCAGTCCCCCTTCGACCCCTCTGCGGTGGGCCTCATGCGTCGACACGCATCAGAGTGAGGAGTCTATTTTTTAGGCGCCTCAAAAAAAGACTCCTCACGCAGGCCTCATGTGTCGACACACATCGGAGTGTGGCGTGCCCAGCCACCTGTTTTACATAAGACTACTTCGTTCGTCCCTATCCCAACCCTTCCCATGCCTCGTATTTCTTCCTTCTTCTCCCCTCTCTCCTCTCAGGCTGCCTTTGACTCTTCTGCAGTGGGCCTCACACATCGACTCACATTGGAGTCTGGGATTCCCAGCCACGTGCTTGCTGAATGCACGCTCTCTGCGCTCCCATTCCCACCCACCCTTTTTCCCCTCCCCCCTCCCGTCTACTAGGCTGCCTTTGACTCCTCTGCAGTGGGCCTCACGCATCGACTCACATTGGAGTCTGGGATTCCCAGCCACGTGCTTGCTGAATGCACGCTCTCTGCGCTCCCATTCCCACCCACCCTTTTCCCCCTCCCCCCTCCGGTCTACTAGGCTGCCTTTGACTCCTCTGCAGTGGGCCTCACGCATCGACTCACATCGGAGTGTGGAATGTCACCACCCAATACAAAGAATCTACTTCCTCTGCCCCTGTTCCCGTGCCCCCCCCGCCCCCTTGCTCATCCTTCTTCTCCTCTCTTTTCCCAGGCTGCCTTTGACTCGTCTGCAGTGGGCCTCATGCGTCGACTCACATCAGAGTCGGGAGTGCCCAGCCACCTGCACCCTACCGCCCTCTACTCATATGACATCATGCCACCACCACGCACTGTAAGTCAATAGTAGCTTACATCGATTGTGCTTAAAACGAGTACCCAGCCACCTGCACCCGACCGCCCTGTATTCATATGATATCACGCTGCCATCCCGCACTGTAAGTGTGGGTTTGGTTTCTGGCTTATAACGAGATGGCCACCTGCATTTGACTGCCTTGTGTTCAAATGATATCATGACACCTCTGGCATTCTTTCACGACCCTTCCTTCCCCTGCCTCACCCCTCCCCCCTTCCCGCTCCCCCTTTTGCACCTGGGAGAGGGGCTGGGTGAAAGTGTCTCTGGGAAGTCTAATTTTGAGGCGCCTCAAAGGTAGACGCCTCCCCTGCCTCCCCCCTCCCCCCTTTTGCACCTTGAAAAGGAGCTGGTTGAGAACTTATCTGAGAAGTCTATTTGTCAGGCGCCTCAAATATAGGCTCCCCCCTTCCTCCCCTGAGCTGTGTGTCAGCTATCTCGTTCTGAGGCGTCTCAAGGCGAAATTACCAACACGCAGCTGGGAAAGGAGCAGGGTGAGAATTGCCTAAGATGAGAAGCGCATCATGGGCCTCCACGCCCTGGCACTGAGCGCTTCTAGGGCTCTCAACCCCCCTCACCCCGCTTCCGCCTCTCTCCTCCCCTTTCTGTCCTCTTTGGCAGCTGGAGAAGGAGCTGGGTGAGAAGCGAGTGATCGGCTTCCATGGTGTGGCATTCAGCGTGGGCGAGGAGATTGACTTTGATGCCGTGACTGCTGGCATTGAGGACAGGCGGGAGGTGAGTTGAGAAGAGCTGAGTGTTGAGTGGTAATTGGTGATCTTTGGGAATGGAGGGATGCAAGAGATGGTTTTTGAGAGGACGATGTGTTGATGCTGCCTTTCAGACATAGGGCTCCCGGCCCCCTGTCCACCACTCCCTCCCCCCCTTCCCGCCCCTCCCATTTCCTGCCTATCTCCCTTACAAGCAGGCTCAGGAGAAGTACAGTGATGCTCTGTTCGCATCCGTAGTGGAGCAATACGACCTGCTGGTGCAGGCAGTGCAGGAGAAAGGGCTGGATGCATCAACAGATAAGGTGAAGCTAGAGCAGACATGGCTGTAGCAGACCAGGCTGTAGCCTGGATGCATCCACAGAAGGCCCAGTGCTTGCAGCATGCACTCCTGGTTGCAGGTAGCTCGGTGACCTTGTCATGTCATCCCGTGGCATATGCATGCCAGAGAAAGGGCTGGATGCATCAACTCACATGGACAGTGAGGGTGATGCTGGAACAGACATGGCTGTAGAAGACACCGCTGTAGCAGACATGGGCTGCTGTAGTTGGGGTGAGGGAGATGGACCACTGCACTGCAGCCTGCACTACATGACCTTTCAAAATCTCTTTGTGTTTATATATATGTAGGGGACATCGGGATCCATAGAAGCTCTTTGTTTCTCCCACTATGTCTGCAAGTATAATACGGTTTTGCCTCAGGAAATGGCCATACTGGTATTTGTGGCCGGTTATATATCTGATTATTGCTTGAAGAGCAAAGGGCGAAGAATCAACGGAGGGCGTATTTTTACATACCTAGCATAAATTTGGATAATTAGCGATAACACTACATTCAAATGCGATTGCCTTACAACTTTTGTATGTACCACGCCACAACTGCATCAGCCATAGTAACCCTGTCCACTTTAAGCTGATTCCAATAGGGAACCGCAGTCACACAATGGGCCATCCCCACTGGCAAAAACGCACCACTACTCTTCCCCCTATTCCGCACTTGCTGCACAAACTTTCCAACCTTCTGCCCTGCCTGTAGCACTGCTAGTTTCTCCGAGTTGGAACACTCCTTGCCCACTTGTTTCCCCGTTAAATACAGCACTAGCTGCCGTGGTGAGCTGGCGACCAATGATTGGACGGTGATGTTCGGGAGGATCCGGAGCAGTTCGGCAATGCACCGAACCGAGTAGGTTCGGTTGGTGGGGGAGAGTTGGTTGCCGAGCATTTGGGCACGGTAGTCAAAAAGGGAGTTGACTATAAAGAGTGGGAGGGAGCGAGGGAGGAAGGGGAGGGCGTATTGTGGGAAGAAGCACCGCCACTGCTGGTCAGGAGGGTAGCCTGGAGTGGAGGAGGGAGGGGAATTTGCCAGGGGGGAGTGGAGGAGGGAGGGGAATTTGCCAGGGGGGAGTGGAGGAGGGAGGGGAATTTGCCAGGGGGGAGTGGAGGAAAGGAGGGAAGAAGGAGTAAATGGGGATACACAAAATGACAAAAAGGAGGGCGGATCGCGGGGAGTCTTGGTTAATTCTTGGCTGAGTCTGCGCAGTATTTTCTTACCCTGCCGCCTTCCAATTTGGCTGAGTCTACGCAAGAATGTCTTATCGTGGGAACCTTTACTGTTGCATTTGTGCGCATTCACTGTCACTGGCCATAACTTCAAAGTGAGGAGTGGTTACATGGTAATAAAGCTGTGGTCGAGCCTCACTTAACCCCTCACTTAACAAGTCACGTTTGCTCAAACCATGTACCCTGAATCTTGGTTAGTGCCCGCAAAAGAGGAGTCTTACCCTGGGAGCACTTGCTTTCGCCAACGAACTTATGCAGGGAGACAAGGTCACGCGCCATGTTTTGGAAAAACGGCTGCCCCAAGCGATCATTGGAATCTGCAGCGATGGGAGGGAGGGAGATGGAGAGACGAGAGGAGGGGCAATGATAAGAGCTAGGGTAGGGGCAATGGGAGGGGAAAGGACAGCAGCGAACGTAATGACTTTTTGAGTCGGCTCAGAAGTCCTCTCGTAGTGGCTTTTGAGTCGACTCAAAAGTCAGAGGGTGATGGAGAGACATGCAGGCAGAGGAAGGGGGAATGATAAGAGCAATGGTAGGGGCAACGGGAGGGGAAAGGACAGCAGCGAACGTGTGGAGAGAAACGAGGGCCCACAGTGTGTCCCATGCGACCGCTGGAAGCTGCAGCGATAGGAGATGCTTGTCCCACATGATGTGACAAAACATATGACACATGTTCTGACTAACCATAAGTGACAAATCATATGACACATGATGTGACAAATCATGACACATGATGTGACAAATGGTGAGACAAATCGCATGACAAAGTTCACCTGCAAATGCCCCAGAGTCCATGAGGCACTTGATCGGCTTTGCATTCGGTGCATAGTCCGTCATGCGCTCGCACAGGGTCAAAACTGTCTGGGCTCCTGCGGATTGCCCTGGGAGGGAAAGAAGTGCAGGCAAACAGACAGTTTGAGTTGACTTGCATTTTACTTGCGTTGGCTAGCATTGACTTGAGTTGACTCGATTGGACTTGACTTGACTTCCCATACTCCGACTTCCTTCATATACTCATACACCTTGCGGCACTGCATTCACCCTGCTCCCCCGGTGCAGCCATGCGAATACCTATGCTGAATGCCTGCCTACCAGCATTCATAATTTTTGAGGCGCCTAAAAATTTGAAAGCCTACCAGCATTCATAATTTTTTAGGCTCCTCAAAAATTGAATGCCTACCAGCATTCATCACATCTTACAGCAGCGTATTCACTCTGCTCCCCTCGTTCCCCCGTCCACCCATGCAGATCCCTTGGCTGCCGGTCACTCGAGTCCGCCCTGCCCTGCCAATCCGGGTGTGTTTTGAATCGACTCAAAATACACCCGGCTTCAAAATACCCCTCGTTCCCCCGTCCACCCACCCTTGTAGATTTCTTGGCTGCCGGTCACTCTAGCCCGCCCTGCAGAGCCCACCTGTACTGAATATACCCTCTCAGCACCTGATCGCAGCACCCTGGCTGTGCTTTCAGCACCTGATCGCAGCACCCTGGCTGTGCTTTCAGCACCTGATCGCAGCACCCTGGCTGTGCTTTCAGCACCTGATCGCAGCACCCTGGCTGTGCTTTCAGCACCTGATCGCAGCACCCTGGCTGTGCTTTCAGCACCTGATCGCAGCACCCTGGCTGTGCTTTCAGCACCTGATCGCAGCACCCTGGCTGTGCTTTCAGCACCTGATCGCAGCACCCTGGCTGTGCTCTCAGCACCTGATCGCAGCACCCTGGCTGTGCTTTCAGCACCTGATCGCAGCACCCTGGCTGTGCTTTCAGCACCTGATCGCAGCACCCTGGCTGTGCTCTCAGCACCAGGGATCGCCCTGACCATCCCTACGTAGGCTGTCACTCGTGACTTTAGAGTCGACTCAAAAGCCTACCTAGACTGTCACTCCTCTAGAGCATTCCACGCGTCCATCCGGCTCCCCGTCAAACCCTCATGTCCATGCGGCCCGTCGCTCACTTGACTCTGCCCTGTCGAGTCAAGCCCACCTGGATTGGACAAACCCTCTCACTACCTGACCCTCTCACACCCTCTAGGTACCTGGCAGCAGCACGCTGGCTATGCTGTCAGCGCCAGGGATCACCCAGAGCACACCTGACAGCAGCACCCTTGAAGCAGCAGCCATCCCCCGGGTGTCCATCACGTCTTGCAGCACGGCTTTGAGGGTGTTCCACCCGTCCAGGTAGATGGCATAGCTGTCGTTCACTCTCGTCCGCCCTGCCGTGCCCCAGAAGCCGCCCCCGTCGCAGTACATGGGGATAACGAGGTTCCAGTTGCGGAAGGCCCGGTTGATGAAAGGCCCCGCGCTCAAGATCCCCATGTAGCCGTATGACGCCTGCAGGGGAAGGGAGGGCGCAGAGGAGAGGAGAGAGGAGAGGAGGGTGGAGAGAGGAGAGGTGAACATTCAGTCCCACGACCACAACCGCCACCCCAACCAGCCGTGCCGGACAAGGGTCCCCCGTCGCAGCACACGGGGAAACGAGGCTCCAGTTGCATTTTTTGAGGCGCCTAAAAAATAACGAGGTTCCAGTTGCAAAGGGCGCCGCTGATGAAATGTCCCACAGTCTCGATGCCCATGTGGCCGTACGAGGCCCGTGCGGTGGGGAGTGCGCAGAGGAGGGAGAAGGGAAGGCGCGCATCATTAAAGCACATGGGATTCATGAGGATCCGGACTCCAGTTGCGAAGGGCGCTGTTGATGAAAGGGCCCGCGCTCTAGATGCCCATGTGGCCGTATGAGGCCTGGTGGGGAATGAGGGAAGAGGAGGAAGAGGTGGCGGGGAATGTGGATGGTGTTGAGAAAGAAAAGAAAAGAAAAGAGAAGAAAAGAAAATTAGTGCTCTCCAGCAACCCGGAACAGCACCCTTCTTCAACCGATCACTTATTCGGGCCCTTAAAAAGGGTTCCTCTCACCACTGTATCATATGCTTCGCTTCACTCCCATGCACTCCAGATATGAGGCGCCTCAACATCCCCCTTCAGCGTTGACTCAAAAGCGAACCGGTGGGTCCTTCGAAGGCCATTGTATACCGCTGTACCACATGCCTCACTCACATGCGCTCAACCTACCACACACCCACGTTGCGAAACCCATTCTCCTTCTGCAGTTCTGCCCTACGACACTCCAGGATTGTGGCACTGCGGTCAGCACAGGAGGCGAGGGAGGAGCCCTTATATGCCGCTGAACCACGGCTTCACTCCCATGCACCGCACTCAACCTACCACACACTCGCGTTGCTGTACCGTATGCGCCACTCCCATGCACCCAATCAAATGCGCACTCACGTTGCGGTATGGGCTCTCCTTCTACCACCTCGATCCGCACTCTCCGCAAGAGAGGGGGGGGGAGCGGGGGCTTTCACACTGCACCATAGCATGCAAGGATACCACACACTCACGTTGCGGTACGGGCTCTCCTACTGCACATCAGCCCTGCTCGACCCCAGGAACGTGGCACTGCGGTCAGCACAGAACGTAGGACCCCAAGGATTGAAGCAGTGCGCCATGTCGTACTAGGGTAATGCACAGTGCACACTCACGTTGCGGTACGGGTTCTCGTTCTGCAGACCAGCCCTGGACGACCCCAGGAGCGTGGCACTGCAGTCAGCACACGATGCGCGGGAGGGGCCCGTTTACCACTGTACCGTAAGTTGCTGCTAGGATACCACTCACTCACGTTGCGGTACGGGTTCTCTTTCTGCAGATCAGCCCTGGACGACCCCAGGAACGTGGCACTGCGGTCAGCACACGACGCGAGGGTGGAGCACCAGCCGCCGGGCGGCAGGTGGATGTGCCACGACGACAGGCCGTGGCCGAAGCCCGGGCGGAAGTAGTACCCGGGGGGGCTGGGGAAAAGGGATCGGGGGGATGGGATGGGAGAGGAGGGGGAGGAGATATGAAGGGCGAGGGCAGTGGACGACCACCAGGAGACGGCGAGGGTGGAGCACCAGCCGTCGGGGGAGGGGGGGGGGCAGGTGGATGTGCCACGACGACAGGCCGTATCCGAAGCGAGGGCGGAAGTAGTACCCGTGGGGGCTGGGGGGAAGGGTAGGAGGGTAGGAGAGGAGGAGGGGAGGAGGGGAGGAGGGGAGGAGGGGAGGAGGGGAGGAGGGGAGGAGGGGAGGAGGGGAGGAGGGGAGGAGGGGAGGAGGGGAGGAGGGGGAGGGGAGGAGGGGAGGAGGGGAGGAGGGGAGGAGGGGAGGAGGGGAGGAGGGGAGGAGGGGAGGAGGGGAGGAGGGGAGGAGGGGGAGGGGGGGAGGGGGGGAGGGGAGGAGGGGAGGAGGGGAGGAGGGGAGGAGGGGAGGAGGGGAGGAGGGGAGGAGGGGGAGGGGGGAGGGGGGAGGGGAGGAGGGGGAGGGGGGAGGGGGGAGGGGAGGAGGGGAGGAGGGGAGGAGGGGAGGAGGGGAGGAGGGGAGGAGGGGAGGAGGGGAGGGGGGAGGGGGGAGGGGGAGGGGAGGAGGGGAGGAGGGGAGGAGGGGAGGAGGGGGAGGGGGGGAGGGGAGGAGGGGAGGAGGGGAGGAGGGAGGAGGGGAGGAGGGGAGGAGGGGAGGAGGGGAGGAGGGGAGGAGGGGAGGAGGGGAGGAGGGGAGGAGGGGAGGAGGGGAGGAGGGGAGGAGGGGAGGAGGGGAGGAGGGGAGGAGGGGAGGAGGGGAGGAGGGGAGGAGGGGAGGAGGGGAGGAGGGGAGGAGGGGAGGAGGGGAGGAGGGGAGGAGGGGAGGAGGGGAGGAGGGGAGGAGGGGAGGAGGGGAGGAGGGGAGGAGGGAGGAGGGGAGGAGGGGAGGAGGGGAGGAGGGGAGGAGGGGAGGAGGGAGGGGGGAGAGGGGAGGAGGGGAGAGGGGAGGAGGGGAGAGGGGAGAGGGAGGAGGGGAGAGGGGAGGAGGGAGGAGGGGAGGAGGGGAGGAGGGGAGGAGGGGAGGAGGGGAGGAGGAGAGGAGGGGAGGAGGGGAGAGGGGAGAGGGGAGAGGGGAGGAGGTTGGTTTCTGGCTGACACTTTCAAATGGGGCTAACGCAAATTCCCAGTGGATTTGTTGAGTCAATGCAGGTGGCGGGTACCTTCCGTCGAGGCACTTGGCATTGTATCGGTTGTTGGAAAGCACCGTTACAGTCACATTCGGAGACGCCGCTGCAGGTCTTCTCGCTCTGGTTGAATTGATCCCCGCTGTAAGCCGACCGGTTAACGCCAGTAACGCAACTACTACAACTACAGATAATCTAGGCTGAAGAACACCAACAAGTGACGCGTCTGTCCCCGTTACAACCCTCCTCGTCGTCTTTCTTGTAAACGACTGAAGCCTAGCTGACCGTCGTCTATCAGCTACACTATTAGCGTTTAATATTGACGGGGAGGAACTCGACATAGACGTCGAGAAGCCCGATCGTGTGGCACATTTGGCCGCCATTCGCGCTCGACTAGTTAGTTAAACCGATGCCATAGGCGATCTCATAAGTTACTTTAGTTGACTAAAAAGCCATTCGCGATGAAAGAGTTAGTTGAAGTGACGCCATTAGCGATCGCGGAAACTTTTAGAAGCTATGCGTGGTGTGGCGGGGCGATTGCTCGAGGAACAGGAGTCGCTAGGCGCGGAACTAGAAAGCAAACAGAACCAAGGGAGGGTTGCTTTTAGCAACTGGTGAGTTTGTTCCAAGGAAAATAGGGGGATGTCTGGTGACTTGGCTCTAGCTAGCACCTCCTCCACTTCACAATATGGGCAAGTTCGAGGTGGCCTAATCCCTGTGTGCGACGCGGTGTGCCCAGCGGTGGTTGGTGTGATCCATCCGTTCCTAAAACGAGGTCTCCGAGCTTGAGGAAGGTAGAGCAAATGGAACAAAATTTACCCTTCAACTTATTGGGATCAATACAGCACAACTCTGGCGGTGCGATACCAGGAAAGCCCGCAAATACGGGGATTCATACTAAGAATCCCAATTTGAAGTGGGGTCGAGTGCGCATACATTTTCTGGCGAATAGAACTCTTGAAACCCCAGAGTTGATGATTAGAACTGGGCGAGTTGCAAATGCTTTCCAGCAGTTATTGGAAGTTGGCAATTAGAACTTCCACTTCTGCTTTCCATATTGCACGAGGGGAGCGTCGTTATGTATCCTCTCGGACTTTCAGACGTCGCTTCTAGCACTCCAAAGTAAATGTTTAGCCCAACTAACCGCCATAAATTATGCCCAAACAAGTTTCCGTTAACGAAGGTGATTGTCACATGCTTCCCGCCCAAGTTGGAGAATTTAAAACCAACCGACTGCTGCTGTAAGGAGGACACACCGACATCCACACCAGCAACTAGAGCCGTAAAAATGGAAATATTTCATATTACATTTTCTCAAAAGTAAAGCCAAATGCCATTGACAAAAAAACCATCATAATGGTTGCCTTTTGCAGCAACGAATCTATCTTTTTGCAATGCCATAAACACAAGGGTACGGGAAAACGCCTAGTGATGTTTTTCAGTTTCACACGCCTGCCCAGTAGAATGTCAAGAATGATTTTATGCAGCAATTCACTTATTACTTGATGGAATGACTTGATTCCAAGTTAAGGCATCTATTGTTAGAAAGAGAGAATGATGGACTAGTGTGAGAAACCTAGAACATGTACCTGTTGGGGTTGTACTCACTAGAAGCACACCCCTAGGCTAGCCTAAAACTTCTACATACAACATATGTATAAGTTGACACACCGCCTAGGCTAGAGAAGGGGTGGTGCTAAGCAAGAAGCACCCATCTCAGGGTGGCACTACTAGTCCAACCACTGAGGTAGGGGTCCTGAGACCAGTCAGCAAGAGTACAAGCAAGAATAAAGCAAGCCAGGGCGACACTACTAGCCCAGCCACTAGAGGTAAGGCCACAATCAGACAGGTACATATAATAGAGAGTACACAATCAGGGTCCTAACAGGTGAGTAGCTACAGGAACAAGACCAAGCTGTACACAGTGCCGCTGATGATCTTTAGGCGCAAGCGCCTTAGTAAAGATATCAGCTGTGTTGGCACCTGAGGCCAAGTGAACTACGCGGGCCTGGCGACGCTGCTGTAGCTCGCGCAGGAGGAAGTACCGCAGCTGGATATGCTTCGCTCTACCCTCAAGCCGAGGCTCCTGACACAGGAGAATCATGGCCCTGTTGTCAGCGTACAGGACCGGGGCAGAGCTAGGCCGCTCACCTAAGTCTGTGAGCAAGAAGGTAAGCCAGCAGAGCTCCTGTGCCGCCATGGCACCGGCGTAGATCTCACCCTCACAGCTGGACTAAGCAACAGACGACGAGCGAGTGGATCTCCAAGAGATAGCACCCGAACCAAGGCTAAAAAAGTAGCCCTGAGACGACCTGAGTGTCTCAGAGTTGTCTGCCCAAGAAGCGTCTGTGTGCCCAGTGAGGACCACCGGCCTGCGTCCTCCTAGCACTAACCCCATACCTGATGTACTTACTAGATATCGCAAAACCCTCTTAGCGGCCGACTAGTGCTGTGATCGGTGTCTGCCAGTGGCCACAAAGCGAGCCAGGATGCTGAGAGGGTATGCGATATCTGGGCGAGTGCAAGTCATCAGGTACATGAGGCAACCCACCATCTCTGCGTAGGGGCCGCTGGGCTCTACTGGCTCCTCAGGAATGGGAGCGGAGAGCCGATGGTCTACAGGTAGAGGTGTGGGCTGTGCGGAGGAGAACTGAAGACCGAACCTCTAAAGGACCTGACGCACCAAGTGTGACTGTGTCAGAGTGATGGTGCGTGCTACTCTGTCCCTAGAGATCTGCATGCCAAGATACTGTAGCGACGCAGCTCTCCATGGTCAGTGCAGGTGTGTCTCTTCAGCAGCTCGGCCTTCACAGAGGCCAGTGCGTCCCTGTCAGCAGTAGCGAAGACCAGGTCGTCTACGTAGACAAGGATGTAGAACGGAGTCTTGCCGGAACGCACAAACAGCGAGGGGTCAGCAGTGGACGGAAAGAACTGCAGGTCTGCTAGCGTGGCACGCAGCGTGTCGTGCACCTCGCGGGGAGCCTAGCGCAGGCCGTAGACTGGGCGCCTGAGAAGCCACTGGGTCCCAGGGGGGAAGGTACCAGTGAAGCCCTGTGGTCGGCGCAGGTAGACCTGCTCGTGTAGGCTGCCCTAAAGAAAGGCAGTAGAGAAGTCGAGGGAGTGAAGCTCGTAGTCGCGCTGTGCTGCTACGTGTAGCAGCCCCCGAAGAGTGGTCATCTTCGAGGTCGGGGCGAAGGTCTGGAAGAAGTCAACCCCCTCGCGCTGGCTGAAGCCTCTGGCCATGTAGTGCGCCTTAAAGACAGGTGGCTCTCCAGGAGAGCGCTTCACCTTGAAGAGCCACCGACCATCGACTACGTTCACCCCAGGCGGGGGAAATGCGTCGACGTAAGTGTCGGTGGACCTCCAAGATGCCATCTCCTGCTCCATGGCAGCTATCCACTGAGAGGCCCAAGGTCCCGTGGTGGCCTCAGCGTAAGTGCGAGGGGTCGGGATGTCGAAGGCGTCTGGGTCACCCTCTGGGACTAGGAGCATGGAGCGGAGATGGGGAGCGGCCTCGAAAAGGAAAGCAAGCTCGTACTGCCTGTCCTCTAGAACGTCACTGCCAAGGGCAGGTGCACCCCCGACGGACGGAGGACGGGCAGGGTCAGAGACCAGAGCGGTAGCGTAGTCAAGGCGGCGGGTAGAGGCGAAGTCAGCAACAGCCGCGATAAGCGCGTCAAGGCGCGAGACAGGAACAAACGGGTCTGTAACAAGAGAGGCAAGAACCCGAGGGACAAGGGGACGAGCGGCACGGAGGTAGTCAGCAGCGGGGGAGGTGCAACAACAAGCGACGAGAGAGGAGGCGACGGGTGGAGGGGAGGACGAGAGGAGTGGGAACGAAACAACATAGGGTGGGAGCGCAAGACAAGAGAGACGGGACGAGCACGGGAGGGACGGCGAGACCAAACGTGGGACAGAGGTGTAGGGTCAGGAGACAGCAGAGGGGACACAAAAGGGGAATGAGGAGGAAGACGGACCGGAGACGAGTCCGGCGGTGGGAACACAGGGCCGGGGACAGGAAGGTGAGAAGGTGGTGGGGGAGACACCGGCGAGCGGTCGGGAGAGGGAAGGCCAAGCAGGCGAAGAGCGAAGACCGGCGGCGACAGCTGCGGCGGCTGCTGCGGCGGCTGGTGCTCGACCCGCGGACCGGCAGGGGCACGACGACCACCGGGAGAACACTCAAAGGCAGCACCCCCATTACCAACACCCCCAGAGCGAGAACCCCCTCCAGCACCGGCGGCACCCGCAGGCCCGCCGGGACAGACCACGCCAGGGGCCGCAGGACGAACACCCTCCTCAACGCCAGCACCCCCAGAGGCGAAGAGCGGCAGCGGCGGCGGCGACGGCGCGGCTGCGACAGCGGAGGCGGAGACACCGGTGAAGGGGGACGCGGCAAGGACGGGCCGGGGGGACCACCTGAGTCAACAGACTCCTCAACGGGGACAACCGACGGGAGGGGAGTGACATGGGAGACACCAGACGGGGCAAGACGAGGTGGGAGGGGAGCAGGGGCTACTGGGAGAGAGGGAGCAAGGAACAAGGGGGGGGGAACCGGGAGACCTCGGTGAGGGAAGCGACGGTAGAAGGAGACAGACTCGTCAAAGGTGACGTCACGAGAGTGAAGGAAGCGGTGAGACTGCGGGTGGTAGAACTGCTAGTCAGACGAGTCCAGGGGGAAACCGAGGAAGACACAGGGGACATTGCTGGCAGTGAGCTTGTCCATGCCAGAGGCACGAACGTGAGCAAGGCAACCCCAGACGTGGAACGCATACGCGTCACCGGGGGACCCGGTCCAATGGAGGGTCGGCGAAACCTGCGGCCGCTGGGAGCGTGGCCACAAGTTAAGCTGGTGAGCAGCGTAGCGAACAGCGAACGGCCACAGAAAATGGGGGGCATCGGCATGAATCATGGAGGTACGAGCCACCTCCATGACCAAGCCGATGCGGCGCTCAGTAACCCCATTCTGCTGTGGCGAGTCCAGCAAGGTGTACGACTGGGTGATGCCCTCCGCACGACCGAACTGTCCAAGCCGACCAGAGGCGAACTCGCCGCCACGGTCAGAGTGGAGACACAACACGGGGAGACCGCGGTGAAGACGTGTAGCCACAACCCACGGGAGAAGAACGTCGGGCATGTCGGCCTTCCGCTCCAGGGGAAACACCGTGCTGTAGCGCGTGTAGTCGTCGACGAGCACAAGAAAGTAGCGCTCACCGCGTGGTCCGAGGACGGGGGCTGGGCCCCAAACGTCCAGGTGCAGGGTCTGAAGGGGAGCAGTAGCAGGGCGAAGCGAGGAGGAGTGAGGGGCACGGCGGAGCCGGCCCTCAACGCAAGGCGTGCACGGTGGCGCAGTCGAGGGGGGAAGTGCAGGGAGGGACACAGGGAGGCCTAAGACAAGACCGTGCTGAGACATGTGACGCAGGCGCGGGAGAGCAGGGTGACCTAAGCGGTGGTGCCACAGGAGGGACGGGTGTGTGAGGGACCGACACGAGCAAGCTGCAGCGATCTGGGAGGACGCACCAACCGGGGGGGAAACGGTGTCGAGGGTAAATAGGCCGGACACTGGGTCCCGGAGGAACGTCGCAAGGGGGGAACCTGAGACTACCTCGGTATAGACAGCGAACCGCTCGTGCCCAGGGAACGTAATGGTGA